GATATGCTTGTATTTATTTATGTGAACTTTCTCTATCATTAATAATTTTTTTACATTTAATTTAATTAAATTATTGATCAGCTCAGTTTCTCACAAAAATTGCAATGTTTATAACAAAATAAATTAAAAAATAAAGAATAAATTAATATTCAGTGAACTAATCAATCAACCCAACCTGAATACTTAACCTTAACATTAAACATCACTTCCAGGTTGTTAAGACCTTAACATTAAACAGTTGTTTTAGCATATCTTTAACTTCTTGTAGTTGAATAGCTAAATGTACAAAAAAAAAAAAAAAAAAAAATCTGAAGCATTTGCCATAGTTATAAGTTACTATCGAATCTCAAAAAAATATGCAAGGTTAAAGAATTTTAATCCATGAAATTTTTTTTCTTAATTAAATATTAAAAATTGTATTCACGATCATCACCCAAAGTCAAATATAATTGTTCACATCACTATCAGTTTCAGTTTTTAATTTTGGTGAAGCTTCAGCCCGAAAGCTTTTTTTTTTCATGTATATGACGATAATTATTTTGGAAAAAATGAAAGATACTAACTACGTATATGAAATGGTGTTTAAGTGATTCTTGAAGTCCTGTTAAATGTAATTACATGCACAACAATACTTTAATAGATCATTTTTTTTCCCATAAAACATGAGTACATTATACCATTTTGGGGAGGAGAGAGGCTTCAGCCCGAAATCCTCCCTCACCCCCTCTCTCTCGTAGATCCGCCAGTGGTTCACTTACATGACAAATACTGATTAAGTCGGTTCTCGGTGATTCAATACTTACATCAGTCCGCAGTACAAACCCCGTTGTATCAAATTATTAACACCCGTCTAAAACTTCGTAAATGGCTTCGAAGTTCGAAGTCTGTTGTAATTTAAAACCGTCTTATTTACGAAAATTCTCGAAAATGGATCAGTAAACTTTATCTGTTTAATGAGGGTCTAAAAACTCTTTAACACTCAATTTTCTTTCCAATTGAATCGTAGGATAATTTGATCACAAAATCGCAAAAAAAAATTGGGCAATTTGGTATGACCTGCACCCTCAACACGTCAAAATAAGTTGGTTATGTAGGCTAAACGGTCCCATATTTTAGAAGGACATCTTCCATCTCGATTTTGTGATCAAATTCACAAAACAACGATTCAAGTGGAAAGAAAATGGGTATTCATCTAGTATCTCATTTAATTGATTATTTTAATGATAAAATGTCACATTTCTATGAATTTTTATAAAGAAAAAAGTTGAACGTCACCTTAAGATGAAGCCAATCGGAAAGTTTTAGTCTCTACCTCGGACTATTCCCTGAGATAATAACATGGTTATTCAAATTGCTGAAGAATGAAAAGTTCATCTTTTCACACTGCATTTGATATAAAAACGTTAATAATTTACTTAATTATAATTAATTTTATCTATGTTTCTCGTTATATTGTAATATTGTTTATTGTAAACCAACAATAAATTTATATTTTCTTTTACTTCCCCTCTTTCCACAGACAAGTGACGTCATATCTATATTTTTTTTCTTATCTTCTTACTTGAATTATATTCTCATGTAATTGGAAACAATCTTACGTTAAAATTTCTTTCAAAATCCACAAAATGGAAAGTAAGCCACAAAATTCGTCGGATAATTATTTCTGGTATAAAGGAAATGTTTCCGGAACAGAGACTGGATCTAAGGCGATATGTAAAACTGTTATTGTTTTAACTACCTGTTAAAAATTACGTTTATTCATAAATGATTCATATTTAAGAACACTTAACAATTCTTTATCGTACTAATAAATTGCCACGATATCTACAAGAGAGTTGAAATTATCTTGATTTCATTGTGCAAACAACGAGAATATTACGTACAACCAGTTCTAGCTTTCGTGTTATTCCTTTCATTTAAAGTAATTCATTATGGGTAAAATAAATTTAATGATAGAATAATTATCGTAGTAGAAAGACCGTTAGCATACTTGATGTTAGGGCTAAGAATACATATAACCAAAGTGCCAGAAAAACAAATCAAATTAACAATAAGTCAAAATTTATGGGCACTTAACTATGCCACAACTTCTTATGACACCTCTCAGGCCACTTGTATTATACACTTTGAGATCGAAACAAGGTTGCGTGTTCAGAACTATCAGAATTATAAAGTTTTGCAGGTGCATAGATGACCAAATTATACCTTTTAAACATTTATGGCGTTAAGTTTGTATTAACAATGATTTAGTTAGTACATACAGATATTACTCACAGTTAAATATGAACTACAAACAATGGCGTGTATAGGTAAAAAAACCATTACTTGATAGAGAAGGACAATTTTTCAGCTGAATTTTTTCTTCTAAAGTTGCTCATTTTTTTAAATTAGTTTCTTTCAAGCTGTTGAAATATTAACAACCAACAACAACTAAGCTGCCGATGCAATATGAATTATACACCAGTGTAAACTGTAGTAATTAGTAGCGGATCCCTTTTATTTTATTCTACACAAAATATTTGTCTTCAAGCCACTGCCTTTGTAACCAAAACTCTTCACTGTATTTACGTTGTCTTGCTCGACGAACACACCCATTTCAACTCCAATTCCATTCTTTTTATTTCTATCTCAGAATAATATATTTTCTCCAAATTGTAAACTTAAAAGAAATTTATTACGTAGTCGAAAACCATTGTAGCCTCCGTTTTCTCCTACCACAAATGCTATCTCTAACTGCAATATCCAAATTAACCAAAGTTCAATTAACTTCATTATCATTCATCATCTCAGAGTATCTCAAAAAGGACCTAGATCATGCTTGATATTTCCATAACAACTCAATCCAGCAATAATTTGAACAGCCATTCGTCCGTCATACTTCTCCAAACACCCTTAGAATAATGCTTAAAACGCCTTATCGCACCTAGCGGATCCAGGATTTAATTTTTTTTTTTTGGGGGGGGGGGAGCTTCAGCCCGAAAGATTTTTTTTTCATATACATATAACGATAATTAATTTGAAAAAAAAAAAGAAATTAACTACCTATATGAAATGGTGTTTAAGTGGTTCTTGAAGTCCTATTAAATGTAATTAAACGAACAAGAATACTTTAAGAGATAGTTTTTGATATTTTTTTCTGTAAAACATGGTTATATTTTCCCATTTCGGGGGGGCTTCAGCCCGAAAGCCCCTCCCCCTTAGATCCGCCTGTGCCTTATCGTAGATCATGGATCCTTTTACAAGAAAATGGATGAACAAAATCAATGACGATCATTATTCGTACAACTAATACTTCAAACTATATTTGAAAGAAAACAAAAAAAGCTTAACAAATCCAAAATCAAAATATTGTTTAATGAAAAAAATATCTCTAAAAGTATTATTGTTAGTCTAATTACATTTAACAGGACTTAAAGAATCACTTAAACACCATTTCACAAAGGTAATATATATTAGTAATTATTCTAATATATAGATACAAAAAAAAATCTTTCGGGTTGAGGCCCTTTCCAAAATTAAATCCTGGATCCGTTATTGCTCTTCTCATTATCTGTTTTTGATAATTCCCTCATGAATAAAACTGAAATGATTCTAACCTATGTGAGACGGAGACAGAGGAAAAAAGAAGTGATTTCTTACAGTTTTATTCAAGGTGTATAATTTAAAAATATGGCTTGATTGGAAACTTGAAACATGAATCTATTAAAGGATACCAAATAGCCTATATTATTAAGGAAATGTAATATAAAAACTCCATTCAGTTACTGAAGAAAATATATTTATTGATATACATCAAAATAATGAAACGTAACAATTGGATTGATAACAATAATTATTAATTATTAACAACTAAAACTTACAAACTGAGGGCCCAAGTAATTATGATATTAAGAAAATAATAATGTAATTATAATTCTCGGTTTCCCAACATAAAGAGTAGGTTCTTAAAATATTCATTACTGAACGGTAAATAGTATCTCTTTTAAACATATATATTTAATTGTAGAGTTTAATTTGTCCCTATCGCAATTTTGCTTTTCAGCTATTAGTTTAAGTAAAATAAAAAAATTGTGAATTTAGATAATTATTCAAACCCAAACATGATAAACAATGAAATAGATGGATATTTAAAATGACTATCATACAAACATGTTAAAACATATTGGGTGTGAACAGTGCATTTTTTCATCTAATTCTAACAAATAAAAATTACTAAAATTATGCTGATGCTATCGTACAGAAACGTACAGATACTAAAATGTGTTTGATATCTAAGGACACCATTACTTTTTCAACAAACATCTATGCTCATAAACTGAGAAATACTTATTTATCAACCTAAAATAGAAAAACATTTATGAAAAAGATGAAACCGTATCTTTACACAAGAATCGTACAAGGGCTAAACGAATTGAAATAAATAAGTTAAAGGTTTATCTACCGAACACTAAAGATCTTTAATATTTTTTTCGAAATTGATATTATACATTGATATTATATTATACAAGATACAATTTCATGAAGAGGTGAAGTTCGCCAATGGTACTTACGTAGAAGATGATGGCTGAACATAACTTCACATGATCACTGGGATAGAATTCCGAAAGTAGCTAAGTATGTTCGAAAGTGTACTTAGAAGGGGACTTAAATTGCGGCTTTAAGAAATTAATATATTATATAAAATACGACTATTGCAGGTTTGGAGTGGAGAGGAGAAAGGATATTAGTGACATTAAAATCATTACTGCTTTAATTATATCACGTCTTTTGGATTTCTGCACAATGCGCTCTCATTAATTACATAGTAAAGAAACACAATATTAAGTTGAATGAGAATGATGCGCGATTCAATGAAAAAAATTTAAAATTGTATTTTATTTACTGTATGGTGTATCTGTTTATTAATGCATCGCTTACATTTGAGTACAAACGGCAGCTTTTTAGAACTATTTTGGCTTTTAAAAAACCATAATGGTATAAATTTAATATAATAGATTTTCTAATCTGATCATTAGTCCATTTTCATGCGTTCTCATATTTTTATAAAATCATTCTGGTGCAGTTGATGTTAGTCACCATTAACAGATAGGTCTAATGAACAGTAGTTCATATTCAACTTCTGTTTTAAAGTAGTTATTATTGGATTTTAAACCGAACTAATTTTTTTTCTCTTAAATCTTCTCACGCCCTAAAGTATTCGGCTGTAAAGCCGACAAAGTAAAACTTAGTGCAACAGAAACATTTGAAGTTATTAACCCGGAATCTTGGATCAATTTTCATGCATATATATTTCTTGACATAAAACACTCTCCTATTATCTAAAAACATCCAATTTTGTTTTTCTATATAATGACACCACATTCTTGACAACTTTCACGATTATTAAATTTCAACCATTATTTCTTCAAGTGGTTTTCTCGGGAGATCTGGAACTGTAGCGTCTTCCGCTGGGTAGCCAACAGGGAGGAGGAGGGTCAGTTTCTCGTTTTTAGGGCGACCGAGAAGAACTCGCAGACCAGGACCACAATTGAGTGGAGTACTCGTTAGCGAAACCAATCCTGCATTCTAAAAAAAAAATACATAAAAAAACAATGAACAATTTATATTGATGCTATTAACTTATATTGCCTTATTTATCAGTAGCAATTCTGACGGACTGAAAATTTATCGCGACATTTAATTATTTATTATAATCAAATAAATAATTACAAATGTTAAAGCACGTGGTTAGAAACTGTAAAATAAATTTCCTAAGCAGTTATGTGTTACTTATTTCAATTGTATTCCTTTCGCTATATATCCGATTCATATGCTTTATTAATGGGGTAAAATCAATATTCTACGACCTCGGCCAGGCTCTATGCCGAAACCACTCCTAGAAGGCACCATATTTTTAGAAGTTTAAGGAATGAAATAATTCGAGGAAATATGAGAAATGGTTAGGTCATCAATAAAAAAACGTTTATTTGGAGTAAATCAATTTCGAGATTACAAAGGGTAGAATGTAGAGATAATATTGAAACTTGATCAAACCATCATATTAATTATTTTATTTTAATTCTTATCATAAAGCGACTATTCCTTTATTATTTATTAAATTATGAGCAACATTTATTATTTCCTTAATGTTCAACACCTCAATAATTACTTCGTAATCAACAATATATAATTCTAATGATTTGAGTTCATAAATGTTGTAACATAAGAATTGTTCTGGTTTATTATTTTCAATAATCAACCATTGTGACCGACCAAAAAATTCAAAAACTTAACCCCTTCCCAAAATTTGAGGTTTCACGTTTCAGGATGCGTAGAAGTCGAAAAACGAATACAATTTTTTTTTGTCAGTCCGCCGTCTGCGGATTTTCTCCGAAACTATAGGACCGATTTTTTTCAAATTTGGACATAAAATCAGTGGTCACTCGAAGATGATCCTCCTTCATTGACATTATTATCCGCCATTTACTTTCAAAATGGCGGCCGAAAAACCCTCGTTGCTATAGACTGTAGCTCATAAACGAATGTACCGATTTCAATGAAACTTCGCCAAAGTCATTTTCCCAACGTCCTTTAAATTTATCTATATAACATACTTTAACGAAAAGAAGCTGGAAAAAAAGTTACGAGGGATAGTAAATTTAAATTCCAAATAATTCAAAAAGTATACACTTTTTTGTTTTTTAAAAGTTTACGGAATTACCTAAAAAAAAAAAATTTTAAATCGGACAATTAGGAGCATTAATATGGTCTTCAGTTCTTTTTTATAAGTTCTGCTCCAAATGTTATATCGTTTGTTTGGTTTTTAAATTTTGAATGTGTTACTGAAGTAATGCTATTTTTTTTAGCATATTAGTAATGATTAAAAAAAAGAAAGTTTAGTCCAATAATCGGAATCGCCTTTTATTTATTTTTCTTTGTAATTAGGAAGGTAATGTTACTTTAGATGTATAATTGTTTGGAAATAATAAACCATTGTGAAATAATTTGTAGCGTTTTTTTTTATACAATGATTATATTAATCAACTTTTGCATTTAAACTTAGCCTAACTATTTCTTTATCTCACCAATTATTGATGAGTGCATTTCAACCTTTCATTAAAACTTAACCTATATATATATATATATATATATATATATATATATATATATATATATATATATATATATATATATATATATATATACATACCTGTTGATCAATGCATTTAAATTCTTTTTTTTTTTTTTTTTTATTATATTATTTTATTTAAAATAATTTATCTCACATGTATAGCAGTAAGTAATATTCCAGCTGCAATGGCGACGCTCATTTCGTTGTAGTAATGGGTCCTTCTTTCTCCATTTTCCGAAATTCCATAAACTTGTTTAAATACCAAAATCAAATAGGGAGCAGTTGTCAAATATTCCTTGACCCAATCAGTTTTGATTGGTTTCAGATCTGCAACCCATTGCGGTCCTATAACGTAATAATTTTTAAATTAATAAAGAAGCTACTTTTAATAATATGTAGATGTAAAAGATACCTAATGCACTTATTATTTCAACTCAAAAATTTTAAGAATTGAATAAAAAGCTTGAAAAGAATATGTAGGAATATCTGCATGGTAATTGCTTTGCCTGACGAATAGTAGGTAACTGAAGTGGGAAACAAAGCCAGTGTCGATTTTATTTTTTAAATAATGAACCATTGTAATCGAACAATAATTCAAAAACTTAACCTCCCCTGAAAATTCGAGGTTTAACGTTTCACGATACGTAGAACTCGAAAATGGAATACAAAAATTTTCTCCGTCCTCCGTCCACCGTCCGCGGCTTTTCTCTGAGACTACAGGACCTATTTTTTTCAAATTTGGAATCAAAGTCAGGGGTCACCCGACGATTCTCATACCTCGACATTACTATTCGCCCTTTAAATTGGAATGAGGCGTACCCTAGAAGCTATTGTAACTTAAAGCTCAGTCTGACAGAACAAAAATGGCAAATTACATTTTAATTAATCCCTAATGTAGAGTTATGGTATAGCGAAATTCTAAGTCTCCTATCGTCGGTGAATATTTCCCCTAAAAGTGCAATTAGTGGTGTTTAAAGTCGCAAGTTCGAAATTTAATTTATAAAACAGCATAGAAACGACATATTTCTCAATTCTGAACTTGAATAGTACAATGATTCATCTATAAAAGTTTCATTCATTCTCGAGTCAGGCTCATTCTTGTAACTTTTGGATCAGTGACTTTAAAATAAGTGATGAATGTTATTTCACGTATAGTGGCATAAACTTTCGTAATTCACATAAAAACCTCTGAAAATAAGTACACTATTTTGACTATATGGAGATATTTGAAAAGATCGAAACCGTTTAAATAAAAAGGTAATACCAGTTGTGTTTAAAATTTTGCTTAGAGAACTGTTTTACAAACCCTTTTATTAAGTATTTAGTTAAAATATTCTTGCTCTCAATCAAAAAACTTACCCATCCGACGATCGTAATTAATTTTTTCCTCTTGTTCCACGATTTCTCTCACTTTGGCTTTGATATCTGGATCAGAGATGACAACGTAGGTCCAGGGTTCAGTGTGTGCACCGCTGGGAGCAGTACCTGAAAAGATTCCCGACCACTTATTATATATATATATATATATATATATATATATATATATATATATATATATATATATATATATAATGAATATCACGTACCCGTTACTGTTTAAATAAATTTAATTATTTGTAAGTTAGTTTATATTAAAAAAAAACAGGTCGATCATAGGAGAACTAACAAACTAATGATAGTAACTCTTGCGATATGTTGCTTCTGAAAGTAAGAATTATAAATGCATTGCCCCATGTATAAAAAGGTTATTTAATGTTATACTCAGATTGAAATGTTAGAAAAAATAAATTTTCAATCTTCACTGAGGCAAATAAACAAGTTAGATCATTTACCACGAACGTTTCGAAAAACACTATATGTGCTGTGAATTTCAGATTTCGTACTCTTGTCCCATCGGAGATATTTAAGCTACAATTTTGAAAATTTAATAATTCAGATAACGACAAGATAATTTCATGAGTTTGGTCATGTCATCTTCAACAAAGTACAAAATTAAGTACATATCTTATTTGATAATTTTATAAGCAGAATTTCTGTTTTTGGACTAAAAATATATTTCTTGTACCAACTGAAATTACAATTTTCAACTGCTCAGATTTTACGATTGCTGAATAGTTTTTCCCAACTTTTCGCACAATTAAAAAACGTTAACCAAACAAGTAAGGCTTTTATTTAACATAAAATAATCTTAATGAAAAATTATAGTATCGTTATATACAATAGTGAATTTCATATATTTAACTCTTGTCCCAGGGCCATATTGGCAGAACTGGAAATGGCAGAGATATTTTCTGGTAGAGAGATTCTTGGATTGCAGGAAGGAGAGCTTTGAATGGTTTGATGAAGACTCCATTAAGGGTGAGATTCCATTGGGGTTGTAAGCCATATCAAACAGGGATATTAATCACGACAGGGCTTCATAAAGATCATTCTTAATTCATTAATTTCTTAAGTAACGTGAATGGCAACTTGACAACATGACGTGACAACTGGCAAACCAGGAAGATATTATGAGAAATTGAATTCGAAATTTTCAGAATCTGCTCAACAATGAATACGACGGTAATGAAAACGTAATTCGGCTAGACATTGATCATGAAAAGTCCCTAGAAAACAATAATGCATTCGACGTAGAAACACCATCGTATAAGGAGGAGGTTATAGAAGCAGTCGTTAGCATGAAAAAATCTAATGCTCCTAGAATAGAAAATATACTAACGAAACTTTTGTTTTATATCCTCCCCTTCCTCGTCATTTAGACTATAAGAGATTTTGCCGAGGTCAGGGAAGAGGACAGTGGATTAATGCCAGAGTTAAGAGCCCTTTCCCTGCCCCACCGACACCGGGACTCGAACTCGTAATTATTTTGTCTTGATATCTTCAGTTTATCACTTGTGTTTTGCACAGGCTTTAGCCCGTTCGGCCACTCCTCTATCGGGATGCAGTTTACTTTTTGGATGATTAAGGGAATCTTTATTGCTCTTTTATATGCCATTTACAGAAATGGTGTCAAACTGGGCTTTGGAAATCACAGAAGTATTCTCCTTAGTGTAATCTGTAAATTTCTATCTTCCTAGAAATTTAGAAGGCATTCATGAAGAACTTTTTTCAATATCATTTTATGTACACTGATGCCAGTGTAAAGGCGAAATTGATTCACCTGATATAGCATGCCACACGGTCTTCCATGGCTTGTGTAAGATCCATCACCCCGGTTCGGGTTGCTGGGATTGAATGATTGACGATAGGAATGGAGACTGATCTTGAAAAGCCACATTCCTCGCCTACCTTTAATGTGTACAGATTGCTACAGTAAGATTTATTCCTCTCTCTATTCTGAAAAACAATAACACAACTACAACTACATATTCTCAAAACTCAACAACCTATTTTCCAATAGTTTCCAATTTGTTACTTAAAGTGCTTAACGTCCGGTTGACTCATTTGTTTTTCATCTGTTTTCTTATGCACCCAATAGAAATAGTGAGGACGCTATATTGACCTACTAAACAGATGTTTTCTTTTAATACGTCAAATAATAGAAGTCAACCATTTCAAATTTTAATTCCACCTTTTCCAAATTGGTTTTCGTCAAATAAAAGCTCCAAGTTTATATAAATAGTAGTCATTTATTTCCTTCCTTACCAAATTAACTTAACTTTAAACTGAACCACAATTTCTGATAGCCCGAATTCTCTCAAATACGGTTTATCATTTACAATTGGAAATACAATGCGAAAAATAAAGATGATAAGGAGTAGAGTAATACCTGCTGTCCGAATGATGTTATAAATGATTTCTTTAGGAACAGGGTCGGGGCTAAAAAAACGGACAGTCCTCCTCTTGTTCATTAAATCGTAAAACTCTTGAGAACGCTTCTGGGAATCTTCTATTGGAAACCGTGAAAATTGAAATGGGATGTGCTTTATGTCGGCAGGCAGTGCTGGTACCACGTCCGGGTTAGAATCATCTTCCATGCTCTCTAGCTCGTCCAGTTCATCCAGAAGATCTGAAACAGAAATAGAATCTGATACTATTATGTCCAATGTGAAACATCTGGTTTAAGTGTTTCTTGTTAAGAGCCGAAGAAGTTAGAAGGTAATTAATTAATTATACCTGACAGTCAAGTGTTAGACCTACTCTGCAAGGATGTCTAGAAGGGAGTTATATAGCCAACGTTGCGCCACCAAATGATTGATGAGGGGGCCCATTTTTTCAGGGATTTTAAATTTTTGAGGTGGCGCAGTATGACGGAGTCAGGAATTTTTAGAGGGAACAATATTTTGTGGAGTTTTAAATTGAAATAACTAGCACACCAGAGAAGAAATGTAAAACATGGAACAGACAGCAAAAGTAGTTAATTCTATTTACAATTTTTCTAATTGTACAATCGCTTGCACTATTGTGTAAACTGAGAAGAGCAATACAATTTCTTGGCGAGAGGGAGGCCAGGTCGCACCATCAGCTTTGAATGGTGATGAGCATCTAGAGTCTAAGTCAGAGGTCTCCAAACTTTTTGGCCCGCGGGCCACATTCAGACCTCCACTAAGTCTCGCCGGCCATGGATCGTGATGACAAAAACAAGCTTGTTCTATAAATTATATGCAGGTGTCCAATAGAAGCTGGGACTTTTTTTTTTTTAATTCAAATATTATCTATTTTAACACTTCCTATTCACTTTAATGTTGCTTCACTACATCTTTAAATTTTTATATTATTATTTTAAAACCTCTTTGTGAGTTAGTATTTGCCAAAACCTTCAAAAACTAATTTGATTGTTTAGTTTAAATTCACCTCATGTTCGACTAATTTTCATAATTTCATATTTTAAAATATTTTTTAACATTTTATCATGTAATCAAAGAAACTTTCGCGAGCTGGATCGGAGTACCGATTTGTACCACTTTTTTCAACGAATGCCTACAAAAAGTAAAAAATCACTGACGTATGATAGAGTAAAATGTGTTAAATCGGTTCGCTAAGAGGTATGTAATGAATTTTCGAACGTAGGCCTGGAATATTTTTTATGTTTGGTATTTTTTATGTTTGATATTTTTATTGATATCATTCGGTGAGATCTCTTGAGAGTTATTAAAGAATATGAACCCAAAATTCTAGCAAATTAATGTGGAAAGTGTGTTTAATCAATCCGCTAAAAGGTACGTAATGGTTTTTGAGCCGATGGAATGAACGATTTTTAACTTTGGTGGCTGTAATTGCTCAGTTAATTCCTATGAATGTTTTGAAACAATTTTAGCTCGAAATACTGAAAAAAAATTATTATAGTTTAAATATCTTGATTATAAATTGATTTGAAATGATATCAAGTGATCATATATAATGTTATGAGAAGTTAATATTTGAAAAATTAAAAACGAAAAAAAAGATAAAAAAAAAACCGAATCCGGAAATTGGGAAATTCTATCCACTTTAAGAGAATGTACTTCCATTACTATTTAAACATCTTAGTAGATTGATTGGGAAATTGACATCTACGAATATTTAAACTTGTTGTAGTACTCGTGGCCTATTCCTATTAGGAATTCTGAACTCATTCTGAACGAATTTTTTTTTTTTTTGTTCTCCCCTTTTAGGCTAAAAAGTGATATTCCCGGACCAGAGGGTAATGGCGGGGGGAGGGGAGGGAAGAGAGTTTAATGCCAAGTTAAAAGACCCTCTTGCCACCGGTCGCAAACTGTCAATTATTTTATCGTTTATAACTTTGGTAGCGGTGCTGTGCACACACGCGTTAGTCCGCTTGGCCACCCCGCCCCCTTCCTGAACTAAACATGGGACGATATCTATTTGCCTGGATCAATAATGTGTATTGCTAGACACCCAACTACTACACCTAGTTTAAATAGATATAAATATCGTAGATATCAACTTTCCTATCAATCTATCAAGATGTTAAAGTAGATGTACCAGTATATTCTGTTAGGATGGATAGAATTTCACAATTTCTTTAGTCGTTTTTTTTTTTTAATTCAAATATTATCTATTTTAACACTTCCTATTCACTTTAATGTTGCTTCACTTCATCTTTAAATTTTTATATTATTATTTTAAAACCTCTTTGTGATTCTTTGTGAGTTAGTATTTTAATATCCTGATTGAGGGATTTCCATCGCTCCCAAGGTCAATGGCGGATAAATCAGCCTCCCTTTCCACAAAATTTTATTACTCTAATGTAAAACAATGTTAACGAAAGAAGAATTAGAAAAAATGTCGATCATATACAATTGAACTTACTGTGTTATCGCCCATGTTTTTTCCTGTGTCTCCTGGTTAAAACTATTCACTCCGAAAATTCAACCCCGTAAAAATGTGTCCCCCTCATACATTCAAAATCCCAACAAAATGTGCTCCCTTCAAAAATTTTAATGGCGCAAGTTGAAAGCTCCTTCTGTGCATCTTTATCCTAATTCTGATTTCTCCTTTTTCTGCTTGGGAACTGCATTTTAGGGAGTTTTTAATTTATATTGGGCAAACGATGTTGAACGGTAAACCACATCACGATAAAACATTTGATGTTTATAGTAGGATTTTATAATGCATGACAATAATATCATATTGTTATGTCAATGCAAGTAATTAGCAAATTAAGTTTGAGCAAATACAATGCTTCATTAAACTAAATTTCTAATTCTATATTTGTTTCGTACTCATCCGTAACCTAGATGCTTCCAGCTTCATAATTTTTTGCATCTATTGAAATAATTAATTTAGATTTTTTTTCTGTTTATAAAATATGAAATATAATTTTAACAAATGGATTAAGTTGTGTTCAGTTTCTTTTATGGAAAACATGTGTTTTATACATGTACCAGGGTGCACCTTCGTCCGCCTAACGGGGGACCAACCCCCATTTTACAGATTAGACAACTGTTTATTCAATTGTACTATTCGTTGCTCAAATTATATAAATGTAAGTTACGTATTATTTATGTATTCTTTAATTCAGATAGTATTGTTTTTTATCAATATAAAGTAAACCGACTGGCACAGTAGTTAGGAAAAATTTTTAATTTCTTTAAAAATCTATAATATACATCACGCCTTATTGCCAATTTATATGATTATATAATTTTAATTATTGTTATTGCCAATTTTTAGACATAATAAGGGAGAAATAATTCAGGGAATAAAAAGTGTGGTGCCTTTGTTACGGTATATTTGTATATGCAAAATAAAATATGACAGTCACTTAAAACTTTTTTATATTTTATATATATATATAAACCATTCTCTGGTTTTTCATCAATTTTTTTTCAAAGCTCTGTAAAAATGCAAGATCGTATCTCTATTTAATTTTAACAATATTAGAACTTACAAAACTTTTCTTGAATAAAAGATTTTAAAAGCTTTCTTGCAATATTCGAATATGACCATACCACGTGCATACTGCAGTTAATTCATATTATAATGAAAATTTTCAGGCCAACCCTTAAAAGCCTCCACACTTATATGTATTTCAAAATTAAATATTCCACTCTCAGTCAACTGCTACATTATTTTGCTGTGTACGTTTCAATAACTTTCTTTCTCGAATTAAGCATTTCCACTAGACTGAATAGAGAAAGTATAGGCAAGCATTATTAAACCTTGTGAAGAAGATATGTATTGTTCCAACATTGTATCAGCTTTTCAGTCCAGGCCAATGTGCATTGACCATTATTTGTGATTTAACAATAGCTTCTTAAAAGAACCTGGGAATACGGATTGGTGTCTGGTACAAGTTATATTATATTCGTTTGATTTTTTTTTCTCTTTTTAATAAAACTGTCGAGGCAATATAAAATAGGCTTAATAAAGAAAAGTGGATAATTTGTTTTAAAATTAATTTTATTAAAAGTGTTACAGTTTGTTTACTAATTATCGTTAATTTTTTTCTGATGAAAATTTATAAACTTCCATCTATATACTTAATCTTTTTCCACCTAAAAATAAAATCATTTCTTTTATTCAAAGTAAATTATTAAAATAAAGCATTTGATTGTGCACTTAAAGTCCAATGAAACCAAGCAATTATCGTACGGATCCTATGTTATTAGTTGATGAAGAGATTAACTAAGATGATTCGAAATCAGCTATTACAACTCACTCGAGATATTTAAAATGAATAAAAATATATTCAAAATTGATGTCACTTCTTGATAAGTCTCAATAAACATTCAATACAAATTGCTAAATTTGATTTCTCTAATACTGCATTCTTCATAAAATTCATAAAAGGCAAAACCTAGGGGCATCAGTCGTTGAGAAAATGCAATTCCGGAAGTGAAAAATAATAAAAATTTAAGGTTATTCGATATAATTCTAGAAATATGTCGCTACTATTAGTGCAAAAAGTCGTATGTGAAAATTGGATTTTTTACATAAGAGCAGAAAAACGTATTATTACTTTATTATTTATTAGTATAATTTCATATTTTATTTCCCAATGCTATTTTCCTATTTAATAGACTAATTCTAGCAGTTGCAAAAAGGGATGCCCATCCCCTTCTCCCCCAAAGTCGATGACGCATGAGCCTCTTTCCCCTCCCCCTTCTCCCAAGATATTTTATTGACCTCATTTTCTTAATAACAGTGCAATATAAAATGGACTTAATAAAATTATAGGTCATATAGGTTTCAGTAGTCTGTTTTATGCTTTCCTCTTTTCCTGGTTTGAAAATTTTCATTTCGAAAATTCATAGCACCGTCAAAATGTGCATCCCTCAAAAATTCAAAACCCCATTAAAATGTGATCCCTCAAAAATATAATGACGCCATGAAACCCTTCGAGGCACTCCTGGTTGCAAACTACAAAATGACACCTATAGCGCATAGAGACTAAACTTGTAAAAAAGTTTCATACGACGTTTTGCACTAACAGAAGCGATACGTGTGGTCGGGGTGGCCTAACTGGCTAATGTGTGTGCACAGACAGAACCGCGGTTGCCCGGCAACCTGATCTATGAGATAATGGATTTATAATAGTCACGAGTTCGCTTCCTTTAAATCCCTGCCCACACCCCCTGGCCCGGGAAAAAAACCGTATAGCCTTAAAGGCGTGGAAGGAGAGGTACCAAAAAAAAAAAAAAGTAGCGATACGTTAAGGGTTAATAAAGCGCAAACATTGTTTATAAAATATTACTTTTCATTCATAATGGTAATTCATACACACTATCATTTAACACCTCTCTAGTTTTTTTGCTTTCACCATATTTCTCTGTCTCACTGGTACAGCTTCATGCTGTAGTATTTTCTGAATAGCGGTCGAGTGAGTGAAAATCGAATTGCTGAAATTGTTATCATTTTAAATATTATTATTTTACATACTGGACTGGTCTCTTCTACCGCCACTTTTCAGGTAACAACATTCATAATGATAACAATTTCAACAGTCCGAAAGAAATTTATTGACCTCTTTTAAAAGTGCTAAAGTATGTAACTTGCTTACTTGAGGAAATAGGCTAGTGACCACGGGTGGATCTACGGGGAGGGGGAGGGGGAGGCTTTGGGGCTGAAGCCTCCCTCAAAACGGTAAAATATAACCATGTTTTGTAGAAAAAAATATCAAAAAATTATCTCGTTGTTCGTGTAATTACATTTAAAATCACTTAAACACCACTTCACATAGATAATTAGTTTCTTTCTTTTTTTTTAAAAGTAATCATCATTATTTTTTATGAAAAAAAAAGCTTTCGGGGTGAAGCCCCCCTCCCCCCAAAAAAAGTAAATCCTGGATCCGCTAGTGCTAGTGACTGATTTGAAAAGGTAGGAAGGAGGGTCTGTTAAATCTCGCTATGGGCGCCATCCATCCCGGTCACTGCCCTGATAATACCTGTAGCTATTATTAGTGCCTTTTGCTCTTCTTAAAATTAAAAAAAAAAATACTATGGGCTCACCCAAGCTATGGAAAGTAATCTGAGTTTCAAATATCGAAAATGTAATAGACCAAAAGTTAAATTTAAATAAATTAGTGGAAAATTTTGACAGATTAAGATTTGAAGAGAGCCGAAATAAAAATAACTAATTTCTTAGAGTAGTTTCCTTGTTAGCGTAGTTTCCTTTCCGATTGTAAATAATTAAAGTAAATAGTTTTCAACAAACAGTACTCATTTTTTTTCAACCTTTTTAATTAAAATTGATATCCAGTAATAACTATTTATTGATTGATATTTTTAGAGTTAAATATACCGAATAAGGCAGACAAAAATTCTACTGAATTGGATAAAGGAAGACTGAATATTTGCTTCGGGGTGTAGGTAATCGATCCGATTAATAGGTTATTAATCAATTAATCGACCCGATTATTACACTACAATAATAATCTTATAAATACTTTACCAGGAACAGCAATTAGATTCAAAGCAGAAACATAACATGACCACGCTAAAATGGTAAGTAAAAAATACTGTTATGGTCAAGGATACAGTTGGTTGTTCTTTTCCTATGATAAACAACTTTTGGAGAAACAACAAAAATCCGATTCAACATTGGAGCACAATTTGAATTCTCAGTAGATACATAGTAAATGAATAATTTTATAATGAAACATTTTCATTATTATTGCAATAATTAACTTCGTAAAAAAAGTGCCTACCTGTCATTTTGTGTCAAATAAACACACATATAAATACTATAATACTATTATAATATTATAATATTATAATATATAGGTAATGCAAGTATATTATATAGTTAGCAATTCAAACTTCTACAAAAAAATTGTTTATTATTAGTTCAAAAAAATAAAGATAAGTATATCTGTTAAAATGTCAATGCCCTCCTGATAATTTTTTCTGATGGTACTCATTCTAATGTTTATGTTACAACGAAACATTTGTGTAGGATTATAATTTATGTCTAAGAAAACATGTCAACACCTTATCATGGGAATAAAAATCGAAACTTCCATTACTATTCAGTATTTATTGACCTATTAACCCGCTAATGGAAGGATGTGAAAATATTTTATGAATAACATCGATTAAATTTATCACATTTACATGTACATTAAACTCACATTAAATTATATTTGAAGCAATAACGAAAGTTTGGCTGCTAAATGTTTAGTTAAGGTATAAATAATACCTATTCCATATTCCTGAGCCGGACAATGATTTTTCCAGCGACAGCACTTTCACTCCCAAAAATACCTTTCACAATAAAGCTTCATAGTTTTATCGGTAATTTATGTCGAAATAAATATGTTATATAATTATCTGATAACCTTAACTTATTTTATTGACTGAATTAAAGTCACAAAAATTAAAAAAGCAAAAAATATCTTATAACCTAACAATAAAATAAAGTTTGAAATTTGCTTTGCGCTAAATTCTACCGACAGAGGTAAGTACTCCCTTTGCCCTTTCGCCTTCTCCACTTCCGGTCCTGTTAAATTTGTATCTATTCTAATTTTTTTTAATTTTATCTATTAAAATATTTTGAGAGAAAAAAATCATCGTATTTACATGAACAATATATTATATGATATGTAATGAATAATAATTGGAGTGGTCAAAACCAAAGAGATTCATTTAATAAAATGTTCATATTAAATAATTTCTATTTAAGTATTGTTAATTTTTTAAAAAATCGTTTAAATATCGCTAAATTCATATTTGTTTTTATCTGAGATTGTTTATTATCTTAAGAGAAAAAATTATGCATTATTCGCTATTTCTTCTTAGAATAAAATATTGACATTTTATTACTGAGACCCGTTGGCTTATGACACCCTCAATTGATGATGTATATCGGGATACTTGTGGCTTCAGTGGAGTTTTAATGCACATATTAGCATGATAGATTACCTGGTTCAGGGGGCAATGACTCGTCCACTGGGGGCTCCAAGGCGGTCTTAAAGAGGACGATGGCTGCCATCAAGCAGACGGCGCCGGTCAGTATGAAAGGCCAGTAGTCGCAGAGAAAGGGCAGATTTTCATGGAGGAACTCCATTCTGAAAATGAAAACGGTTAGTTGTGGTTATGGAAGGAAAGGAGAAGAAACTGATTAAATAAAAAAAACAACTGAGATAAGCTTTAATCATACATGTCCGTTGAGGCGAGAAGGGTCATGCTAGTGCGTCTCTTGTCCACTGCCAGCCTTCGATAATATATTGATCACCCGTCGTTATTGGAAACCTATTCATATCAATTTTGTACAACTTCGGCTTCATTTCCTATGCTAGCTAGCGATCGATACTTGCTTAACATCGCCTGAGCTAGTTACTGAAATTTAACTGTTTCATTATTCAATAAAGAGTTACTTGTTAGCTTCTGTACCCAGTGCCTTGGAGTTAAAAGGTCGTCATCACATTTATTAAACCGGTAATGAGAGAACATTGTGTGATTATTTCCTTGAAAATATCTCACAATTCATTTATAAATTATTAAACAACAACTTGATTCGTAAGCAACAGATTTATTTATTTTTTTAATGGATTGCGAACCTTACACAACTAACTTAACCGCCTTCAAATCGTAATAACTATGTCAAGTTTTAAAGGAGAATCAACCTTCCAGCGCTTGCCAAAAAATCAGAAAACTGTTAAGATCATAAAATCTATTTTAAAACATTACAAAATGCCATGAGCAGAGTTACTATGCAATATAATTTTTAACTCATATTTTTACATTCACTTACCTATATATGTAATTTATAGTAAGGGAAACTATTGCGACTGTGAAATTTTTATAATCTGATTTTTTAATGGAAATACACGTTTTGAGGTCCTCTCAGTCTAAATAACCAAGTTCCGCAAAACTCTGTGTGTGTGTGTGTGTATGTGTGTGTGTGTGTGTGTCGCACGAAACTGATATTACGTATTTAAAATAGATATATGCTTTGGATGTGACATCAACTTTTTCATCAAAATCGAGTAACTGGAAGTGGCACCTTATCAACGGTTATACACACTTTTACAATTTTCTCAAAAACGATTCCAACGATTTTGATAAAACTCGGTGTATCATTGTATAATTAAGTCGTCTTTAATACGATTTAGGTCTTATCCTCATTGATGTCACTTTACAGGGCTTACATTTCCAATGTTCAACATGTCTTCCTCTAAAGTACCTTTAATTTGGTTTATTATAAATAATTAACTATTTCTCATTGTTAGAAGTTATGAAAAAATGCGCTAAATATAACTTTTGAAAGAATTTTATGATTGAATAAAAAAAGAAAAATGCTTATTCAGGTCGAAAAATGAATATCCGGAAATAATAGTCAGAAGATATACGTATAATATATCGTTGAAAAGCAGAGAATTTAAAAAAACAAAAACAATATATAAAGTTGTAGAAGGTAACGGAAAGCGGAGAAAAATATATAAATAATATTTTCTAAAAACTAACATTATTCAATGTAAATCAATCACATGTTTTCAAGGAAATTTTTTCATTCAATGAAGGAATTTCAATCATTCATTTCAAGGAAAAGGAAACAAGGAAATTATAATGAAATTTTCTTACTAAATGTAAACTTTTAATTTTTTTTTTCTAACCCCCCAAAATGTTTATTTAACCAAATTACATATATAGTATTAAATTACATAAGAATACAATATATACAAGTAAAAAATTCCTTCCACTGCCCGAGTGCATTTTAAGGATTGGGGATAGCTAAGGGTAACATATGTGGCAGAAGGCCTTGTGACTTTCATTGAACGTGGAGGAACCGTTCTGCTAATTGTTTATTATCTACACTTTTTACATATATACATATTAATGGGTTTGGACCGCAGAGTCCAGACCACATCCTTCGGCGAGTATGTCCACCAAAGATCGTGGTGTTCTCCGATAGCAGAGCTGAGCTCAAAAAAAAAAAAAAAAAAAAAAAAAATGGATGAACTTGAGAAAGATGAACCATTAGACGAAGAAATTTCCAACATTAATATAATCTACTGCTTTAGTTCTGACGGTGAATCTTCGCCAATGGGTTTAGTTGTTAGTAAATTAAGTTTTTTATTTATTTTTTCTTTTGTACAGTCAAATTAGTTTTGTTTTTTATTTGGGTTTTTCTACAACTTAAGGAGTCATATCTCCAACACCCAAAAGTCATTGTTTCCTGTCCATCCAATCTGGGTAAACTTTTAAGTTTATAATGTAAACTGTTAAGTTTGAAAAAAAAGTATTTAAAATCCACGAGTTCAAGGAAATAGCATTGTTCAAGATACTATTTCATATTAAGTGAAATATAAAAATATTTCATGGATAATTTTATAACCTTAAATATATTTACTGTACTTTAATAACAGTAGATCTGATATTATATTTAAATAATTAGGGATCTATCGTCCGTTTATTCTGAAAAATCATCATGTGGCCTTTTAGAAAATTAAATTAGTGAATAATTTGATGAATTTTTCCTTTGTTATATCATAACAGTACCCACTTACAATTAGTGTGACAACTTTTGACCTGTCTATAACAGACAATGGAAATATCGCAATCCATTTTAGTAAAATTTCCAATGCAAAATAACAGTTTAATAACTTATAGTCGTACAATCCATAATCAACGGATCGTACGATCCATAATCAACCGGTGATATAATGAATAGGATTTTTGTTATTTTAATGGTATTTATGATTTGTTAGTGCATTCCATTTGATCTCCCTTCTTATGTATTGGGCAGATAATGACTGTAGCCCATTCCGTAGGCATAGCTTCCCTCACCCAGATGTTCAGCATTAAATCATGCAGAGCTTTCTTGAGTTCTTCCCCTCCACATTTCAACAGTTCTGACTGGATTCCGTCCGGGCCTGGCGCTTTTCCATTTTTCAATTTCCTCGGGGCGTTTTCCATTTCATCCACATCCGGGGTTCAATAGAATTCAGGGAGTCTTCCTTCATTACCCCTACCTCTTCAGTAACCGTTCCTCTGTTTAATGTGTCTTTGAAATGTTGCACCCATCTCTTTAGTAGGTCATCTTTGAAGCATAAAAGAGTTCCGTCCGTGTCTTTGCATGCCGTCACTCTGGGCCTGATATACAAATGTTAAATAAAATTAAGTAAACCTTCTTATGATTTGTCCCCATCTTATTCTAGTAGAACAATTTCGTTTGCTACAATCAAAATCTGGTGCTTCCGGCGGTGTAGCCTTAATAATTAAGAATAATATTAGCTTCACTGAAAACATTATTGATAATATTTTAAATATCGAAGTCATATCAGTTCGTTTACATTCATTTCCCTCTACAGTCGTTACGGCAGTTTATAAACCTCCAAACAAAAAACTACTCCAAGATGAAATTTTAAAACTCTTGCCATCAGGAGACCATTCTTTAGTTCTAGGTGACATGAACAGTAAAAACATCTACTGGGGCTGTCGTAAATCAAATTCTAGCGGAAATATTTTGCTAGAAATTTGTTCTAGGCACAATATTCAAATCCATACGCCAAATGAACCTACTTTTTATAGACCAGGCTGTAATCCCGATATTTTGGATATTGCACTCACCAAAAATTGTAGGCTTCCTCTCTCATCTCACGTTATCACAGCCTTAAATTCGGACCACATCCCTGTATTAATTAATTTTTCAACCGAGCTAAATGTAGTGCCGAAGCGAAAATCACTCATTAATGGAACGATTGACTGGGAATTATACAAAATCTTAGTAGCTGAGAAAATAAATCTGAAAAATAATTTTTCTACTGCCCTTGAAATCGAAGAAAATATAAATAAACTAAATGAGTCTATCTCGAATAGTCTACAGTAAGCAACCGTATGACCTTTCCAGTTAGTGAGGAAAAGTTGTTCAAGGAGTTGCCCAAAATCAATTCTGTTAAAAATGAAAGAAAAGAACCATGCAAGGAGACAGTGGATGCGCAACAGAGATCCTACTTACAAAAAGACATGGAACCACCTCAAACACGTAATTAAAAAAGAACTGGATGAATGGGTGTATTCTAAATACCAAAATTACGTAAAAGATTTAGACCCAAAGGACCAATCTCTGTGGAAGGCTACTCGGCGTGTACTAAGCAAATTTGAGAAAATTCCTAGTCTGGAAGAGAATGGAGGATACATCATCAGTGACGCAGAAAAAGCTGAAGCATTTGCAGATTACTTTGAAAAAACGTTCTCAAACCCAGAATGCGAAAGAAGTCCGCATTCACCAAATGTTGACGTTGAAGATTATTTAAAATTGCCCCTAACAACTGTACAGCTTCCGATTAAATTCACAACCCCTAAAGAAATTCAAGAACTAATTAGGAGTCTCAAAGTAAAAAAAAGTCCAGGACATGACCTTATACCAGTTATTGCTTTAAAAAATTTTCCTAGAAAAGCTCTCGTTTACATTACGTCTATTTTTAATAGCTGTCTACGCACTGGATATTTTCCCGAAACGTGGAAGAAAGCTGAACTCGTAGTAATTCATAAGCATGGTAAAAACGCTAAACAAGTCAGTAGCTATAGACCGATAAGTTTATTACCCATAGTTGGAAAATTACTAGAGTCAGTCATAAAAAGACATCTTGCATCCTTTTTACAATGTAATAGCATTATTCCTGATTTTCAATTTGGTTTTCAGTATAGTCATTCCACTTCACACCAACTGGCAAGATTATCAGAATTCATAGTAAATGGATTTGAAATGAAAAAACATACTCTTGTCACGTTTTTAGACTTTCAACAAGCGTTTGATAAGGTTTGGCATTGTGGTCTATTGTACAAGCTAAAGATAGTTGACACGCCCAAATATTTATATGACGTTCTGAGCTCATTCCTCAACGGCAGAACATTTACAGTTAGAATAAATAATATAAATTCAACCTTAAGACAAATCCATGCCGGCACCCCACAAGGTTCTGTTCTTTCTCCCATACTTTTTAACTTTTATGTTCACGACATTATCCAATCCACAAACACCTCCATAGCTATGTTTGCCGACGATACAGCTGTCTTTTCCCAACACAATGATATATTCATAGTCAGAAATACACTGCAGTCTTACCTAGTAAATCTAGAACAATATTTTAAAAAATGGATGATTTGTCTCAACATCGAAAAATGTACAGCAAAAATTTTTACTCTTAGACGTCCCTCAGACCCACCTGAACTGATTCTCAAAAATAAAGAACTAAAATGGAACCCAGCTAGTGAAGCAGTAAAATACCTCGGAGTTTATCTGGACCGCCGCCTTACGTGGAATTACCATATCAATAATAAACTGACCCAAACATACGCAAGGTTAGCAATGTTATATCCCATAGTAAATAGAAAATCTAGTTTAAAACCAGAGACAACTGTTCTTATTCATAAAACCATACTAAGACCCTTGCTAATGTACGGATGTGAAGTCTGGGGAGCCGCTTCAGCTACGAAAAGAAAAAAACTACAATCCTTTCAAAACAAGGTATTAAGAATTGCAGTAGATGCCCCCTGGTTCATAAGAAATGCTCAACTACATCGAGAACTAAAATTGGAAACAATAGATGAATTCATCAAAAAATTATTTAAAAAATTCCATACGCAGCTACCAGCAGTTAAAGGTGCAGTGGCCTACAACTTAGGAAACCCAATCTCATCTCGAAGACTGAAGCCCAGACTGATCCAAGACATCATGTTATGAACAATTAATAATTTTCTCTTTATTAATTGTAATTATTCAATAATTATAATGTATAAATAGTTAGGGGCGTCTTTTGCAAAGACTATACCCCACCAGAACAAATTGTTAAAAATCATCAAATTGTTACAACAACCATGTAAGGCCCACCAGGCCGATCTGGTAATAAATAAATTTAAAAAAAAATCTGGTGCGCGCAAACACAAATCTTTCACGTACCGCTCAACGTTAAATAGAAATTATTTTCTCACCTTGTTGGGCTACTATAAAAATTTTTAATTGAATTTTTAACCAATTGAAAAATTGTATAGAAATAAAATTAAATTTTTTTTTACAGTGGTAATGGGGAGATAATCCAATCTAAAGTTTGCATACATTTTTTATCAAATTTTTAATTTTAATCAAGATAACTTCTCAACTTGGTAGATCATACAAACTGGATTCTGCTTCACAAAAATAAATAAATAATGTATGGAAGTATTCTGAAAAGTAATTGTAGATGAATATGAATTTTTAAACAAAGAATTTAAATTATTCATTGGTATAATAAATAGGCGACATATGAACCTTGGGTATCTTTAAAAAAAAAAAAGATAAAGATTTTGAACAGTTTATATCATATAGATATATCATTGTGGATTTAAAAATAATTAATGGAACCTAAATTAAGTTCCATCAATTATGGACCACCATATTTGGTCCAGGTTCGAAAATAAAACTATTTCTTCAAGTAAACAAATAATTATTATATTTAAATTACAATAAACTCCTAAAACACAAAAGTCCACCAATATTATTTTATGATTTGAAAGGGAATTTCATGCTCTTTTCAGTAATGCATAGTTGTTTTTGAGCAAATGGAAATAGTAGCGTAAGTAATGACAATGCAGAGCATTGGGTAGCTGAGCCTTTTGGGAGTGCAATGCATAAATAGATGTACAGGGAAAGTTTTAACTAATTAATATATTTTACTAATTGAACTAGCATAATGAATGAGAGAGTTGAGAAAAAATGTTACGAGAAAAGGTTAAGGATAATTTTTGTTATTTTTCTGGAGGAGAGGGGCGCACAGAAAATTTTTCAATAGAACCTCAGTCATCCTCAATAACTTGAAGAGATTTTAGATAAAGATATTTTTCAGTTATGTATTTCAACTATAAAATTATATTTGCTTTTTATATTAAAAAAAAGAAATTATAGGTTAGGAGAATCTTAATGCCAATACTTATGGTATCATCCAATTCTCCAAACATTTTAGGTCAAATGAATAAATTTTCAAGACTTAAGTTCAATAAATATTAATTTACTTAGAGAAGCCAAAAAGTAATTAATGGACAAGAGGGCTGTTGGTTAATAAATATAATATATAACATAATAATATATTCATAAATTAAATAAGAAAATGGATAAGAAGACTTTTGTCGCTGTCACTGTTACTGGACCGATCAGGCCCAAGGGAGGGGACTGTTCCAAACTGAGACGCTGTTACCCTGGGCCCACACTACAACAGGCAATAACAGACAAAGGTAATACAAAGGTAACAGGCAAACCGAGGCAAATTCCCGGAATTTTGATGGGAGCTTGCCTGAGTTTGGTAGGGCCAGTGTAGTAGGTAACAAGGGAAAATGCAAGGAGTGGGAGAGGGTGGTGGGGATATTTTGACCTACTGGTGGAAGTAAAGCGAAGCTCCACCAGTACTTTCGTATCGCTTCTAGTGGCACGTTGTGTATCAGCTCAAAGTGTAGGACCTTGCCCATAGACAACAAGCTCACTAACATAACCTTATCGTTACCTCACACACGAAGTGTTCGCTAACGCCAGTGTTTTAAGTGTGAATTGTATGTTTCCGATCTTTTTATTCCTAAAATTAATTTATGTGATTTAAGAGTGGCATTTACATTCTTCTTAAATAATCCAAAATCGTATGTGTTTGAAGAAAGTGTTACATTTTGTGCGTCAAAATAATTTCTGAATTTATGTGAGGTTAGTGGTTATTGTTGGTGGAATTTTTTATTTTAATGTTGAATATGGTTTGAAAATATTAAAATGAGTTTGAATCGATATATGGACGTGGATGATCAAATGGAAGACGGAGAAATAAAACGCTCTCCAGTTTTATTTAAGCCTCCTTCAGTTGAATCTCTCAGGTTACTTATTTTCTAACAAATACAATATTGATTGTTATTTTGGATTATTTATTTCATTTTGGTTGTTTATTTAGTTTATCAGAGGAAGATACTGTTGATCCATTGGAAATCAAACCTCCTCAAATACATGTTCATAAAAGGCCTAGGAAAAGTAAACATTCCTCATCTAAACATGTAAGAAAACTTTTATTTTATTTTCAGAGCACATTGTTTCTTTCACTTTCTAATTTCCATTTTGTTTAAAGGGTTCTTCAGAACATAGGAAAAAACACCATCATTCCAGATCACACAGAGAAGATAGACATCATCATCACAGGTTCTAAACATTATATCAGTAATAGTTATTACAATTTTACTGTCATTTTATTTGCTACTATACCAAGTATGGTTCTCATATCATATCAAATCATATCAGTCACACTTGTTCATGAAATGCCAAAAACTTCCGAATCTTGCCGACTGCAACAATGTCAGAATCTTGTCCTCACCACCCATTGACTTTTCATTCATTTTTTAAAAACCCGCGTTTTCCTTCTTATAATATTAATAATATAATGATTGCTTAGAATGTGACTTTCATTTTCGAATCTGCAAATACAAGATTAATCTAGATTATAATAATATTGCATAAATAAAAATTATTGTCCACTGTGTTGTGTGAGAATTAAACAAAGGAATTTCCTGGAAGTTAAAATCTTGAAAATCCGTTCACTAGATATGAGAGGAAAAGTCTGAAAATTTTTCACTTGTTTCCTTTACTTGTGCTCTCTAAAAGGAGTTCCGCTTCAGTTACTCTATTTTCTATCGAACAAAGTATTTCATAATTAATTTCTAAGTTATTCATTATTAAGTTCATTACTTATTATATATTTTTTTTATTGGCCTGAAATCTATTGAACAAACAAACCTGATTATGGCCAAAATGTGGACACAAAGAATATAAACTATGTTCTGTGTACTTCACTGACATCAACCCCCATCTAACTTTGCTTACGGTTATTTTTATTCAGTGCAGTAACTTTGTAATTATTGTTATTCATAGTTATTTTACTTTATAATCTGAAAGTGTATGCTGTGGTTATGTTCAGTCATAAAAGAATAATTGTGTTTTTAACTAACTTAAGAGATCGATGAAGTGATTTTCCATACTCTTTCAAATAAACCCATGTATTACCAGCACGTCATGAACAAGTGCTCATTATTTTTGTCATAACTATACTTTATTTATCATTAAAGGACAAACAATTCAATGGTTTAATAAAGACAGTACCAAAATCAGTTAATTACTATTCTGTTCAAAAATTAGTTATTATCCTTTGCCTCTTGTCAACATGAGTATATTACACTAAAAGAAGTATGTCAATATTATTAAAAATTTGGGTACTTTGTTTCCATGGGGCCACTCCTGACTGCTATCTGCCAATGTTTATAACCTGAACACTGATAACTCCCATAACACAGTGATAAGCCTCCTCCTACTTCATATCTTTGAATTATTGTATTAAATTCGTATTATTAAAAGTGTTTACAGATACAAAAACAAATGTAATAACAAAAAAAATACTTTTATTTGACGACACATATATTAATGAAATAATAAAAAAACACTTATATGTACATATAAAACATCAAAATGAAATAATAAAAAAACATATTTAACTTTTTTACCCTAACCACCCCACAGTTGTTTTATGTGTTGAGTATGAACCCCAGTTGATGGATCGACAAAATTATACCGGTGATTCACTTGGAAATGGTCTTAGTTTGCTTCGTTCAGTTGTTGGATGTTGTATCCTTTCCAACAGTCCGAATAAATGGTCGTTCCCTCTTCTATATTTTCTTTAATGGCTTGTAATAAGGTTGTTGCCTTTCTGTCAATTATTCGATTCCTCGTCAATAATTCGATGACCTTGTTCACACAATTACACATCGGCAAGTACCCCAACATTTTGAAAATACTGAATTGCCTGTTCTTCTGAAGACGGTAAATCCCATATTCTAAGAAGATCCGCAATATGACAAAAATAAACGGGAAAAAAATGAAAATAAACACAAAGAGGCCACAAACTAAAAAAATATTTAAAATAAACACAAACGGGCCAAAAGTAAACAATTTAATAAGGGAATAACTGAAAACTAAACAATGCAATAACTCAAAAGTTTGGCGGGATAAGAAGAGGGAGGTTATGTGACGTGACGTTAGATAAGATAGATAAGAAGTGAGGTTTCAAAACGGACCTCTAGACACAAAGTACCAAAATTTGATTTTTTAATAATTTAACATATGAAATAGATTGCTTTTTTTTTTTTTTTTTTTTTGTAGCTTACATCATGCTATTGCAGCTACTCTCTTATGTGCCATTTTACGTTTTTATAGTGTACTTTAAATTCAATACTTGTTCTGAATCACTGTTCTAAGATAGTAACTGCAGTCAATATCATTTTGAGCACATTTTAGATGAATTCATTTAACATTCAAATCGTATGTGTGCATGCAAAATACACAACTGTATTTTAGGGATATTTTGAGACGTTATTGTTCTCATGTTCATTCCAATCAGTTCATAGACTAATTTTCAAGAAATAATTAGTAAACAAAAATTTAGTCACCGGTTCTTTTTAACTTAATTTATCTACCTTAATAATTCTTAATTTTTATTCTTTTTGTTTATAATTTTAGTGTTTGATATTTATATTCTAAAAATTTCCTATATTTATTTTTTCCACTGTAGGGTATGAATATGAGCAAAATTAAAAATCTTGGAATATCCTGAAAATGTTGTGTATTTATTAACTGAATTTCAGAAAATATTAGCTTTTTGTTAATTGAAAAAATAAAAATCTAAGAAATAGATTTCACAAATCCATATTGAATTATTAAAACATATATCGACAGCCATATTGCAGAAGCCTTAAGAACAAAAACTAAAAATTTTCAGGAGTCGAAAAAAACTGCATAATTTTTGTTCTATGAGCATTATATTTTCAGTTCAATCTTTTTTTTTTTTTTTTTTTTTGAGACCTAAGACAAAGATGTAATGATCTAAGTAAATTGTTTGATCATATTTATGCCAAATAACTTTTTAGAGTCATTCATTACTTCTAACTTGTAGCTTTTTAGTTACTTTGAAAAACAGTTATTAATTGGGTTTCTTGTTAATGATCAAATCATGACAAGAACAAAGTAAGTTTCCAAAATGTAGGGAAACATTACTAGAAATGAAAATTTATGAAACATTAGACTGTAAAGTGGGTTATTCACTTTTTTCTTGTAAGGGTGGCTTGAACAGATTTTGGAGTAGTCTATTAAAGGTTCCTTTTTAACGTACACAACTTCATATGGACATTTGTTTGATTCACGAATGGTTCGTAAGTTCTAGGTAAACTGCTGATGTGTAGATCACTTCGTTTCTGAGCTTCTTGTGATTTCGAAGATTCGTTGGTTTGAAAAGATGAAACTAGAGTTCTTTTTTTGTCTCATGTTAAATTTTCCAGTCAATGAAATCAATTCTCTGTCCCTCACTATCTGGAATTCGGTGGTGTTGTATTTTTTTTCTAGTCAAGCTAATTTTGCAGTTGCCAGGAGGTTTCGATTGTTTTGAAGGCCGCTCAGTATTATATTCCCACTTACCACTCTCTTCTTTTGCTTCATCTAGTTCTATGGTAAGCAGTGCTGGCCTCAGGGCACTTCAGAGGAACTCCGGCATATGCCCAGAGGCGCCGGGCTGGAAATACCTGCCACTTATTAGAAATTTAAAAAACATTGCAAAGCTTGTGAAAAAAATTAATTTTCGCCTATTAATAAACCTAATTGATACTGTAGTCTAGGCACAAAATGCTTAATATATTCTATAGTTTCATGAGCACCTTTCATTGAGCATTTCATTACGTTTTTCAGTAACGACACATTCTCTCTCTATAACCTTCACTGTAATTTACAGTTTTTTACATCACAATTTGCTGGTTTTTAACTTAGAAGTTTTTACAAAAGGATGTAGAGAAGAAATGTAACATCGTAGATTTCATTTTGTGGAATCTGAATAAGCAACTGGACAAGATTGACCAGAAAAGCTCAAATCAATAATTAATTTTTAATTAACCAATAATAATTCCAAAGAAATTATCCTTACAGGCTTTTGTTATATGGCAGTCGATATGCTACAATGCACAAATGATTGTAATAGTTGATAATTTCAACCTATAGAGAATAATTTGAAATCTGAGGCTAAAATGGGATTACAAAAAATTTGCATTTTAAGTTATTCATTTGTGGTTGTACAAAGGTATTTTTAATTATTAAATTAGGTTTTATTAATTTCCTTATTAATGTATTTTTATTTATTAATCTAGGGAAAGAAGTGCACTTAAAGATGAAGCTGCACGTGCTCGAGAAGAAGCTCTTAGAAGCAGGAGACATGAAACTAGGAGAGAAGAAAGAAGGATTGAGATTGAACAACAAAGGATTATTGAAGAGCAAAAAGTTCGGGATGAAAAGGAAAGATTAAAAAGAGAAGAAGCAATAAGGCGAAATAGGGAAATAGAAAGAGATTTGAGAGATAAACTTGAAAAACGAAGACATTTGGTAGCTAACAAAGAGAAAGACAGTAAAGAAAAAGAAGAAAGAGATCAAAGACGACAACGTCTGATGGAAGCTGAAAGAGTGAAGGAAACCTATAAAAAAAATATTGAGGAAAGGAGGCTGCGCCGAGAAGCCAAAGAAAGAAGTAGAAGCAGGGAAAGAAAACAACTTGGTAAATTACTTTTACATTTCTTTACCTCTTATTGAAATATATCATATTTATTAAGTAAATTACTGTTCCACTTAAAAATATTAATGTACAGGTTGCTTGTATGACACAGTCTCATCAATGAATGGCAAAAAGGAGTATATAGGGTGCATGGAGAGAGGGGAAGCATTTGACTTCGGTAATTTGTTGTGGTACTTAGGGGGTAAACATATCAAAAGTCCCCGCACCTACCTCTACCGCTCTATGGTAAGGGGTGCTGATGAGGTTCCTTTTTTCAGTTTTCACTTGTATCTCGAAACTTAGTGGATCATTAAGAAAAACTTATTCTATCCAAAATTAAATAGAGCAAATTTCCTTTCGGAATGTTTAACCATGTTCTCATTTTTGTTATAGTTTTCAAGATATTTACTGTCTTAAATAGATTACTTCCAATTTTTATTAAACTTGTTTTTTTTAACTCTTTAATCTTTTTCTCAACAAAAGGATTGACTTGAATAAAGATTAAGAAAATTTTATTTTCTTCAACAATATATATATATATATATATTGATAATTTATCATCAATAGGTCAAAAGTTATGGCAGTTAAATTTTCTGCTAACTTTTGTCATTGTGAAAAACTGCACTTTGGTTGTTGAATATTTACCTATGAAGGTTGTCTCAGTACATAATGATAATCTGTTTTTACATATGTACAACAATGTAAACATATACATTTGCTAAAAAAAACATGCTTAAAATTTTATTAGGTTTTCATAGAAACATGAGGATAATATTTTTTAAATATATGATAACGTAGTTTATTTAGCCCTAATTTCCTAATATAGTAAAACAATTTTTTTTGCTTATTGGGTCAAGGGTGCCCTGTTTAGTAAACAGGTGCTAGGGGCCTAAAACTTACAAAAAAAAATTAATTTAAAATCATTCCACCCATTCAAGATACAATCGTGGCACCGACAGACCAACAGCTGAAAATAAATTTTTTTGACTCAGGGGACTGTAAAATGTAAAGAACTGTTGCAAACTGCACATCAAAAATTCTACCCAATTTCAATATTTTCCTTGCTTAGTATCAGTAGGAAAGTAAAATGATTTAAGTATATAAAAATAATCTTTAACTTCAGTTATATGTCATTTTATAATGTATCGGTATACTGTGATTTTCTATTAATCATCATGTTTCAATAACAACTTTTATTTTTGTATATACTTACCCCAATATTATTTAAGGAACTAGTTGTTTAAAAGCTGACTTAATATCTATTTTTATAAGATAACGTATTTAAAAATTTTGAATATTTGTGGTAAATATTTTCTTATTGGACATTATTTTATTTAATGTTGTTCATTTCTCTAAAAGAATGCTTGCTTTATTCTACCAAATAAGTTTGATTTGTGTAATTTAGTCTTTCAATGTCCTATCCTTTTTGAAATATGTGCTTATATATACATTTTCTTTAAACAATTCTGATTAAAGTTGTAATTTTGATTTTTCAGCTGAGCAAGCAGAGGCTGCTGCACAACAGGCTGCTGCTCAAGCAGAAATGGAACAGGCAGGATTGGTAGTTCTTTCAGATGAATCACAGTCTCCTATTCTTATGGAAGCTACCGAAGAAAAAGATGATACTCCAAGAAGTAGGAATGGTGCTCATTCAACTGATAATTCCACTGGAGCTAGTGAAACAAGTTCTGATACAGGTTAATAATTATTTTTTTATAATTAATATTTCTAATTATATTTTTAAATTTGTATTGAAATTTCTATGAAATAGTTATATTATTTTTGTTTTTTTATTTAATATTTCGGGACTGGCTGCAAATCAGAACCTAGTAAGTATAGTTCATGACAAAAATAACCTTTCAATTTTGATTCTGGCATTTATAAACCAATTTTTTAAAGCATGTTTTTAAATGTTTATATTATTTGAAAGTTATTTTTCCTAACAATTACCTTCTCTCAAAGGTGAGTTATTTGTGCAAGTATCTTGTTTTTCCCTTTAAATAAGTAATGCTTTAAATAATGAGTCAATTAATTAGTTACAAGGAAATTTATAAAAAACTTCCTTTCTATTTATAAAAAATTGTTAACTGCATATAGCAAGAAGACTGGCGCAGCTTAAAATGCAACTTTTAATAGATAGATAGATATTTTTATTGTTTTTAAGCTCTTCAACTTACAGCAATCGTTAGGTTTTGCCATTTATATTTTTACAATACTTACCCTTAAAATTAAAAAAACAAAAAAAAAAACAGCAAAAACATGTATAAACAAAAATAAGTATAAATACTTATCTTAATTAATTTTAACAACAAATAATTGTTTATTCTTTCCGGAAAATATATAAGAACAACTAGAGAGATACTAAATAAATCACACAAATTTGTTTTTCTCTTAATTATTTTTAACTAAAAAATCTCCTTGCTTGAAAACATTTCTGAGCAAAAAAAAAAGTATTCTCAACCTCTCTCCATCTTCCATGCTTAGTACAGAGATCAGCTTATCAGGAGTTGTCCCTGGCTGTTCCTCATACAAGTCCTCAAGCATTTCACATCCAGTAAGCAAAGATACCACAGTATCTCCTCCAGTTGCACATAAGGAGCATACTTTTTATGCTTGAAAAGAGAAGCCCTGGCCTTGAGTATAGATCCTTGCACGTTTATGGCTTGCAAGATGAAGCAAGCTGAGCCTTCTCTATCCTATCCATATAATCTGAGACCCATATTTTTGACATATATAGTAGTAAAATCTCATGCATGGCTTGGAATAATCTAGATTTTTGCCTCCCATATGACTTTTTTTTGCCCTCCCCATCCTCGCCTTTTAGGCTAGCTGGGGGTTTTCCCAGGCCAGGAGGTAAGGGCGGGGTATCCCATATGAAATTTTTCACCTTAAATTTGATAATTATCTAAAGGAGCAGTAACCTAATATAATTCATTATTAATAGAGAAGCGTCGATGGTCAGAACAAGCTTCTATACATAAACATATTTGGTTTTCATAAATGCCAGCGTTTATATTATTTAAAATTTAATTGTATATATTACAGAATATAAGAATTAAAATTGATATATATTTAACAATCTTCATATTCAGTAGCACTCATATCAGACTAAAAATATTTTGTGGAACTTGATTATTTATTAGAATCAAATAAATAACTTGAATATACAATCATTGCAGGCAATGATTTGCTAAAAAAAACACACGCATAATACATCGAATGGCTGTGAAAAAAAAAATTTAGTATCTTTGATTTTTACTTTCTCTTCCCTATGTCTGAAAATACTTATTTTTTCTAAAAGAAGGATGGTAGGTTAAGTGCACCATACCACATTTTTTGTCTTGTTCTTGTAGGGATGTTTCGTTTTTTACCAGACCTTTCAAATAACAATTCCTCATATCACCATCTCTATTCACGAATTTTCTCTTTCTTTTATAAGCATTTTTAGAGGTTGTTTGCACTAAATACTGACGAATCTGTTTCATGTTGAAGGTCATTTGACTTCTCGAAATCGAAATCTCTTTGTTACAAATTATGCAACAAACAGTGTCTCAATATCATCGAGTGAACAGTAAGTTACTGGTTCGCGACTTTTAATAGATATGTATCTTTTTTTTTTTTTATTTGCTGTTATTTAACGTCGCATCGACTGCCAAGGTCATTAGCGACGATCGTTCTTCTTAAATATAACTTATCAATTTTATTTTTCGGATGCACTTCAGCGTTTTTTCAATACCAGTGTTTTCCTTATACAGTGCCTTGTCTTCAATTTGGAGTTCGATTTGCTGTTTCCGGAACTTTTTGCACTGGAATATGTGTTCAACTGTCAGATTAGCATTTTCACATACCTCACATGTTGGTCGATGTAAGCCTAGAAGTAGGTGGAGATGGGTCAGTTTGGTATGTCCAATCCTGAGCCTGCTTATTATAGAACACTCTTTTGATGTCAGGTGTTTTGGAGGATACCAAGCTCGATTGTCGTCTTTGGTATCTTTGTGTATATATTTTTGCTTAATTGTACTCAATAAGATTATTATAATTACTCAGAATTTTAAATGTTTTTATTTTTTGAGTTGTGCCAATCTTTCCCTAGCAAAATAGCTAGCAATGCTTGCTTGAAGCTTTTTTAATTTAAATGCTCCGTTATCTTTCCTTATAGACTAATTAGAGCTTAGAAAATCACCAGACATAGTTCAAACCAAGTTTAATAACAAGTTGTGTTATGACTTGCTATTTTGCACTCCGCCTTTAGTAGAGATTTATTCATTCTGTTTAATTAGCTGTTTTATAATTTCCTTGTTACTAGATTAGCCACTTAATATGATTAGCCATTTAGTGACGTGTTGGACCCTCAATGTTAGAATTTAGGTAACTATTTTTCATTATCAAACAGAGCAGTGATACAACCTTTTTAATTATTTAAATTCATTCTTAAGTCTGAATAATACAACCAAATATAGCATTATTTGTTTCCTAGTTTGTTTTTAATATAATCCAATAAATTGATGAAGGGTGTCTTGAATTTTTCCATTGAGAGTCCTGAAATCCTTGAATATGCTTTATCACTGGACACTCTGTTTTTGTTGGGGTTGGATTAATAGTCCTATGCCCTACAATCAGCTGAGAGAAGTATAAGAACTGAAGTTTCTGTCACTTTGTTGGACATAATGATTGAAACTGTACTAATGCCATAATTTAACTCACATTATTGTATTTAACTATCCAAACAGAATGTTTTTTTTTCTTGAAGGTGTGTTACTCCCCTTTTTTAAGTAATTAAGTCAGTTCTCAAATTATTATTATAAAAATATTTCAAAATAAAGTTGCACAGCTTTTAAATACTGCCTGTTACACTTTAGTATGTTTGGCCACAATGGCCCATAGTTCTCTCATTATGACCTGAATATTTCTGTTAATATTAGATGAGGAAACGGAAGATGAAGATGATGATGAAGAAGAGGATAATGGTTCCAATACTGAAGCTAAGGATGCAACACCTCCACTTCCTACTCAAGAAGATGAAGAAATGGAGCTTGAAAAAGATACATTGCTGCCTCCTTATTTACCAGCTATTCAGGGCTGTCGCAGTGTTGAAGAATTTCAATGTTTGAACAGGTAAACAATATTGAATTCCGGCAGTGAATTGTATTTGTAGATAATTTTTTTTTATCGATGTTCATTTCATTTTTATCAACCGATACAGGCATTACCCAACACAAATGCTTTTTTATTGTATAAATTTATGACAGTTAAAGTTTAACTAAATTTATTACTCATGATCCCTCCATTAAAATTGGTTTAAGTGTTAATAAGTTAGATTAATGTGTTATAAGCTGGATTGCATGATAAGTTATGATGTAAACTTAAAACAAATGTCTCGTTTGATTTGTCATTCATTCTTTAATCATTGCTTCTGGAGGTACCCCTCTATATCTTACTTCATAGTAAGTTATAGTATTTTCAGCCTTACAGACTGATAGTACTCCTATTAGAGTCGTGGGAGGATTTCTCAGTTGTCCTTTTTAGCTTCCTTCAATATATATATTAAAAAATATCTCAGATCAATTTTTCGATGTTTCTCTCTCAATATTAGTTCAGATATATATTTTTTTATATTATACTAAATTTTAAAAGATTATATTTTTATTTTAGGTGTTTTATTCAGTTAAGTTTTATCTTTTATTAAATCTGATGTTATACTTATTATTTTATTAATAAATTTTTTGTTTCCCTATTTTAGAATTGAGGAAGGTACATATGGAGTAGTATACAGGGCTAGAGATAAAAGGACTGAAGAAATAGTGGCATTAAAGAGACTAAAAATGGAAAAGGAAAAAGAAGGCTTTCCAATTACTTCTTTAAGAGAAATAAACACTCTCTTGAAGGTATTTTGTTTACTATGATATCTTATGTTTGATTTAGAGGAAAGTTGCCTACATTAGACTGTTCCATTGGGGTTGTTTCAATCTTAGTGTGTTATCTAAATTAATGTATGTTAATATTTTAAGAAAAAAAAATATCCTTACACCAAGTAATAATTCTTTTTTACCATAATTTTGTTGTAAAAATCTTTAAGTCTTAATTTCACAAACTAATTTCATTATTTGGACTATGGATGACCTAAAATAAACCATTCATAGGGACTTGATAACATATATATATATATATATAATGTTCTGTTTTTATTAAATTTGAATTGAATTAATAATGATATTGAATTATAATTTTATGTTATGATAAATTTTATGGATGCTGAGGGCTTTACTGATTCATGGACTGTGAATTGCTAAGGATCATATAAATGACATCAATACATCAAATATTCTATTTAATTAAAGAACTCTTTTTTTGGCGGGTCCTCCCCTTCCTCGCCGTTAAGGCTATACGGGTTTTCACGGGCCAGGGAGTGTGGGTGGGGATTTAAAAGACTCCCTCGGCACCGGGACGCGAACTCGTGACTATTTTAATATCATTTGTCATATATCAGGTTGCCGAGCAACGGCGGTGCTGTGCACACGCATTAGCCCATTCGGCCACTCCACCCACACTAACAATAAAATAAATTTAAATTCATACTTTCTATTAGTATAAAATTCTCATTATTGGTTAGATCTGTGTTCCAAGCATCTAATCTCCTCTCCTGCTTCCTTCGTTAAACAGCTTGGGTGGCTGGTTCTCCATCCCTGGGGCTTTTCTTGTTTTAAACCTTTTTGATAGCTATTTCCACATCCATTTTATCTGGTTTTTCGATTTCTTCTGGGTCAAAAGGTTCTCATTATGGTTTATGTTTTCTTTGTTCATGGGTTGTATGTATAATTGTCCAGAGTTGCTGGAACAGTTTTCACTTGGCTGAGGATGTACCTTTTTCTTCATTCATTCCTCCACTATCTTTTCACATGTTTCTGTGATCCACTTCTTAGCTTTTCATTTTCCCTGAATACCTAATACTTGCTTACTTGTTTATTTTAGCCCTGGCTTTTATATCTCCCAGTGTTAATCCACCATTGATACTCTGTTTTGTGGATTTGCTTAATACTCTAAAATAATTTGATTCTAATCAAATATGAATCATGTGTGATCCACTCCATTGTCATTGCTCATTTTGTGAAGTCTTTGGTCTCCGATAATGACTATAAATATTATAGACGAATAAATTAATGAAATTTAAATTAAAGTTTATCTAAACACTAGCATAAGATGGTTTACAATGAGACTTCTTTAACTTCTAGCTAAATAACACTTATGTTTAAAATAACCAAAACAACATTGTAATTTAGCAAGAATTTTGGTGTACATTACTAACTTGTATCAACATTAAATTATCCAGTTCTGGATTATTCATTGCATAAATGTTAAATTCACCACATCTTACTTAAACCATTAATTGTCTACTTGGTTATATCTTTCAGGAATAAATGAATCATGCAGTTATTTTAATACACCCTTGAGATAAGTAATAATTAATCCTAAAAAGGCAACTTTCTCTCTTCCCTTCTAAATACTATAAATACAAATACTAATTTTTTTTTTTAATAGGCTCAACATCCTAATATTGTTACTGTACGTGAAATAGTTGTTGGTAGCAACATGGATAAAATTTTTATTGTTATGGACTATGTGGAACATGATTTAAAATCACTGATGGAAACAATGAAGTCCAAGAAACAGGCCTTCATACCTGGTGAGTAGAAACATAAATTTCATTGTATTATTACTTCAACAATAAGATAGTCATTATTTTTGTTATATCAGTTTTTGTCATTATAGTTTATTACATGCTCTTAATTTTTAAGTATTCTACATTCAAGAAAGAATCACTTCTGGAACAAAATCTTTTATTTATACTTCTTTAACCGGCTTACATGTTATAAAATAATAAGGTGTTGAATAACAAGTCTTCTTTTTCAAAAACCTCTGTACAACCGAATGTTTAGAAAAGAGATTATTCAAAGTGGAATGGTTCAATAGACTAGGAACTACCGCCATTTTTAATTATAGATAATTCTCACCTGAATACACAACTCCGGTCAGTTGCTTTATATAAAAAATTTTAAATTAAAGAGGCGAAATTTGACAGTTCATTTAACGGAAGAACATATGGCTTAAATTTTGATATGATGTCAAGAATACTTTCTTAAAAGAGAATTCACCTTAACTGAAGATGTACTCTGTTGCATTTTGAAAACTGACGCGTCAGAATTTGAAGACATCAAATTAGGCCAGTGGGAACGTAGTTGGATGAGAAAAAATTGAAATAGTCTGTTTCTCTTTGGTATGTTGTGTTTTTCGGCATGCTGAATCTGAATTTTACGTTCCCGAACAAAATTTTCCATGGTGTTCCGAGATATATGCAAAAAATAGCAAAATTTCCAAACTTTTTTTGGACATGACTCTGAAACGATGCATTTCATCGAAATTATTACTATATAAAAAGTTAAAGAAGATAAAATTTACTATCAATTTTATACATAGCTTCTTGATGTAGGTCCAATGGGTGAGGAGTTAGAGAATATTGACTGTATGCTTATTTCAGAAGAAATTCCTGTTTTCATCGGTTTTTCTTCCAAAACTCAAAATCTATACATCTCTCAAAAAAATTCACTATAATCAATTTGAAAGATTTCAAGTGAATTTTGAACTGACCTGAGCTGTGTATTCAGGTGAGGATTATCTATAATTTAAAATGGTTTCTAGCTGTCGGTCCTCCCTAGCTATAAGCTCCTAGTCTATAAGTAAGGTGTGACGAATTTAACTTTTATTTTTAATCTTGGAACAAGTGTTGGACAACAATTAGACTACTGAGCAACTTATATTCCATTAATCTGAGGGTATCATTTGATCTTGTCAAGTAATCTATTCAATAAGATGGACAAGTAATCCGATATAATTGAAATCCTATGAATTTACTTATTTCAAAACTATTGTGTTCCAGAATAAGCCATGAAAATTATGTTTTTAAATATTTGCACATGAATATATTGTTAAGTACAATATAGCCTTTTGAATATATACAGTAAAAATGTCAAATTCTATTCTTTGACTTAATTAACTGTTTTTTCATCATACATATATTAATATATTAGTAAATGTTGCAAATAGTGTATATTTATAAGAAATGCAGCCTAAAATTTCTAAATGAATAAGACATTTTATTAATAGTTATAAAATCTGAAGTCTCAAAATCTTGTGTAAAAAAGTTAATAAGCTCTTTTTTGTCCTCGTAAAAAGTAGAATTAACAGTGTCTTCTGGAACTTATTAGCGTATATTAATGGATTTATTTTCGAGCTAATACTTAAATAATTGTATTCAAAGTTTTTTAGATGCAATAGAAAAAAAAATTATAGTCCCTGATTCTTAAAACTAAAAATGAGATGGTCAGAATGGTGGTCAAGTGCGCAAGGTTTATTATACCTCGAACATACGGAAAAGTCAGGAAATTTCTTGAACCTTAAAAATCAGGGAATTATATTTTAAAAAAAAACAACAACACTGGAAATCAATGAATTTTACAAGCTAGAGGATGCAAGCCCGATTTAAAGATTCAGAATCTCCATTTTTCAGAACAATTTTATATAATAACGATGAACACACATATATCCATACATATGACACATCAAACGTATTATGGTGTGTTAATAGATTTTTCATGATAAGCAGTTATTTTATTTTATAGTAATTGTTTTCTGATTATATTCTTAAAACTAATTTATCTCTGTGGAAAATTTTCCCTAATGCATTCGACATATAAGTGATATCAGCAAAACAAGCTTATCCATATATACATTATAATATTATGTAGAGTTTATTCAACGCATACAATTGGTGGTTTCATATTTTGCCAGGACCCTTAAAGTAACAGTATTGTCGTATCCCTTAACTTATACTATTCCATTATTGTCCTCGCTCAAGACCTACTATTTGTTTGGCACAGAAGAGTTTTGTAGTTCTCTCATAGTAAAGAGTATAAAAGCCTTACCTGGATATATTTTTTATTTATTAAAAATATCAAAAAGGTTCTGTCTATAATATCCGAAGTGTCCAAGGAATCATAGAGCTATTCTCCTCCATTTACCTTTTCTATAAATTTTTATTTTGTAGAAGAATATCATAAATAGCAATATTTTAATTTCTTAAACATAAACATTTGATAAGTATCCCATGGCAACCATAGCACTCAAACAGTTTTTGGCAAGTATTAGTGTTTCTTGAAAATTCTTGAAACAGTATATATTCGTGCTTTAAGACATTGAGGGGGCGGTATTGTTCCAAAGGATAAAAAAATATTCCTTGAATATGTTATAATAAAGAATATAAAATGGTTGAATGGAGTAATAATTGATAATTATAAATCTTATCGTAGTAAAAATTTAATTTAAAGTTATTTGTTTAAATAAATAAACAGCAGTTATTTACAAGATGTACAAGTATAATATTATTTATCAACAAAGAATGGACAGAAGTGATAAATCTTCAGATGGATCAAGATCGGAAGTATAGCAAATAGTGTTACAGATTTGGTTGAAAGGACTGTCAATAGCTCTATAATTCACATAAATTAAAAAAATAGCAAGTTCGCTGAAGTTCAGAGTTTACAAATTATTCCTATAGAGTTCATCAACTCAAATTTGAAAATGAAAGATAAGAAGTGATAGAATCATTGTTACTCCAAGTTCCTTAGCTTCAAGACCTATTCCCTTGGACTTTGTTGCCACTGCTCTACTTCTAGGACTTCATCCAGTAACTTAATTAATTTTTTTATTGATATAAATTATTGTTAAGGGTATTGATTTTTTAAGTGATATAAATTATAAAATGAATAATTCTGCTTAGCTCTTATTCAATAATAAGATGTACAAAGGTTTAATTTTATTTATATATAATATTTTATGTTATTTTCGTTAAATGCAACCATTGGTTTCAGCTCTCCTATAGCCATCAATCTAGGTGTATAATAATTAGTAAATATCCAATATAAATATTTTGCTACCATTTCTTTTTCTGTTCCATAAGATAAATTTATTTGGATTATTAGCTCCCCTCTTCAGGGAATATCATAAACCTAAACACATTAATGATTATTTATTACACAAAGTGTTATTAGTTGGGAACTTTAAAAGGCTTGTAGGGATGGATGTAGGAATATATTTTTGATTTCTTAAATGGAAATTAGAAGCATTTTCTAGTTAATATTACTCTTAGATTTCGAATGTAAAAAAAAAAATAATGAGAAAAAGTATATTTAAATAATATCTTTTGTCTTTTCTTTTATCTGGCTCTAAAACACTACACTATTGTTCAGACGATTGATGATTAAATATATTAGACTTCTAAATTTAATTTGATATCTTTATTTAATCTAACATTTAATGTGTTAGATAATTTAATGTTGCAGTGTTGTTAAATAAGAGAGAAAGGTATCAATCAACAGCACTTTGAATAATTATTTTTCCTTCTCACTGCTAACTATTAATATTTCAATTAAGACTTTAGGTTAAATACTTTTTGTTAAAATATTTATTTATGTTTTTAGGTGAAGTCAAATGCCTTATGCAGCAGTTACTTCGAGCTGTGGCCCACCTACATGACAATTGGATTCTGCACAGAGATTTGAAGACTTCGAACCTTCTCCTGTCTCACAAAGGTGTTTTAAAAGTTGGAGATTTTGGTCTTGCAAGAGAATATGGCTCTCCTTTGAAACATTACACTCCGATAGTTGTTACATTGTGGTATCGAGCTCCAGAATTGCTTCTTTGCACAAAGGTAACATTTGATTTTTGTATTGATCACAGTCCCCTAAGTTACCTTTTGCGGCTCGCCAAGCAGTTTCATATTTCCTTTGCAAATTAAGCATTATATGTGTTCACTAGTTGTATTGGGTATATAAGCTGATCCCATGGGCAGTAAGTTATTATTTGTTGACAAATTATGTCTAGCAAAGGTATGGTCACTAAATTTTTTTATGATTGCTGCACTTATGGAATTGTTTGTTATTTTCATCAACAAATGTACAAATATTGAGTAGTAAATGACATATTCTTACATTATTTGATTTCAATTAAATATTGAAAACTCAAGAAAGTCTAAAACATCTCCGTTCTCGAAAATATGTAGAAGTTTCTACCATTTAATGTTAGGAAATTTGTAATTTAATTATATAAAATTTCATCTATCAAAATAATTTCTATTAGGTACATTGGAATTATTAATTTTGGAACTATTATATTATTTTGTTTCTTACATAAAGTATAGAAAATAGTCACTTGTTTTTTTTTATATTGTACAAATTCTAGCTGTACTATATAAAATACTGCTGCACTCACACATTGTCACATCCTATCGAATGGTATCTATTCCAATGAGCTATAGACCCCAGAGGTGGTAAAAAAAATTACAAAAATAACACCACCTTGTCATAATCACTTTGTGATGTCAACAGCGTTACCTAACCAAGACCATGTTGAAGTGAAGTCTTTTGGACTCATGTCCCATTCTTCCATCGGTACGTGTATTAACATGCTAAATGTTAATAAAAACTGTTGTGATAATATATCTATTAGTTGGTGAACGTGAATTATGTTTAAGTAGGAAGAAATGGCTGAATTAAATTTGAAGTATCCGGTACTAAGCACCAAAAATATTGTTGAACTGGTTGTTTTTACCTATTACTCCAAATACCTAATAAACTACCAATTTTAATCAGGGTCTCCCCAAAGGTCGATGGCACATCCTCCCTTTTCCCTTTCTTCCTCCAAGAAATGTGTCTATTACTCACTTCATTTTAACATACCCTGTAAAAAGGTATCAAATAAATTTAAATTTTGCATGAATCATAGCTATAATGTACAAGTGCAACTAAAAGTTCCTGTTTTATTATTTAATATCCAAAAAACACCAAAGGTTAAAGAAAAATTAGTAAAAGAACGGATAAAATAATATCTCATTAATTAATACTCTTAATTATTTATTAATATAGGATAACAGTATTTTTTTTTTAATTATTATTACATTTTTTAAAAGCATATTTACATAAAATGCGGTCTGACGTAATTCATAAGATTTTATGTCATCAGAGTATCTAGTGGTTCCATTTGGGTTAGCAAGGCTTAGTATTGGTCAGTTGTTCCTTAAAAGTTATTAAAGCATTATTGATAATTATTTCTAATCTCTTCATTTTAAAAAAGTTTTTAGTGACCTTATATTTTATTTTGCATCTTCAAATGTGGGACGGACTGTAACGAAGACACCACACTTCTTATTCCCAGAATTATTTCTCCATTATTTTGGTTACAAATTGGAAATAAGAATAATTATAATAATATAAAGTGGTAATAAGGCACGATGTATATTATAGATTTTTAAAGAAATTAAAAATTTGTCTGAACTGTGGTTTCGTTCTATTTATGTTGATAAAAAGTAATGCTACACAGCATACAAATTACAGCTATGCAATTTGTAAAATGAAGGTTGGTCCGCCATTAGGTGGACAGAGGGTGCCCCCTAGCTTTTATTCAAAAGAACACTGATCAACAAAAAATACCCTAATAAGCTAATTCTTCAAATTCTAATTTTTGGTTGATAAAGAAGTAAATATGACATTTTTTTAAATTAGCTTTTGTTCTCAAAATACTTGATTCATACATAATACATATGGCCTCTTAATAAGTTTCCTACGAGATATTAAAAGATGTTTTATGTCTAAAATATATAATAATAATATTTTACTGTATAATAAATTTTTAAAATTCTGTTTATAATTAATTTATTGTTATTGTTAACAGGAGTATTCCACTGCGATAGATATGTGGTCAGTTGGTTGTATTTTTGCCGAGCTCATGACAATGGAGCCTTTATTTACTGGAAAGTCGGAGCAAGATCAACTGAACAGAATATTCAAAACTTTAGGAACACCAAATGAAAGGATTTGGCCAGGTTACTCAAAACTACCTGCTGTTCAAAGAATGACATTTACTGAATTTCCAGTTTCTGTTCTGAGAAGTCGATTCTCTGTTCCTCCAACAGAATGTGGTTTCAGTTTATTGAATGGGTAAGTTGTACATTTTTTCTTGGTATAACTGTTATTTTACACTCCCAAGTTTATTAGTAATAAAGTAGAATTCTGATAATTCAATTTGTAATTAATATTGACTGCAAATGAAGTACAAATTTTTGAGGAAAAAAAATTATCAAGATTTCCAATAATAGGAAGTAAAAATAATAATAAAAAAAGTAACAAAACTATTACAGAATTTTATAACTATAAATTTACAACAAAGGATATAGGCTGAACAATCAAACATTACAACTTCACTTTTGAAAAAAAAACAATTATTTTCTTTGGATGTAAACGTTGAAGATGGGTCCTTTCTGTATTTTTGTCTGGTGGGTTTAGAGCAGAGAATGCGTCTACACCAACATCCGATTTTTCTAAAAAATGATGCACGTTGTTGATTAAAAGAATTAAAAATAAAATGTATTTAAAATACTATGAAGAACGAAAATAAACACAAATTATTGAGGGGAACAAATCATATTGTTTTATACAAATTAGAGGAAGAATTTCAATGGATGGGCAAATCCATACTGATTACCAGGATACGAATAATCGGGGTTCTACTGTATAACCATTTAAGGAACAGACATTTTTATCATATGTTTTAGTTCTGTCTACTTGACCATTTTTGGTATATGACGTTCTCAGCAGCAGTGAGGCAATATGCATAGGCATTTGCTAACCATTTTGGACTTTATTATTTATATATGCTTTAGGGTATGTATATATTTCTGAGAAAATTTAAGTAGGATTTCTTATGGTACAGCCCAAGGCGTGACTGTGTACCTTATTGGCCTAATTAATAAATGCTCTGATTAGGAGTTAAGGTTTAGGAGTTTCAGTAGAAACTCCATGCTCCATGCATGCCCCTGAAGAAGATCTGCATTGGCAGGTCGAAACGTTGGCTTTAAATAAATTAGTTTTTCCAATATTTTAGTCTTTTTATGATTGCCACCTCGGACCATTTCCTTCCTCTAAAATATACAATGGACAACCATTAATTTTTCGATAAAATATTTTAAAATAAAATCAAATATTTGCCTCACATTTTTACCTGAATTTGAATAGCTAACTCTTTTATTCTACTATAAAGTTATGGGGAAGAAAGTTATTGAATATTAAAGTTCTTAAAAAAATATTAGTACAGTAAAACTCGAAACCAGAACATTAAAAAATTCTATTTAGTATACAGTTAATAAGTATGTTAACACTTAATACAATCTGAATCTATTGGCATAGCACAATTCCAGAGTGAATAACAATAGAGATACATAATATTTTAAATTAACACCTTCTAAAATTGTTATCAACCACTTAATAATAAATATATTTAGTAATTTTGTTACTTATATAAAAAATACTGATTATAAAAAATTTCATTTCAGAAAGAGAACTGGATTTAATTTTAATTTTAGGAGCTAAATTAATATTAAAAATTGCATAAACCATTGGTTATGCCAATTCCAAACCACATTGTGGTATATTTAGGTTTAGCGCTCTTGACTTAAACATATCAATATAAATTTTTTTGTATAGGGATAATTAATTGATTTTATTGATCTACATTTTTTTTTAACATTTTTTTATGTACTAATGAATAAGTCATTGCTTATCTATATGATCAATTATTCTTTATTATCATAAATAATATCAATCTTTTCAAGTTTCATGTATTTCTCTTCAATTTGAAATTTAATTCCCCTTTCATTTAATAACATAAATCTGTAGAATTAATTTAGCTAACATCTATTTTTTTTTTTTTTTTTTTAGGTTTCTAACTTACAATCCGGCCACAAGATTGGCTGCTGAAGCAGCTTTAGGTCATGAGTACTTCAAAGAAGTTCCTTTACCCATAGACCCAGCAATGTTTCCTACCTGGCCAGCAAAATCTGAAGGGCATAAGATTAAGAAAGTTTGTAGCCCTAAACCACCATCTGGAGGAAGAGATTATAAACAGTTGGTAAGTTTTATCTATTTTTTTCTTAACTGGTTAATAGAGATAGTTATTGCACGAATGATTTTATGATTTGAATATTTTTTTCTTATGGAAGTAATCATGCAGCAGTCAAGTACAAAATGTATTCGTGATTTATATCAAATTACTAAAAACATACCACCAAAGTCCTCTTGAGTACTTTTTCATTGCTCAACTCCATCATTATTATTAGATATTATATGCAGTCGAAGTGACACTAATATGTAAATTTAACAGATTTGATGATTGGACAGATATGGTAATTAATTGTTTAAAATGAAAATGTTATACATACCGCTTGTAATTTTTTCTTTCACTTCTATATACAAAAACATCTATTTCTACTTTTAAATAAGCTGGTAAATGAAAGTTGTGTGTTGCATGCTCCAAATTTTATTATATTATTTGACTTACTTGCTTTGAACTTAAAATATATTGTACTATTGATGTAGAATGTAAAAAGTCCAGGCTTGAACCTTCATTTATATGTTGTAAAAATATATTTCATTGTTATACTGTTCGGCAAGTGGTCAAAATTTGATAATCACTATTGAATATTTGAGTAAAACATAAATGAATTGGCATGATTCCAACATTTTTTTTTTACTCTTATGTATTCGTACGTTTACTTTTATATATACTTACATAAGAAAACAGTGCTGTAACATTTTTATTCTATTTGAATTATTGGCAAATAAAAATATGAATCCATCATAACTTTTTTCAAAAAAGTATTTGAAACCACTTTTCTCACTCAAAAATTTGAGGAAAAAAAATATTATTTTTCAATTGCTATGGAAATTCTTATTTGTGGGTTTTTCCAAGTGCGAAATACGAAAATCTCAATTTGGTTTATCCTTAAAAAATATTTGAACCCATCTTTGGTCTTTCCGTCAGTACTAATTGTTTCATTTCAACATTTTACTTATACTATGTAATAGCAATATGCCAAATATAAATTATTCATGATAGAACTCTCTTAAAAAATATAAATAAAAAAATACCTTACCGGAAATGATTCTTTTCAATTTCAGTGATTTTTAAAATTTTTTTTTTGGAATTTATAATACTACTACTTTCAATAAATCATTGTGTAAATTTTGAATTATTCGCGAATAAAATTCGAAATCCATCTTAAATTTTTGTTTTTTAACAATATACCAATAGATTAAGAAATATTGACGTTTATTGCCATAATTATTCAGATAGGAATTGTTTATAAAAAATATTAAAAGTGTCCATTTTTTTGCAGGAAGACACAGATGAAGGGTTCCATATGGGAGTTGGGGACAGGAATCAAGCTACATCTGGTCCTGGTTTCAGCCTCAAATTTTAAGAAGCATTGTTTTATTGTTGTTTGTACATATTTGCTTAGATTTATAAACTTATTAGTGTTATGTATAATAAATTTTTGTATTATAAAATTTTTTTTTAAAAACGTTTATTTATTGCTTTATCCTATCAATGTGAATTTTAGCACAATTATTTGTATATATATAGAAATGAGTTTTGGATAAGCTAATCTGGACTTTTAATAAAAGTTTAGTAGTGACAGAAAGAAACATTTCCTATTACTTTTAGCGTATTTTATACAAAATAAACTAAGAGTTAGGAGATTCAGCTGGAGCACACTCTGCCTCTATATAAATGGTATTCTTCCTTGATCCTTTAATGTGTCAGGGGAAAATACGGGCTGCTGGCCATGATCATGGCCGTAAATTTAAGATCCTTATACAGATTAGAAACTTTTACGGGTTGGTAGTGGCTCAAGTGACTACCCCACTACAGATCCTATGTGGGTTCAGACACCACAGTTCTGCCCGTGCACTGTAGAATTTAAATAATTTAAAATCCATAACCTTTATCAAAATCAAATATCTGATTGAAATGAATTTCATTACTTAATTGACCTTATTAAAAGATGAACTGCATTGTCATTATCTCTAAATTTTAGGGTTCTAACAAATGCTAGGAAGTTGTAAAAAATAAATTATTAATATTTTTAGATAAACACCAATAAAAACATTGAAATATGATTAAATAGAGGATTTTTTTATTCCTGTCTAAATGTTCTTTTAAGTTCCTGAAAGTCATTGAATACAAACGTATATGAAGAACTTTTGGAGCTATTAATGAAATTCTACATTACACTAATTACTATATGTATAATTTTTGGATTTCTTAAGGTCACCCTACGAAAAAACATGTTTTGTTAGTCTTTTAAGTAAACTTTGCAATCTTATCTCTAAAGAATTTAAGTAGTTGTAAAATCCTTTATCTTTATCAAATATCTGATGGTCAGGAATTTTATATATCTCAATATTTGATCACGTTCCATAAAAACTGTACTGGTTTCTGGTACACTAGATTTATATTTATCCACACTAAATTGAAGCAATTTTTATTAAAAATAATATGGATATTAATTGAATAGAAAACCAATTTAACAAGAAAGGTATTTTAAAATATTAATAAAATTAAACATTATATTATTTACAATTAAAAACAAAAGTTAGCCTAGTAACAGCAGTAGACTATAGAAAGTATAGTATAAAAACTGAATAAGAAATAGAGTGTGCAAGGTTTTAGTTGATTTTAAATTTAAGATGATTAGATATCTGAATCTCTAGAGGGTTTGTAATTGGGCACCCTAGCCAGTTCTTTTGCTTATATGGAGGACCATCAAGAATCAGTTGTTCTTCATTAAGTACTGAATCAACTTGGTGCTGCGCACACGCCCCGCTCGGCCATCCCCACCCGATACTGAATCAACCTAAAATGATGGGTACAATACTCAGTACAGAGTAATAATAATGCTGTGAAAGTGATTGACTATCATACTTCATGAAAAAGTATTGGTCTTCGATCGTAATTTGTAGTTCATTAATAAAAATAAATAAATAAAAAAAAACTACACTGGGAAGATAATTTATAGTTGAAGAAACATTAGAACTTACCATAGGGGATATAGTAGTAAAAATTGCAAAAGTTCGTTTCCACCTCATAGAAGACACTACACCATATGCACTTCCTCCCCGCCAAAAAAAAATTATGATTTTTATTCGAAACAGTTCATTTTTAAAATAGAAATGTTATCACATAAAGGTCTATTTCATGCTGTAAGGTAAGCCTGGCCAACCAGCTAAGACTGCAGAGCAGCTTCATATTCTTATGGAAACTTTAGTTTCTGATTATTTAAACTAAATAAAAATTTATATGTATAATTATTACAGTAACTATAAACTTCATTATTGTATTTGATAACCATGAACACCGAATGTTATTGAAAGAATCTAAAAAACGTAGTGAAAGAAAGGATAAACAATTATCAACTTAATTAGTATTAATAAGTTAATGAAATTGTATTATAGTACAGTTTTGTTGGTTATTTTTATTCAATTTTTTTAAAAGCATGTTTACCAAAAGTGCATTTCATTACAGTTACATTATGAGTTATCTAAGTGGCGAATGAAGTTGGTTCAGTTTGGCTATGGCTTTCTTAAGGAGACAAAGGAGTTGAGAAAACATTAAAAATCCATAAGCTAAGCCTAACTTTTAACTTGATAATTTTCTTCTCTTTCTTCAAAGATCATTCATTACTTTTATAAAACCACTACCTATACAAACCATACATGTTATTGCTCCAGTCTAAAGGTATAAAACAATTAAACAAGCACACTAAGATGGATGGATCCATCCCTCGCTCACAATATGAGCTATTCAAATCGGAAAATAATTCGTAAAGTTTTGAAATTTTAGAAAAGCACTCATAAGGGACATAGTAAAAATAAAAAAATTCCAAGAAAAAAGAACTAATTTTTTTAAAGCATAATTGTTCTTTTTTCAAAGAGAACTGTTATTACTTCAAATATTTTTTATAAATTCTTCATATAATAATTGGTTAAGACACCACTTCAGCCATGCACTGGCTTACTAAAAATCTGCATATTCCATGATCCAACATCTTGAGTAAACTAGAATAGCAGAAGAAAAACTCATTCTTTGTTCATAAAAAGAAGAAACTAATGGTAATAAAACATTAGATGGACAACATATGTCATAGTTTAGACAAGGTAATGGTCAGAGTCAACATTGGCTCCCCTGTAGGTCCTACTATTTTAGGAGATTGGATTTGTGACGTGCACTAATTAAGATGTGGTCAATCTGGTTATGTGTAACGTCATCGGGTGATTTCCATGTGATCTTGTAAATCCGGCGCCCCGGGAACAGAGTATTCCCAACTACTTGATTTCTTGATGCTGCAAAATCAATGTCAATCAATGGTAATGTCAAGTCTGTATTTGTTCAGTTCTGAAAGGACTTGAAGCCCACCCGGTCTATATAAAGTTAAAATGTTAAACATTCCTATTCTGAAGTCCATTTGATGGTTTCCATGTCTGTTACCATAGGATCTGCTGGCTATTTCTCGTTGAGGTCTCGGAATGAAGAAGTTTCAGAGGGAAGGGTTATCAGCCCTCGCCCTTCTAGTCAGGTAGAGGGGCTGTCTCCTCAGAGCCTCCTGACAGCTCATGGGCGAGTTGCCAGGCTCTAGCCTACTTCATCAGTCCCAAGCCGACCAAAGAGGCGTTTCCCACCTGGGCACGGGGGTCACCTGACCAATCCTTGTTGTCACCTTCGCTTGCTCTCCCTAGAGTGCTGGCCATCATTGGTAGATTCCACTATTTACTAGAGGAGTCTCTGGCTAGTTCCAACCATTGGCAGGCATAGTCATTACTATATTTTTTATAAATTATTGAATTATAAGGTGGTGAATCATCTACTAACATAAATTTTCCAACAAATAAAAAATAAACTTTTATTACTCAATTCTATAAATAAATTAACAAAATATTAGAAGGAAGAGATAATGGCATCCTTACAACTTATTATTTATTTTCATGTTTCTATATACAATTTACTTGTATTTCAAATTAATTAATTTTTAAATACAATATTAACATTTCAGTACTTCACATACTTTGAACCTGACAGTTTAAATAGAAGATTCGAATCACGAGCAGGATCAAATCCCTCTGAATAGCGGAATTGAGGAGACTGGAAAATAAAGAAGAAAAAATTAATTATTAAATTTTAAATAAAATAAATTGTGTGTTATTGTGGATGAGCTTTAAGACAATAAGAAAGATTTTTTTTTTCTTATTGGCTTATTTTACACAATTTATAGGCCTTGGTAGTCAAACATGTAAACGTAACATTACCAAGACAAACATTTCAAATCCTGCCAGGATTATTTGAGTTTTGATTTTATATTTATTTATTTAATCATATCTACCATGCTTTTAGTAGTATTGGTAGCATTTTCATTTAAAATGAATTTATCTTTATTTTACACTAAAATCTACAACTCCTGCAGAAAAAAAATTTCATCGCACAGAACTATCAATAAAACTATGTTATTATTTACATAAAATTTAAGGGTAGTGCCACATATAAAAGTAGAATAAGAAATCTGCAATCATATATACATTAAAAATAGTTCCAAAACACCTTGTTTTTATAGAAATAAGAACTTACATTATTCACAACATTATAGTATGTGGCCATATCTTCACCAGGGGCTATTAGCTCAGGTGCATCAAGGAATGGAACGTTTAAACCATGCATCAATTGACCTTTTTTGTCTGCATATCTAAAAAAAAAAGTAATAATAATTATAAAATCAATATCTAAATAATTTTATATCCAGATAATCAAAAATGCCTTATGTTAAATAAACTTAATCAATGTATCTTTAAAAAAATAAACAAATAAATAAATATTTATATTACTTTTTGCCATATTTTAAAATAATGCTTAAAATTAATGTAAGCATCTTATCTTAGGATCTGTTTGAAAAAAATAAAACAATAAAATCTCTATAAAAAAATGTCTTTTCAAAACTTCCCTAAAAGCTTCGATATTTTCTTTTCATAATAAAAACAGACAATTATCAGAAAAAGCACAGTGAGTTAAAATCATAACTTATCTATTACTATGATTATTTTATTACTTCTGAGGAGCCATTTCTTTTTAAAAATTGCCTTAATTTCCAATTTTTTTCTGTACATTATCAAGGTGTGCAGTGTTTTTCTTCAACAAAATTCCCATTCATTTCCCAGTTTTTCGAGCAAATTAAACAGAGGCTACGATGAAACAGATATTGCTTTCAGGTTATAATGAACTTTGGGAGGAAACTATGATCCCTCCTAACTGGCAAAATATACTTATATTCTCAATATTAAAGCCTGGGAAAGAGATCTGTTTCAAAATAACTTCATACCAACCCATTGCTTTCATTTCAAGCTTAGTGAGTGTTCAGTAAAATTTTCAAAACGAGATTACCTGAGTTTATAGAATCAACATATATTTTGAACCCTCTCAGTCTTGCTTTTAGGAAAAGTAGGTCCAGCACAGATGTTATCTGGCTTTTAACCAATGACATTTATAAAGGATCTTACTATGAAAGGAAGAATCCCTGTCGTATTAATTAAAATTAGATACAGATAAAGCATATGAACATGTAAAAATAAAAAACCTGTTATCTGAATTAAAAACTCTAAGCATTCTCAAGGAACTAAATTAATGGATAATAAATTACTTATTATATCAAATATATTTTTTAAGTAGTTGAGAAATCAAATAACTTTTAAACAATAGAGTAACAGTACAATCGCCTGACTCAAGAAGATATTCTGAGTCCAACTCTTTTCAATTTTTCCATGGAACATATAACTAATAATACAAAAGATAAGTGTAAAATCATCCAATTTGCATATGACTTTTTATTTACTTTACGCTGTGGTGAAATCTGCAGAAGAGGGCAAAATGTAATTGGCACAGCACTGGATATCCTAACACAAGAATTTTCAACAAAATCTAAAAAGTCACCTAAACAAGTGTAGCATTACTCCTTTTAGTAGAAAAAGAATTAATTTAAAAGATTTTGAATTTAAAGAATTAATTTCAAACAAAAAATACAAAGTTAAAAAGTGAAGAAAACTTAAAAGTTTAAGGTGTAAGATTAGAAATTAAAGAAAATTAAATTTCAAAGTTCATTTAAAAAATATTCATGAACAGTCGCTACACAACATTAAAATCCTTGGCTTGAGTTTTATGAGGTTTCCAGGCCACAAAATCCAGGTGGCCAAGTAGAGGAGACAAGTTTTTACCCATCAATCTGCTTGAAACAACTAGCACTTAACACAATCAAAGAACAATAACCTGATTACCTACAAGACTATGCTAACCACTTAGCTCAGTAAAGTTGACTTGGCATAGAATACGCCATGGAGGAACAAATAAATTTCTACATACAATGGGTTTAGCTAAGAGTGGTTAGTATCCAAGATTCCAATGCCTGGAGGATTCAAAACACAACGCTTTCCAGGGTAAAATATTTGAGAAACAAAGAAGATAACTTTAAGGTAGCCAGCTATAGATGATTGTGTTAATTTTTTACAATAAAATATAAAGATAATGCCTGCAGATTAGGATAATTTTTAAACAAAATAAAGTCCTTATTTAAGCAATTGAAAAGGGAAAGGACTTGAATAGTCTTTTAGGAAATTCCTGGATCTAACTACAAGGCCCAATAAAAAATAATGTGTACTGCTAAAGATCACTGGGACAGTCAATGAAAGAACTACTAATTACAACTGAAACCATTACCTGTTAATTTAATTTAAATTATAGTCCTTCTTAAGGTTGTAATAAAAACTGATAAAATAAGAATGAAATCTAAACAGCCAAAATTAGCAATCCTACAATTTATGAAAACTATAACAAGGTATTGAGTTTAGAAATAATGAAGATTTTTCATAAAATTTAATGAGAATTTCCAAATTTCCAGACTGGTATGGTGTTATTATATAATTCAAGAAACTTAGCTCCCAGATGCTTCAAGCATATTTATATTTGTTTATACTAGGCAACATTGGAAACCATCGATAGCGACAATCTATCGATAATTAGAAGAATAAATATCCATAAAAAGTTAGAACTTAACACTGGCCAATAAAAGAGCAGTATTATTAGGTATATTCAACACAACATTAATTAGAATCCCAGCCTTAAGTTTTGGAATTTTTCAGAGCTCATGATCTCAATAAACTACACACAGAAACTAGTTATGTGGTTATGTAATATAAACATATTTTTCTAGGAATTATTGAAAAATTCCTGTACAAAAGAAATCGTAGAACCATTTCCAGTCGTTGGATACTCTGGAGAAGAAATGGATAAAGGGAAATAGGTATTTTATATTAAGAACCATTAAAGCGTCAAAACATAATTAGTAATTTGTTCTTTTATTATATTTTTACCGATGTTTCAATAAAACCATATTTTTTAAGCAAAAATATTTGAAGAATAAACAGATATACTATACAAAATACCTGTTTCTTGCTTCAGCCCAGTTCTGTTCTTTGCCAATAAACCAATCAGTAAACTTTTCATCATACACAGTGTAGCTGAAAAATAAATAACACAGAAAACCTAGTATTAACCATAAAAAATAAATAAACTACAAAAAGGGTTACATAAGATATAAAATAATTATTGGATTAATATATCCTGTATAGTATATTATCATTACTTGATCAGAGGGGAAAAAATACTTTTCATACCCTGAATTTATATATATTACTTTTTTCTTTTAAGGTTTAACAAAACTATATCTTTCAATATATCAATTTATTTGTCTATTTATAAATATTTTGGGGCTTTATCAAAACATTCAACAGCTAATGATAATGAACAAAGAATATATAACTTATTTTTATACACATTAACACTTAGTAAGGGGTCAAGGAGATTTGTGGGGTAGTATCTCTTCTAGGGTAGACCTGGAAAATGGTCCTCACAAAATTTCAGGGGTGTAGTGGAGGAGTTCGTAATGCCAAGTAGGTGGAGACGCTGAGGATACTTAAAACCCAAGACCGTCTGTGTGCGGTGAAGAACCGCATCCTGCTCGAGATGACTCTGTATTTGATTAAACAAGGTGGATCTAGACTGGGAAGTCGATAAAAATCCCGGGTGTGAGGCAGCAGTAGCACCAGTACTGGCATGAACCCGAAAACAGTAGCAGTCAGCTGGGTCCATGACCGGGAAGCATTAGGCAGAGCTGGAGCCAGGAAAAAGGCTGATGTATGGCGAAGGGTAGGTAGAGCTCTTAGAACTCTCCTGACAAACGGTGGGACCCCGTTGTCCTTGGAGAAGGGGTCTCTTCTGCTGGGCTAATCACTCGCAGGAGAGAATTATCAATTCATAGCACACAAAGTTGACTCGGATTAGGACAGACACAACGGTTATCACACGGCGCTCGAAAGGACATCAGATTCAGAACGTGGGACATAAACATTCTGAGTGGCAAAGAGATTGAAATAGTGGAGGAGATGGAGGCCTAAGAGTAGACATTCTGGGATTGGCGAAGTAAGGAGGAAAGGACAAGGAGAAGTAAGATTCGACAAAGATTATGTAATTATTTACTCAGGAGTGGCAGCTGGACTGAGGGCCAAGGAGGGATTGGCAAGATAATGACTGAAAGGCTTTTGCCAAAGTAGAAGACTGAGAGTCAATCACTTCAAGAATAATAGTGATAGAACATAGAACTATCAATAGAATGAGTAAGTGTAATAGTGCAAGTGTACGCCCCAACTGAGAATGATTATGTTCTAGATAGGGAATAATTCTATGCGGATCTAGAAAGAGAAATCATAAGAGGTCAAAATCAAATAGAGCCATTATTATAATGGGTGACCTAAACACAAGGACTGGAAGATAATTGAGCATAAAAGGAATAGAAATAGTTACAGGCTCATTGAACCCTGCATAGTTTAGGATCTTATTATTGGGAACTCCATGTTCCCATATAAACTAGTCCATAAGATCACGTTTTCTGCTGAGGAAAGAAATGCAAATAGCATTATAGAATATTTTATACACAGCAGAAACATCAGAAGATATTTTAGAGATGTAAAAGTCATAAGTGGGGCAGAGATAAGGTCAGACCATTATCTCTTGATTGGAGACACTTAAATCCTCCAACCTAGGAAAATGTTTAAGGAAAAATATAAGAAAATAGATATTTCAAAGTTGAATTGACCAGAGAAGAAAATAAAGTATGCTTAACTCCTGACTCAGAAACTCCAGAATTGCATAATGGATAGAAATGTGGACAGCATATGGGCAGAAATGAAAAAAGCCATACCTTCTGGAATTACTAAGAGGTAGCCTAGCACTGGGATATCTACCATGTAAATGGAGGATATCCAAGGTACGATACATTTCAAAACCAGGAAAACAGTCTTACGAAGACCCCAAGGCATTTAGGCCAGTATGTCTGTCATCTTTCATAATGAAGACATTAGAAAAGATACTGGACAGACATATTCGGGAACATATATTGGCTACTAGTCCAATACATTCAAAGCAATATGCCTACCAACCAGGGAAATCCTGTAAGGTGGTGCTTCATAACTTGGTAACAAGAATAAAGAAATCCTTAGAACAGAGAGAAATCATGGTAGGTGTCTTCGTTGATATAGAGGGTACCTTTGATAGAAATTCCTATAACATCATAAATGATGCACTAAGGAAAAAAGACATAGACTCCATGTCCTCTAGATGGATTGGGAGGATGCTGGAGGACAGAGTCTTAAAATCAGAATTAGAGCACAAGGAATTGTGGATTAAACCCTGTGGTGGTTGTCCACAGGGAGGTGTGCTCTCCCCGCTACTGTGGTGATTTGTGGGTGACTCATTGTTGGAAGCCCTAAACACTGCCGGCATTTATGCGCAAGGATACGTAGACGATATTGCTAACCTAATAGGAGGGAAGCATCAGAGTGTCCTCTCTGATTTCCTCAACACAGTATCTAATATTCTTAGGAATTGGTGCAGGATTAAAGGACTAAGCATCAACCCTCGGAAAATCAATGTGTGCATCTTCACTAGGAAGAAAAAAGTGTTTATTAAAATACCGGAAATCAATGGTATTCAACTGACACATAGCAAGGAAGTAAAACACCTTGGAGTCATCTTGGACCAAAAATTGTCATGGAGCAAGCACGTTCAGAACGTGACAAGTAAAGCCCTCAAATGCCTATGGGCCTATAAAAGAGCGATAGGAAAGAGTTGGGGAATCAAACGTAAAATGGTATACTGGCTGTACACAATGACAGTTTGACCTATCATACTTTACTCAGCTTTGCTATAGTGGCACAAAGCAAAGACTGCAGTTAACTCATCCTCATAAGGAAAGATTCAAAGACTAGCACGTATGATGATAACGGGTGCGATGAGCACAACACCGACGGCCGCTATGGAGGTAATGTTGAACAAGCCATTGCTGCAGCTGGAGGTGGAGGCTCGAGCAAAAAACACATTATACAGGATAAGCAAGTCGACAAGCTGCTCTTTAATCCCCTGTAAAGGAGGACACACAGTAATGCTGAATAGGATTGGACGTGATGAAGTGCTAGCCATGCACTCTGACACTCTAATCCGGGAATATCAGGACTGAAAATATGAGGTTGGTATAGACAGCAGCAGACAAGACAAACCAAATAATGCTATTAATTGCTATACAGATGGCTCTCTAACAGCCTTCGGCTCAGGAGCAGGCATCTATCGCAAAGACATCAAAGAAAAAGATTCTATACCACTTGGCAAATATGCCTTAGTGTTTCAATCTGAGATACTGGCAATCTGTCATTGCGCACAAAACCTACAGCCAAGTGATGTGACTGGGAAAAAGATTACTATCTATACCGACAGTCAGACAGCAATAGGTGCTATTAACAATTACTATGTATATTCAAAGGTCACTAATGAATGCAACACAGCACTTAACGAACTAACTGAGCACAATAGAGTTGCAGTGGAGTGGGTGCCCGGTCACTCGGGCATACTAGGCAACGACTAGCCAGATTGGGCTCAGACACCATTTCTGTAACTCCCGAGCCTGCCTGTGGAATCAGCCTTAACACTGCCAAGAATATGATCAGGGAGATTTATGGGAACGAATTTAATAATTACTGGACTGATAAGAAACAGCGACATTCAAAGCTGTTCCTTAAAGGTCCATGTGAAAAAAGAAGCAAACTGCTATCGAGTATGGACAGAGCAGCCCTTAAAAAGCTTACAGCAATCTATACAGGTCACTGAAAGCTGAATTACCATATTCAATCTCCGAGTAATGACGAATCCGCGATGCAGATTCTGTCAGGAAGAGAATGAAACAGCCCTTCACATCGTGTGTTGGTGTGTTAGATTCACAAGGCTGAGACTGGCAGTATTTGGGGAGGAATGAATGGATCTTCCCAGTAAATATGAGACGGTCAGTCCTACCAGCCTAAGATACGCGGAAGCGACTAAAATAACGTTTTGATTAAAACGATTACCTGAAATTGGCGCACAATGGACCCATTAGGGGTCGACGTGCCCTGGGCCAACATTTAAAAAAAAAAAAAAAAAAAAAAAAGAAGGTAACATGTATAGGACGGAATGAAGAAAATGTGGAGATCTGATGCAGAGAAGGAACCTTAGAGAAGACTTAGGATTATACCTACCTAGGTACACTCATCAGCAGGAATAGAAAGATTGATAGGGAGGTTTCCAACCAGATCAAAAAGGCGAATAATGTCTACTACCAACTATCCAACACGATTGCTGGAAAGAGAGAAGTGTATAAAAATGTGAAGCTGCACGTTTTCAATGCTATATACCTACCTACTCTTCTCTATGGAAGTGAAAGCTGGGTCCCACTGGACAAGCACTAGAGCCGAGTAACGGCTGCAGAAATGAGATACCTGAGGAGAGTGGCTGGCCAAACCAGAAATGATCTTGTTAGAAATCAGCAAATACGAGAGGACCTGGAAGTTTCAGCTGTAGAAAAAGTGGTTGAAAGGAGGCAGCTGCAATGGTTTAGCCACCTTTGCCGAATGAAGGAAGATCGGGATCCAAGGAAGAACTTCGAAGCTAGGCCAACTGGAAGACATCCCCGGGGCAGACCTAGGCTAATGTGGATGAACAACATCTCTAAGTTGGGACAGCAAAGAGGATGCAGGCTGAATGCCATGAAGGCGCTGGCCAGAGACCGGGATGCGTGGCTGGCATGGACTGAGGCACCTCCATGCTGAAAGGCACAAGGAGGAAGAAGAAGAACACTTAATCTAATAACAACATTGAATTACCTGAATATCACAATAATAATATTGCTCGTCCTTTGTAATTATATAATTGCCAAAAATTAATACAATTAAAAAAAGTAAAATTTGTAGAAAAAGTTTTCTTGTTTTTAGCTCAAACTTGTTTTATCACAATTGAACTTAATCATCTACAAATTCCTGTTATTATGAAGCTCAATTGTTGTATTTCTGTCTTTATATAATGTAGATATAAATTCATTAGTGTAACCAATTTTAAATTAAAACTCTTTTTACAGTTAACATTAAAAAGCATTTATTTTATTTAAAACATCAGCATAGTGAATTCCTAAATTTTTGTATCAATTTTATAATCGACGCTTTTATTGTTGTTTTTGGTAGTTTGAATAGCTACCAATAATTTGCTATTACTGGTTTTATTTATACTGCCCAATATTTTAGGTTGTTCAAAATTAAATTAATTTTGTAATTTAAAACTGTATGTAAATGTACTTATTAAATCAGCTTTAAAATTGATGAATTTACAAATTGAATTTGTATAAGATGAGAATAAAACTAGTTTTAAACAAACTGATAGATTTTAGGCAGTCTAATGTGAGAGGCACAGTACAAGTGGGCAATGGTGGTGGTTGCAGTCGGCAAAAAAAAAAAAAAAAGATTGCTGAATCAGATGATGAAAAAATCAAACATGAATAATGTAGGATGTCCGAATCAAAATTCAAATGTCACCACCTCATTCTATGCTCCACCTATTAGAGAGCCTTAAGTCTAATTAGAAGATACCTTTAGGATTCCATTAGAGAAATTTATACATACATACCCTTCAAAGTCAATCCTTTCAATATCCTCAACAACAACTTCAACATCACCTTCTTCAGACCAATCGTACATCAGTAACTCAGCATATGAACTACAGTAAATTCAAAATAAATATAAATATTGATATTTAATTTTTTTTTAAATAATAGCCTGGATAATAATAATAATTAATGTAAACTTAATCAAGAACCAATTACTTTAAATTGTCATAAAAGTATTTCTAGTGGTCTTATTCAACAAGTCTCTTGATAAACTAGATAACACTTCCAAAAAATCAGTGTAAATGGAAAACTATTCCTCACTTAATAACTTTTGATTGCTGATAGCTTAGCCAGCAAAATTTATTTTTCAAAGAATTACATACCTATTGCTAATGACAATGAATTAAAATTTTAAGAACACAAACCTAAACAACTTTTTTTTTTTCAGTTGGCTCTACAGACCTTGTAGATCTTTGGCCGCCTTCTCCACCTCTGCCTATCTTGGGCTACTGCTTTCCAGTTTGCAGCATAAAGCTCAGCTGTGTCTTTGTTTATCCTACCTATCCATCTGGTTTTTTACCTCCCATGTGGTCTCTTGCCTACTAATCATTGTAGTGTAAAGGCATCCTGATGGATTGCTATGAGCTACATGTCCCGCCTACCTTAACTTCCTTGCCTTCATGTCCTGAGATATTGACTGACCCGTTTCTTTCAGCAGTTCTTTATTGTGCCTTCTCCTCCATGTGTCAAGGTTCTGGCCCCATATAGGTCCTGTTATCCTACGTAGAACTTTTCTTTCGAATCTCTCAATTCTGGCTTCTAATGTGCCAGCTAGAGCTCAGGTTTCACAACCGTACACCATAACTGGCTTAATCACAGCCTTACTTAATCACAGCCATGTACACCCTTACTTTTAGATTTCTGGAGATTTTTCTTGATTTCAGTACCCTTAAAAGAGATAAGAAAGATCTATTCGCACTTGGTCTATCTCTGTTAGTTGATCATTTATTGAGGTGGAGCCTTGGTATTTGAATCTGTCTACTTTCGGGAATGACTTAGAGTCCACACAGATCATGTTATTAGGGTGGATGTTTCGGCTAACTATCATGTATTTTGTTTTATCAACATTGACCTGTAGTCCGAGCGAGTCTCTCAATATCCTCTTGATTACTTCCGAGGACAGCTATATCATCGGCATATGCTAGGATTTTATGTTTCATCCCAACGTGCACCCCTCCATCTTGGCGTGATGTTGTTCTTATTACTTTCTCTAGTGCTAAGTTGAACAGCATCGGCGAGAGTCCATCTCCCTGCCTCAAACCCGTTCGAACTTCAAAGGCTTCAGATACATCTCCTTGTATTAGTACCCTGCATTTAGGATCATTTGTACACGCCTTCGTCAACCTCACTAATTTCCCAGGAACATCCAGCTCAGTCATGATCTTTCAGACAGTTTCTGTCCACGGAGTCATAGGCTGCTTTGAAATTGACAAATCATGAGTGTACATCCTGATCTAGTGTACTCCTTCCTCTCCTAAATCCTGTTTGATGGTCGCCTATTATGTTTTCATAATATGGATATATCCGATTTAGTAGAATATTAGTCATTATTTTATAGGCAACCGGAAGAAGTGCTAGGTCTCTGTACATTTGTACATGGAGCCCTTTTTAAGGATAGGACAGATCAACCCTGTGTTCCATGCTTCTGGTATCTGTTCCTACTCCCATATCTTCTGGATTAGATCTAACAGCTTGGCTCTGAGTTCTTCTACCCCATCCTTGAACAATTCTGATGGTAGGTTGTCTATTCCTGGAACCTTTCTTCTTTTAAGACTGCTGATAGCTATTTCCACATCCAGAATATCTGGTTTTTCAACCTCAAGTGGGTCAATGTCCTCAGTGTGGTCCATGTCTTCTTCGTTTGTGGGGTGCCCTTGATTAAGCAGCTTTTTTCCTGAATCCCTATTACTTCCTCAGCTGTTTGTTATAGCCCTGACTCTAGTGCCTCCCAGTGTTGGTCAACCGTTAGGAGTTGCGAGTTGAAGAGTTCGAATTTATTTTTCAGCTCAATTTGAAATTCAATTCAGCTTTTACTATAGGGTTTTTCAAATTACGAACTTCGTACCTCTTTCTTTCCAGTTGGTCCCCAATTCAGTGGATTCGCTTCAGCCTCTGACAGTTTGATTCTAATCAGAGTATGGTCTGAATCTACAGTCTGTTCCACGATAACTCCTTATATCTTGTATAAGCCTAAACAACTATTGAAAGTTAAACAAGATAATGATTATCAATTAAGTCAAACTTCATCCAGATGATGTTTGAAAATGGCTAATAATACAGATAAGCTACAGCTTTCACTCAATATTTCAAAATGGAATATACGAAACCTTGAAAATATTTCCTCTCTAATATAAAATCATGGAATTTAAAATATAAATATCATGAAACAATATGATTCCAAAAGTATATTTTTGCATAGATCATTTTAGTGTATTCCCATTCATCTACCTTGCCTTACTGAATCACATTTAGCTATAACTCCAAAAAAAAAAAGTTAAAATATTAACTTCTAGATAAAATTAACTATTCATTATATAAATAGTTAAATTCAGATAAAGAATTTCTTTTAGTTTCTTAAACAGATCATAATATGTAACACTACCATAAATATACTTAATTTCCAGAAAATTTAACAAACCTGTTCACATCAATAAATATGAAAAATAAAAACCTGTTAAATTGCAAACTATTCAAGTTTAAAATATTCAGCTATGTATTAATTACTGAACTATGTTTTGATATTATCATTATATATTTCTTTGTCTAATAATATAAAATAGAGCTCATTTTATACATTTTCAGTACAGAACATAACCAGTGATGTATAAAAAGAAATGATTTATCCAGATGTTTTATTTCAAAACTTGTTTTGTTATTGATGGTCATTTAATTACAAATGGCACAATATGTATATATAATGGAAACTTTACAACAAGAAAATCAATAAAAATATTCTAAACAAGTTGATCAATATTTATGTTGTACATTGTTGTACCCAAACTCAAAACCAACAAAATTTCCTTCCAACTTTTAAATTATTTCTCCTTTATAATTAATAGTTTGTTTTTGCACTTCCCCATGTTCAAACATAATTGAATTGTAAGAATAAACTTTTAGCACTAAAAATGAGTAATTGAAAAATTAGCTTTAATTTTTAGAGTAATAACACCCGTGTAACTGATAGAGTAAACTTGTAACCCGTGTAACCTTCCATCTCATGTACCCACTAGGGATAGTTAGATCAGTAGATATGCTGGATTGATGGGTACCAGACTGAACAGACTCAACTGCACTTTGATTTGAATCATTAAAGTATTTTAATCTTGAATATTTCAAAACAAATAAAAAATATCATGATTAAACTGAATCTCTTAATAGTAACCAAATAAAGGAAAATTAACAAACCTAACTTTTGCGAGGTATTCTGTCTTGTATATATCTTCTAAATCCTGAAGGTACTGATCAGTAAGTGCTGGAGAGTTTTGCTCATGACTAAGAGCACGACGTTTGATCTTCTCTTTAATCTACACAATAAAAGACAATTATGTATTATACACACACATGAATCATTCAGAATCAAAACCCTATTTTTCTAAATTTTACAGCAGGACAAAAATAAATACATAAAATTAATTTTCAAACAAATAAAATGTTTGTTTACATTTGAAATGATATCTTTAATTAGGTTCTTGGAGTGACCTTAAACTCCTGAATTTCCAAGCTTTGCATATGCTTCCTTAATACAATAACTTCTCAGTTAGATTTAACTGGTGTTGTTTTGAAAGTCAGCCCAAAAACTAATTATTAAGATAATACTAATTATAATTATCTTCTGCTAAGGAAGATTAATCAATACCAAGAACTAAATGGTAGAAATTCATTTTTGGTCCTCTTTTCTTATTTTTACTACCATAGTGTTTCTCTAGTAATGATTTTTTAAATCAAGAGTATTGATGGTTGTGCTAAGAAAATTAAGTTCAACAATTCACTCAGATGTCAATCTTTTTCTTTCACAGAAAATCTCAATCATTCCATGCTTAACAGAACAAAGGATATAGAGAAAGAAGAAGAAAATCTCAATCCAGTGTTATATCACAATGGTACCATCTTCAATTTACTTTCTACCAAAAAAACAGTAAATAAGATGGTCAGCGTTCTAGTAACCAATGTGAAAACTATGGATCTAAAGAGTTATGATTTATAACCTTAACGTAGTATTCAACTTTCATTTGGATCAAGTGGCTTTCCACTATCTTTAAGTCAATGATAAATAATCTTTTAAAATCCACTATTAGCAAATAAAATTATTTTTCATACAAGTCAGGTATTAATTTAAAACAACTCTTATCATTTCATTCAATTTATTAAATCTATATTGAAGAGAATTTGGTTGGGATATTCAGTCTAAGAAAGGACAAAGCCAAAATAAATTAATCATATTTATTATACAAATTTATAAATAAATCATTTACTTATTTTTTTATTTATTACTTTCTTCGACTGAACACCCCAACCAACTCCTCTTCAATATATTTACAACAGTAAATTATCAATCCAATATTATTAAATCTGTATAAGTACATATCAAAAAAAAATTGAAAACTTTTATTAAATAAATAAAAGGTACAATTTTAATTAATTTTAGGAGATAAATACACCTCCTTTATAGAACTAATGGTATTAGGCATTAATTGAATATTATTTTTATTTGAATAACAAATAAATTTATATCCATTATTCAAATACATTAGTATCCTATTTGTTATTTCTAAAAGGTTTTTTTTTTTCGGTACGCCATAACTTTGTCAATTCTTCATCAAATAAAGTGATTGACCAATCATTTAGAAGATCTTCTTCTTCACATGCGAAAAATAGTCCTATCCCCCGAAATTTTTGAAAAAAAAGTTACAAAGAAAAAGAAACTTTATTGGCGAATAACTCAAAAATTATGCATTTTTTTTCTTGATTATGCCCATGATAACTAGAAATATTACTAACTTACCTATAAAACAAAACCAAAAAAAAATCATAAAAATTTATTAGAAAAGAAATTTGTAAAATTTAAACAGTTTGTACCAATCGAAGGAGTAAAGTGTGATGAAATATTTTTTTAAGGAGAAACAGAGTTGAGATTTGTATTTCGCAGCTCGAAAGACTCTCGAATACGAATTTTCATTGCGATCGAAAAATAAAAATTTTCAATGTTGTAGAAACATTGAATTAGGATAAAATCCTGAGGAGTTATGAATGTTTTAGTTAACGCCAGGCAAAAACATCATAATGAAAAGTAAAGTCGTTGCCATGACAAACGACTATCTCAGCACAACTCTTCTATCATATATATTATTTCTAAAAGGTGTTTTTTGTTAGTACGCCATAACTTTGCCAATTATTCATCAAATCCAATGATTTACCACTCATTTTGAAAATATTCTAATCCTTCCAAGTGAAAAATAGTCCTATCTCCCCGAAATTTCTGAAAAAAAAGTTTGAAAGTTAAAAGAAACTTTATTGGCGAATAATTCAAAAAGTATGATTATTTTTTCTTGATTGTACCCATAATAATTAGAAAGATTATTAAATTACCTACAAAACAAAAAAAAAAAAAATCATAAAAATCAGACAATTATTAACAAAGATACAGTTCATTAGTTTTGGTATACTTAATAATTTCTTCCTCTTTAAAGATATTGCATTAACTATTCAACTAAACTTTTTTTCCTGGCTGATATATTGACTTTATTATTTCTTAAAGGTATTTCTTTGTTCTTACGTTTTATTTTTTTTTTAATAATTTAGAAAACCCCATGATCGGGGCTTTATTTTGTCTTTATGATCTTTCCAGTAAGCATTTAAAAAAAGATCCTAGCAAAGCAATTTATAGAAACATTTTGGTCTATTATGTTAAATGGAATATTGTAATCGACCAAGAAAAAAATATTAATTCCTTCCTTACATAATACATAGGATCTACTTATTTCCATATTGTTTTGCTATTTCTTCACTAAACAAAATTTTCTGCGAATTATTTGCACTGACCAACTAGTATAGGTATAAAAAATGAAGAAAGAATCCAATTTTTCCTTCTCCTTTAAATTATTGGACACAAACAAAGAAGCCAATTAACTTTCTGTTTAAATCTTTGACAACAAATTAACAATGGCACTATTATTTTTCTCAACTCATTGAAACAGTGATTTGACTGAATTCATGATAGGAACAAAAAAAAAAAAAGCAATACATCTTTATAGTTAAGTTTCAAATCTGAAAATATAGAACAGAAAAAGGAAATGCCTTTAATAAAAATTTAAAAAGCCTTAAAGCAGTTTATCACCTTATTTACAGGAGCATCAAGGAATATTACTAAATGTGGTCTCAGAAGTTCTCGGATGGTATTTTTTCTAACTTCCAGATATCCCCTTCTGGCTGAAAGCAATTACAATGAGAAATGAAGCAAAAATAGCAATAACAAGAATCATAAATCATGTATTATACATTTAAATCAAAACCATTACAAGGGGAGGTCACAATCAGTAGTCAATGATTTCAATAAAATTTTTTTCGGCGATACTACATAAAAAAATATTAGATAAATGTCTCCGAGTTCGTTCCAATGGGTCCTAGGAGCTGAGAAAACTATTTGTTTAAATAATTTCTAACAAAAAAATAAATTGTTTATTGTTGCCTTTAGTTTTCCCAGATTTCCATTTATTATAAGCCAAATAAAATACTAATTAAGCAGACCGATATCTAATGTAAAGACATTCTAGAAAGAAATTTGATATTCGTTTTTTTGTATCACAAAAAAACCCTAAATACCAATTTTTATATCTATCCAAAAATTTAAATGTTGCACAAAAATTTTGCCGAGGCTGGACCCTTCAAAATTTTGTTCACAACCACAAAAATTGTGATAATTTCAGCACGACTCCACAGATTTACACCAATATTATTTATTTTTGCGTTTGCTTGGCGTAGATTATTTGGTTATTATACATTAATCAATCAATTTCTTTTTTTTTTTTTTTTTTTTTTTGTGGACAGGATAAGAAAAACCATTGACAGTGGTGTTAAATGAGTTATAATGTATCATAAATCATAAAAAGCAAAAGACACATCTAGTAAAATAGGCGATATAATTTTATTTTATCAAAAAGCAAGTTAGATTTGTTTTCAACGTCCTTTAAAACTCCTAAATAAGAAATATAAATTGCTAATTTTAGAACTTGATTTTGTTGGAGAATTTTTTTTTCTTTTTTGTTGTTGAAGGTTGGGTTTGTAGAGCCCTAAATATTTTTGTGTAAATCAATGGAGTCATCCTAAAATAACAATTTTTGTGATTGTTGATCAAATTTTGAAAGGCTTAGGATAAAATTTCGTGCAAAAAATTTTATTTTTTCGATAGCTATAAAAAATCATAACAAAGGAGTTTTAGAGGTGCAAAGAACATATATCAACTTTCTAAAAAATCTTTACATTATTAAGTCCATTTTAGAAAAAAATATTATATTTAGCAGATAGCTACAGAATGGGAATAACTTAATTTCATTTGTCTTGTAATAACCCAAAAATCTGGTCAAACCAAAGACAACAATAAACAACATACATTTTTTCTGAAATTTTATAAAATATTTGTTTTCTCAGCTCCAAGGATTGGATTGGAATGAACGCCAGGATATGTATCTAGAAGGAGAAGAAGAAAGTAAATTTTATTCTGGGACATTTAGTCCCCTAAGAATAACTACAGTAAAAAAAAAAAAATGACAATTGTCTGGTACTATATGAAAATAAAAAATAATTAGTTAACATAACAGAATATTCCAACCTTAAAATTAAAATAAATTAAGTACAAGTAAATATATTAATTTGCACATAAATATATATGAGTGTGTTCATATATTTGTTCTGATGAACAATATTGTTAATATATAAAATAGTAACATATAATAATAACATATAACATATAACATATAATAGTAACATAACAGTCGAATGAGAGTGACAGCTCTTTAATACAAAATTTTATCCTTACATGTATTCGGAAGATTGATTGCTAAGGAGATAAAAGAATAAATGTTGTTCAAATGAGGTTAAGGAATAGGATTTGAGTAATGAGATAGGTAGAGAATTCCAAAAAAAGGTAGCACGCATGATAAAGAATTTTTTAAAGGAAACGGTTCTATGAGAGGGATCAAACAGGTTTATGGAACGAATGAACAGAGGAACAAGGAGTGAACAAATCAAGAAGATAAGATGGCTTTTTGGTTGTAAAGGTTCGGAAAAGGAATATACCAAGGAAATATTGCTGCTGGAAATCTGGACAGTCACTTCAACTCAGAATACCAACTAGAGATGTGGGGAAGCGCCTCGGGACTCCTAAAATGAATCAATTGATGAAACAATTCATCAATCTTTTCAATCTCATCTCAAGCCAACCATATAAAAGGCAGCCATAATCGAAGTAAGGAAACTAGGAGTTGGCGGGTTTTTAGGGGCATAGAATTGCGGAATCTCAGGAACTGTTTTAGGGTAGCAATAGATTTTCGGATAATTTGGGATACATAATTATTCCAGGACAGGTATTCATCGAAAATTACTCAGAGATTTTTGACAGAAGTATGGTAACGAATAGGTAGTCCATTGAGGTAGAGTCAGGGATAGTATGGAATGGAATTAATAAGATGCTTGGAATCAATGAGAATAGCTTTAGTTCAACTTTAAATCATTACTAGCTGTCCAAGTAATAATACTGTTTATGTCTTCTTGTAGTCTTCAGACCGCTTCAAGCATCTCAGTAGGATAAAAAGAAAGGTAGATTTGGAGATCGTCAGCATATAAGTGGTATTGTGAATGATGGATGGAATCGGGAAGGTCGTTGACGTATATGGAGAAAAGAGTTGGAGAGAGCAAAGATCCCTGAGGAACATCACAAGTTAGTGAGGGGGGGGGAGGAAGGAGTTTTATTGGGAATAATGACTGTTTGGGATCTGTGACACATGAAGGAATGAAACAACTTTAGGACGCTATTTGATATGGAAAGGTTTTGGAGTTTGGAAAGAAGGATTCATGATTAACGGAATCAAACGCTTTTGAAAAGTCAAAGAGGATCACGATGGAGATTTTTTGTTTGTCTACGTAGGAGAGACGAAAGTCTTGGGTGATTTTCAATAAAGGAGATTGAGTGGAAAACTGGCATCAGAAACCAGACTGGAGGGGATTGAGGAGAGCTTTTTGCTCAAGGAAGGTATTAAGCTGTGAATGGACTAGTCTTTCGAGAGGTTTTGAAAGGTTGGAGAGAATGGAGATGAGGGATTTGAAATCGGAAACTTCGGAGGGAATCGTAACTTTGCTCAATGGGCGAACTATAACTTTTTTCCAAGCTGATGGGAAACAGGAATTTCGTAAGGAAAAATTGTAGATATGGAGTAGGACAGGAAAGATGAAAGGGAGGCATAGTTTGACTAATTTAACTGGGATTAGATCCTGACCAAAGTCATTCGTTCTGGATTTGAGGACAGAGGAAGGCAGATCTTCTGGTTAGATATTTGTTAAATAGAAATTCATTGGGTCAAAGGATGTTTTAGGAAGGCAGTGTGAGGAGGAGAAAGATATTGAGATAGGATCGGCAAAGTAGGAATTTATTTGATCGGGAGAAATAGGGTAGGAGGTTTTTAGTAGAGATTTTTAAGGATATTCCATCTGGACTTAGGATCTGGTGCTTCTGATAATGAGACGTCTCAGGGAACATTGGGTTAGGTTTCGAAGGGATTTGAAAGAGATGTAATCATCCGGATTACGTGTGCGTTTAAAGTGCATTCTAGCTTTGTCTCTTCTTTTCATCAGCCTTCCGATTTCAGGATTAATACAGCAAGCAGCAGGACATCTGAAGGTAGAAGTCTTTAGAGATGCATGTTGATTCAGGAATAGGAGAAGATTGGAGGAAAGATATTCTACAATTTCATCAATGGAGGAATAGGATTAAAGGTATTAAAGAGATAGGATTAAAGGTATTAAAGAGAAAGAAATTTAAAATATGAGCATTAAAGCCCTTTTAGACTACTTCAATGAACATGCCTGCCTGATATTAAAGATCACTTTTTTTTTTTTAGATAACAAGTTAAATCAAAATTTTTAGAGCTGTTACACAGGCAATTTTGGGGGACTTGGTTATTTGGTCTCCGAGGACCTTATAACCACACATTTTAAACGCGTATTTATGTTGAAAACTCAGATTCGAATTTTTCACAATAGAGGTAAATAAACCATAACATAACACAGAATATTGATGATATAAAATAAAATAATCAAGTTCAATTTCATTAAAAATACATACCATTTTTACTAACATAACCACTCTTAAACATTGCTTCCAGAAAAACTATATCACTCCAAGGTGATCTTTCTATGACAACTCCTTGTCCTGAAACCAATGTAAAAACCATTTTCAATGATATTTTGTTAAAATTGTTACAATCTACAATCTATGATACAAGTATAAAAAAAATACAGAAGAGATATACAAGCTAGTTTGTGACTTGTGAGTGGAAATATGCTCAAAGAGAAGCAAAACTTTTTTCTCAAAGCAACTTCATTAATTTGTTTATAAATTAAATTTTGATTTATTTTACTTTCTTTCTTACTTTGTGTACATAATTCGTAAATTGATAGTTATTTCAATGACAAAAGGTAATTGTAAGACACATGTGCACCAAAGGGTTCTCCTCCAAGTTGTTTGCCGATACACAGTATTTGAAGTCTTAAAAAATATTATTTCTAGAACTTTTGTGGATATTATATGTTTTTAAAATTACATGCATGTATTGAAATTGGAGCCTAGCCAGTTAATAATGCTTCCTCATGGCTCAAAACAAGTATTGAAGGCAAGGGAGAATTGTCAAAAATGTGAACAGCAGACTATAGTACATAAAATATTCATAATAATAGGAAGTATTCGACACTTTAACATAGTGAAATTAATTCTTACTTTATGAACATTAAGCATACTTTTTTTTTTAATTCAAGAAGGATTTTTTTTAAACTCGAAGTCGAAATTCATGAATTTTGAACATATACATGCTTGTGTGTGTGCATGGGGGAAGGAGGGGTTGTGTTTATATATATTTTTTGGGTTTTTGGAAATTATTGCAGATTTCAACCAAATCCGGAACACACTCAGTCTTTTTTTACATTACGAAAAAAGGATCTTGCTCCACTTGAGTGACATTTGTACTGTAGTACCACTAATACTAATATTTCTACAAATATCTATGGTTGATTTAAATGATAATTTTGAAATCAATATTTGTGATATAAATATGAATGTAGTGCTACAATGGAATTGAAAAAAACATGTGTTTCTTCACAACTATGTTTAGAAGTTAAAAAGCTATTGAAATAATATTCAAGCCTTATATGTAACTGAGTTACCTTAGCTACCTCAAGTGGAGAAGCAGTACTACTTCAAATCGCCTCTGCAGATTGATATTTACTTCCTTATTCTCGTAACAATAGGTAAGTTACATAAAATATAACCCATTCTTGCTGCCAGACCACAAATAGAAGAAATTTATTCGACTATAGGGTTAATACATTTGAAATCAACAAGACCATGTTGATTGACATTTTTGATTTTTATAATTTTTTCACCACTTATTCCACATTTATTTGAGAGTTCAAAAACATAGCTAAAAAAATTTTAAGGCTCCAGTTTTTCTCAGCGGCCATTTTGAATTTTCTTTTCGACTAAAAACTTTTTTAGGGAGTGCCTGCAACTCAGATAATTTTGTTATTATCAAACCAAAATAAAAACTGAAATTTTGAGTATTTTTTCTACATTTTTGTCTATCAATACATCATCTAAAAGAAGTCTCAACTTCAATTTTTTTTTTTATGTTCTACCAGTGTAATACCTGCTTATGGAATTTCGACCTTTAAAACCTTATCCTTTTATAAATATGAATTTTCCAAAACCAACAAAAGTCTATTACAGCAATTTTTGTTGTTTAATATCACAAAACAGACTGAGCGCAAAATTATACAGTTTATACCCCTTTATAATAGAAACATGTGGTACAAATTTGACCGCTGAGATTCAACTGGCTTTATCAGTTATAGTGCAACCAATATTGCTGCCTAGTTAGAGCCGGTTTCAGCATATCCCACCTACTCTAACTCGGGCATTTTTGCGGGTACCAAAACAAAACAAAAACTACAATTTTGACGACGTTTAGCCCTAAATTTTTTGTCCTCACAATATATCCCCTACATAGGAAGAAAAGTTTAAAAAAAAATTAACAACTATAACATGAAAATTAACATAAAACAAGATGTTTAGCACTGCAAAACTGTTATAATTGAATGATTATCGCAATAAAACTATAAAAACAAAAACGAAAGATACCAAAATAAAACGAAAACTAAAATTATGATGATGTTTGACTCTAAACTTTTTGTCCTCACAAAACATCCCCGAAATAGTGAAAAAAAGTTGTTAAAAAAATTGACAACTATAAAATTAAAATTAACATAAGAAAATCTGGTGCGGTGCGCGCATCACACAACTTTCACTTGCCACTCTCTTCTTAGCAGAAAAGGCTATTTGAGACAAAGGGGAAGTGAAAGTAAAAATAACAGATGCTATATTTATTTATATGTCATTGTGGGTATTATCAGATCATTCGTTTTGAGCTAGACTATTCACTCACATACCTACACATACACAGACCATTTTGCAGGACTTGGTTATTTGGAGTCAGTGGACTTCAAAATGTGTATTTCCGTTGAAAACTCAGATTTGAAAATTTTCACATTCACAATACTTTCATATATTTTCACTTTTATATATTTACATATATTGGTAAGTGAAAGTAAAAGTGGAAAATGATGAAACTTGTGCATTTTATAACACTTTATAATAAGGACATGTGACACAGATTTGATGACTGAGACTCTATCAGCTTTAGCCTTTATATGGTATTAAATATGTCTGGAAATTGTGGTACTGAATTTAATTTTTGTTTATCATTAAACAAATTCTATGGTAGTTATATCAGTTTTCGCTGCAGTGACAGCTACTATCAGATAAACTGATATATCTAAGTGCCTCAACAGGGAAGTATCCCCTTCATAACTGTATTTGGGATTGGGAGAAAACTTTCTAAATATTATCGATATGCATGTGTACTATTTATTTATGAATTCTAATTTGATTCTATCCAGTGTTTTTATGCATCAAATTCCTTAATAACAAATACCTAAAATCTATTTATGTTATTATACATTTATAGATTCTACTTAAATTTTTTTATTTTAATGAAATTTACAACTGTATTACAAAGAAAATACAACAAGTAAATGTGACATTGATAACATGACATGTACAACATGAACAGAAACTACCCATTGGTAGAACTCAAATTAAAGTTCTATATTAGAAGGTCCCGAGGCCATCTTCTTTTCAGACGCCTCGGAGGGTTATCAGGGATTGAGGAGGAAGCAAGGTTTGAAATGAGAGGATTCGGATGGTTCTGCAGTTTGTTATGAAAGGATAGGTATCTGGATAGGGCCAAATAGGAAACATATGGAACATTAAGGTCTTTATGGATGATTTTATTTGTGACAAAGTAAGGAGCGTTGAGGATTTTACGAAGGATTTTGGATTGTAAGGATTGGATACGAGAGGAATTTGATGGTTTAGTGGAGCCCCAAAGCTCAATTCCGTAAATCCAAATAGGTCTTATTATTGTCATATATATGAGTCGTTTGTAATTTATTGAAAGCTTAGAGTGCTACTTAAATTTATTTTTATTTTTAGTTAAATAGTAAATAGCTTTTATTCTACCAAAATGAATTTAATAACAAATAAACATTGGATTAAAACAAATTTAAGTTCAGAAATTAACATCAATATCAATGATTTTTAGAACAATGTTTTTTCCATAATCCCAAATACAGTTATGAAGGGGATACTTCACATGTATCAGTTGATGTAATAGTAGCTGTCACAGCAGCGAAAACTTATATAACTACCATAGCATTTGTGTAATGATATACAAAAATTAAATTCAGTGCCACAATTTCATATTGCAGGATGCTGATTTTTTTTTTTACTTTCACTTACCTATATATGTAATATATAGTAAGAGAAAGTCTTGCGATTGTGAAAATTTCCAAATCTGAGTTTTCAACAGAAATACACGTTTTTTTATAGAAGTACCCTGAGTCCAAACAACCAAGTCCCGCAAAATAGTCTGTGTGTTTGTATGTTAGCAGTCTAGCTCAAAAACAAAAAGTTGTACGAAACTGTTATTATGTATATACGATAGGTATATGCCTTAGATGTGACAGCAACTTTTTCCTTAAAATCGGCTAACCAGAAGTGCCACTTTATATCAATGCTGAAATACATTTTTACAATTTTCTCAAAAACGGCTTTAACGATTTTGATTAAACTCGGAGTATCATTGTATAATGAAGTGGTATTTAATATCAATCAGGTCTTATCCCCATTGATGTCACTATGCAGGACTTAAATGCCCAATGTTCATATATGTCTCCCTCTAAAGTAACATTAATATGATTGATTTTAAATAATTAATAATAAATCATCTCACATTATTTAGAGTTACGAAAAAATGCTAAATATAACTTTTGAAAAAATTTGATAATTTAATAAAGGATACCAAGATAAAAATATTTATCCATGTCGAAAATGAATCTCCTGAAATACTAGTCAGAAGGTATACGTATAATATATCATTGGGAAGCGGAAAATTTTAGAAAAAACAATATCTAATATAGAAAGTTGTAGAAGGTAACGGAGAGTGAGGAAAAAATCATAAATAATAATTTTTGAAAACTAATATTATTTAATGTTAATCACCTGTTTTCAAGGAAATTAAATAAAATTTACTAACTAAATGTATACTTTTAAAATATTTTTAAGTTTGAAAAAGTATTTAAAATTCACCTAATCAAGGCAATACCATTGTTTTAAAAACTATTTCATCGTATTTGTATGAAAGAAGTGAAATGAAATATCAAATCATTTAATGGATGTATAAAGCATATGTGTATAACCTTAAATACATTTACTGTAGTTTAATAATTCTAGATTTGATACTTAAGTAATTCGGTATCAACGTCCGTTTATTCCGAAATATCGTCATGTTACTTTAAAAATAATTAAATTAGTGAATAATTTGATGAATTTTTCCTTTGTGATATTCCAACAGTATCCACTTCCAATTAGTGTGACAACTTTTGACCTGTATCTGACAGATAATGTAAATCTCTTAATTCCATTTTAGCAAACTTTGCAATGGAAAATAAATGGTTAATAACTAATAATCGTACAATCCATAATCAACGGATCATACAACCTATAATCAACTGGTGATATAATAAATAGGACTTTTGTTATTTTAATAGTATTTATGATTTGTTAGCTGTAAGCTTTTAGCTTTAGCTCAGTTAAAAATGTAATTCAAAAATGTTATGATAGCCCAACATGGCCAGAAAATAATTTCTATTCAAAGTTGAGCGGTAAGTGAAAGTTGTTGCATGCTTTTTTTTTTTTTATAGCTGCATGAATGCACTGCGACCATGAAGGCCTATTGTACGCAGGATACTGATTTATTGTAATAAAGATTGAAATTTCTTTTTTTTTTTTTCATAAAACATTTTTTAAAGTTAACTCTTTTCATTATTACACTTTTGCAGAGCTTATAGTCTCATTTTATGTATATTTTCATGATTTTTTAAACCTCTTTACTTTCTTTTTAGGAGATGAATAGATAAACTGAAATTTAGAAAAAATACTCTAATTTATTTCAGTTTTTATTTTGGTTTGATACCAACAAAATTATCTGAGTTGCAGATAATTTTCCAAAACATGTTTGCAGTCGAAAAGCAAATTTAAAATGAACGTCAAAAAAACTGTGAGCCTCAATATTATTAGTAACTATGATTTTGAACTCTCAAATGAATATGGAATAATTGTAAAAAAAATTACAAAAGTCAAAAATGTTGAGCAGCAAAATTCAATTTGAGTAATTTCAAATGAATTGACCCTATATACTTGTGATGACATATCTTTCCTTTTATATATATTAGTTTTTGAAAACTCTTATCATTTAAAATGTTTAATATAGTAAATTTCTGGCAGTTATAGAAAGTAAGAACTTATGCTCTGAATGACAAACCAATACATTAATATAAATTACCTGTACTCAACAAATGAGCAAGAGAATCAATATACAATGAATATCGCAGTTTGTACATCCACACTTGAAACGCTGCAGTGTTCAGATGTTTAGGCTCTTTACAAAACTTTTTTTCATCATAACTTTGCACTGATAAAGGTAGTTGACTATCCAATTGCCGCAAATCATCGCCATATGAATTTATGTATCTTATATCCATATTTGCATCTTCGATATGATAAAAATCCAGCTCTTCAGCTAGTACTTTGGCAAATTTAGTTTTACCAACAGCTATTGATCCTTCAACAACAATAATTTTAGAATTTTCATCCAACCTAGAAATTGTTCTATCAAATAAACTTCTGATTGGACCATAAGGTTTCTCTTTGTAAGGATATGGGGCCGGTTTTTTTTTTACTTCTCTAAATGCTTTACTAGTGATAGATGCACCATAAACTTTAAATAATATTCCATTGTTCGTTTTGAAAATTCCATCACTGAGAATAGATCCGTACTGATTACCTAGTCTGATGATGTTGGTATTAAATAATTTAAGAGACATCATAGAGTAAATCTGTATAAGATAAAACTGATAGGATGTCAAAATAAATCTTAAACTCAGGTTATAGAAAAATTAGTTCCAATACTGAACACTAATGAAGTCAGCGCCAGCATATACTTCCAGATGGATGTATTTCCTTAATTGGGCAAATACTGCAACGAACTAATAGTAATTAAAAGTAATAATATACGCATAAAAATTCTTCAAAAATATGCCAAACGCGGTTTCAATGATTAACTTTAAATCAAAAATCACTAGTTATTCGAAAACTTGTATCCTACAAGACTTTTGGAGGAAGGAGTAACCCATGTAGGTAGGAAGTAATCCACAAGAAATAGTGAAGCTAAAAAGCCACAGTTTAACCTCAAAATGTTTTTTAAAAAGCTGCAGAAACCAGTGACGAAATATAGAAGGGGAAGATGCCTCAGCTGTTTCTGCAATTGTCTTTGTTAATTGAAAGATTCTCACAATGTGTGAAGTTTGTGTTGTCATTTTGTGATTATAGGTTTTTTTTTTACAAACATACCTACTTATATAATTGTTCAATTTGGCATAACTATGTTTTAAGATAAAGAACAGTTTTATGGAGACCTGGAGCGTATTGTGGTTAAGAACAAAAATAATAATTGGAGTATTCTTATTACTGGAAATTTCAATGCACAGTCAGTCGATCACCACATGGTGTGATGGGATGGATCCTCACGAAGGCGAGAACGTAAAAAAAATTATCGGGCGCCTGATAATAGAATTTTGTGAGTACAATGACATGCTCATATAGCATTCATAAAAACAAAAACACAATAGTCTGCAAACAAAGGATTTTAGTCCACTGAACAAGGTGGAGTGACATTTGTACATTGCTTCCGGCAAGTACTATTTGGTGAAGTGAAAAATTAAAACCATTGTAACAACAAACCCTCAGAAAAATGGCCGACATATGTATTCGGAAGGAACAAGACCAAGGTAACGTTAAAAAAATTAATTTTTTGAAGAATTTAGAGAGAAATTGAACCAGTATCATGGTGAAAATATAAACTTATTCTGGTATAGAACCAGTGCATTGAGAGAGCGAAAAAGTAAAGAAATAAGAAATATTTAGAATGAGTACTAGAAAATAGTCGCTGAAAGTAATTTCATCCAGAAGGTATGGAGGAGAATTACGAAAAGCAATTTAAAACTGTATCCCGTGAACACACGTTAGAACGAGAATGAGTTTCGTAAGTTGATAGAAGAAGACGACATTGAACGAGCTATCGAAAAAATGAAGACAAGGAAAACAAAATAGAGAGTTCATAAATTATGGGGAATGGATCTAGTGAGATATCTCCAATACTTTTTTAAAAAGCCTGAGAAAATAAGACGATTTCTGTAGGATAGAAATATACACATCCCGTACACAAGAAAGGTAGTCATGCAGAATGCTACAACTACAGGCTCATTTGCCTACCCCCAGTGATATAAAAATACATTCATCCTTGAAAAAAGACTGAGATCTCTGGTGGAGCCACTCAAAAGAGAGGAGCAAGCAGGTTTCCGACCACAATGACAAACACCGGATCACATATTCACCCTCAGAAATGTACTGAAAAATATCCTAGGATTGGGATAATAATATGTATCTCGTCTTATTTGGCCTTCGGATCAGCATTTGACTCCGACAAGGGACGAAATATGGAAGGCGCTAATAGCTTAGAATGTTTCAAGAAACCTTACAGCAGGCATTAAATCCATATAAGAAATAGTCAGGGTAAATGGACAGAAGTCTAGATCATAGATCATTATCAGTAGAAATTTAATTGGGTGAGTGGCCGAGTGGGCTAATGCCAGTGCACAGCACCGCGCTTCGTTATCCTGTCAACCTGAAAACCGAGATGTTTAAAATATTTCGAGTTCAAATCCCGGTACCCGGTTGGGAATTTTATCTCGGCATAACTCCCCCCCCCCTTTCGCGGACCGGGGAAAAATCCCGTGTAACCTGAGAGGCAAGGAAGGGGAAACAAAAAGAAGCATATATTCATTAAACATTTTCCCATGAAAATATTTGTTCAAATTTTAGAGACCTGAAAAATCTACAAGAATCTTTTTACTTTCACTTACCTATACAGGGTGTCCCATAAGTAGAGAGAAATATTTAAAAGGTTGATGGTAGACATAAAGATCAAACCGGGGCAATCGGCACGGGGCGCCAACCTGGAGGGGCACCCGTTGGGGGTGCTGGCCGATCTTCAGGGGCGCTTGGCACTTGTTATAATTTTTAAAAAATTCAAAACGTCTTATAACAATTAATTTTAGTCTATGTAGTACAGTTGAGGGGTGATAAAAAAAAAATCACAAATAATTTATGTATTTTTTTAAAATGGAACTTAGCTATCTTTAGCTCAAAAGTCCTCTTTAAATATTTATAACCACTAGCGGATCCAGGATTTAATTTTGGGGGGAGGGGCTTCAGCCCAAAAGTTTTTTTTTTCATAAAAATAACGATAATTACTTTGGAAAAAAAGAAAGAAGCTAACTACTTGTATGAAATGGTGTTTAAGTGATTCCTAAAGCCCTTTAAAATGTAATTACACGAACAATAATACTTTAAGAGATAGTATTTTAATATTTTTTTCGATAAAACATGGTTATATTTTGGCGTTTTGGGGGGGGGGGGGCTTCAGCCCGAAAGCCCCCCTCCCCGTAGATCCGCCCGTGTTTATAACAATGGCAAACACTACTTTAATTTAAAGTAAATTTTATCTAGTTTTTAATGAAGCAATTATTAATTACTTTCTAGTCCTAAAATGTACCTTTAAAATAAAAAAAACGCCTGCCAATCACTTCAATTATTTTAATGAAAACGTTAATATTAGGACTAGAAACTTTTATTTTGTCACTTATAAATACAAATCAATTCCTGTAATAAAGATCTGGGTAAAAAACACAATTTATAACCAATTTACCTGAAAAATCAGTATTTAAAAAAAAAGAAAAGTTTTTAGGCAATTGTCTATTATAATCTCAGATCATGCAAAAACATGAAATAAAAGATTTTCAACAACTAATTGTTGTAATTTTTGCTGAAAACAGGAATACTTTTACTTGATAGGATACAAAATATAATTTTTTTTACATAATTTGAGCTGAATCTCAATTTTTCCCTAATGAACCTCAACTTAATTAATATGGACTTACCGCTTATTAAATGAAGAAAATTTTGTAAAAGTGGGGTAGATGTAGTACAGTTGGATGATGATATAAAAAAAATAGCAAATAATTCTTTTTTTTAAACAGAACCTATATTAAGTTTAAATAAAGTTGATAGATGCTCTTGCAGCACGCACTGTAAGCATCGCTTTGAGATTTTCTATTTTATAGAATTGTTTATTTGTTTATTGTTTGCCATGAATATAAATGTCTATTCTACTATGAAATTTCACCCCATCCACTTATTGTAGACTCCTTTGAAAAAGGGCTGTGAGCCATTTGATTTATATATCTTGATTTTAAACTGTCTAACCTAAAAAAAAAAAACCTGTACTACTACAACCTATGAAGGGTCTTGGGTTCAGTACTATTTAGAGAAAGCACTGTTTCAAGGCCAAAGGTAGTGCAATGAGGTGATTGAACGAGGATCACACTCAACCGCCAGGTTTTCCTACTAATCAATTATTTAATTAAATGTAACCACTTTGTAGAGGCTGGGTGTGCTCCAGGAGGGTCTCGCTACCCCAGGGGCGCCCCACGGTCAATGAAACAGAATAAATAATTTTTCTGCCATGAGCCATGATTCGAACCTGGGACCTTCAGCATTGGAAGCTTAGTGCCCTACCACCCGCTCCCTTCAGTCTAATCTAATTTAAATTAAATTGTTTATCTTGGAGAGGAAATAAGAAGGAAGTTCAAAGGAAAAAATACCCTGAAAAAGTGTAAGATGAGTTTGGGTAAGTTAGGATTAGTTTTCTTAACTGAGAGAACTCATTGCCCATTAAAATCTTATATTTTTTTTCATCTTCGATCATAAAATATGAAAATTTGAGAAAAAAAATTTCAATTGTGCAAAATAGCCCAAAACGTGCACTTCCAAGCAGCATAAAATTGTGTTTGAAACAACCTATTTGAGGTGGTTATGATTTAATAACTAACTTTCATCAATTTCTGAATAGCTGAAACAATAATACAATTGCATGGTGGTAAGCACTCTAATCATGATACAGCGAGAGCTTCCTGAGAAATTTGTGAGATTGACGAAGGAGTGTAGAAATTATTATAATGGCGAGTCCTGATACAAGAAGAAATATTTTTCGAAGTTTGAAGCAGTGAGATGAACTCAAGCAGATGCTGTTCAATTTAGCTGCAGAAAATGTAATAAGAACAAATTAAAATGGAATAATGAATGATTGGATTATAAAATGCTAGCATATGTCTCTATTTATCATTATTTTAGAAAATAAATAATAGAAACATTTAGGGTTTGGTAAAATATTTACACACCTACTTCTAGGCCTCAACCTAGCCTTCTAGTCAACTTTTCTTAATTACTTTCACTTTACATATTTTATTCATCAATGCATATTATTTACTATTGATTTTAATTTTAAATATTTGTACTTCAAAGTATTGGGAATGGAGGCAAAATGACAATCTTGTCCCTTCTCCATCCCTCCCCTGAAGCCTGTGCTAATGGGTTAATTAAAGAAATGATAATTTGATAGGTTTCCAAATTCTATAAAACAACATTGAAATCAAGCGATTATTAACAAATATCGAGCCAATAGTCATTTATATACATGTTTTGGCTTGTTATTTTAAATGAATCATTTTAATCGACCAAGGGAAAGAAAATGAATTCCTCTCATAATACATAGCATTTACTTATTTCTATATTATTGCTATTTGTTTACTGACCAATGTACTAAAAAAAATTATTTGTGTGGACCAACTAGTTAGACATTATTAACTACAAGAATTAGTCATCAGATTCTGCATTGTCTTCTTCAATCTTATTTGTTAGATATTAATTTCTCTAAACTTAGTAGTTTTCAATCAATATATTATACATTACCACACTTATTCCCAGAACCTTTTTAAATTTCATTTTATTAAAATGTACAACAGTATTGAATATAAAAATATAAGTACATGTAATCTAAGGTATAATAACTTGGCTGGACATGTAGATAATCTACATAGCTAATATTTAATACCATTTAACTGTTCATTGACATAACATGCATGATCAGAATGATTAATACCAACAATGCCGGCCTTAGACATTCGGCGTCTCTGGGCAATGACGTCATCTCCCCCCCCTATAATAATTAAATTTATTTCTTAAGGTGTTTCATATTTTACAGTATTTGGATTAAATTTCAGTCAATATTTCTGTAATACAGTTGCTTAATTAATTGGATAAAATTAATTATGTTGATGTTTTTTATTTTAAGAAGTGGCGAGCGCCACATTTGTCCCACCCTAAGGCCGGCACTGAGTACCATTTTTGATAAAATTGTAAAACAGATGATATAAATGGCACTTCTGGTGTCAATTTTTTGTGGAAATGTTGATGTAATATCACATGCAAATGTCCACCTCAATTATGTAATTTTAGTGAGAACTTATCATTTTCAAGGTAGTCTTATTACTTACACCCAGACTTTTGCAAGATTTGGTTATTTGGAAACATAAGACCTTAAAACATGTATTTTTTTTTTTTTGAAACTTTTAATTCTTTTATAATTCTTTCTCTGACTATATATTTCATAAATAGGTAAGTGAAAGTAATTTCCCAATTTTTTTTTAAGTCTTAATAAACTGTAACAAATAAAAAACTCTGGAATTAAAAAAAAATGTATCATGTTTGTTATTACTCAAAAGATGTTTACAGATTAAAAAAAATCAAATTATATCCTCTTCAGCGAGATTATTACAGTTGTAACTACTCAAAAACTGTGAATAAATGTACTAAAAATCTTGGAAATTCTTGTTTGGTTATCCATGATTTAGAAAAATATTGAAGATCTAAAAGTAATTAATATTTATTCCAATTACCTGTTTCCAGAAAAAGGAGAAGACCATATATCTTTTTCATCATTAATTATAAGAAAAAAAGAGGGACAGTGAAAGGGTGACAGAGAATAATTTTTGTTATACAGATATTTAAATTTTCTAAAAACAGGTATTTATATTATTACAACTGAAAATAATGTAACGATACATGATCACAATCAATTTGACTTATCATATTGAGTTTAACAAAAAATCTTAGAATATCCTACTATTAACACAAAAACAATTATAATATTGAGCTTAACAAAAATTTTCAACAAAATTTCACTTCAGATATAATTTAAAAGAATCCTTATTTATGTTAATTCTGAGCTCTCAAATCCGCTTTTTAATAATACCATTAAACATTAACATAATCTATTTTACTTCTAAGAGTATGCACCATAACAAAAATAAAAAATTGCAATTTTTTACTTTTTGCAATAAAAAACAATGAAACAAAAGCCAAAATAAATACTGTAAAAAGGAGAACAAATAATTGAATGAAAATTGATACAGATTTGAAGTAAAATAATAATAAAGTTAAGAGATTCAAGAACATAGTGAATCATTTTTTATGAATAAATATTTGTCTAGAAATACTTTTTTATGATTAATTTTATAGTTAAAAAATTATTTACAGAATAATTCTGTATACAACCTTGGATAATTTTTATTATTTATTTCTTCTAAGCATATATAGTTTGCTCCGATTATAATAAATACTATTATGGTTTAAAAAATTATCTACATAACTTATGTATTAATTACTCAGTCATGTTTTTAAAAACTAAATGGCTAAATTATAGAAATATCAAACTCTATATACAAGGCAACATATCGTAGTTTTGAATATTTACAAACATATTTTATTTCTATATTTCAGAATATTTCATTTAAAGCCCTTTATAAATAATCCAGAATTACTATGATGATTGGTTGAAACAGACAATAAAATGAACAGATAGAGCAAGGAGGCACTTCTGTGAATGGATTTAGTCAAAAAGTCTGTGCATATATTAGAGGGTAGTTTATACACAATGTGAAAACACAGATCATTTATTTTTACGGAGTAAGGAAGACAAAAAAAAAAAAATTATAATTCATACTCTACAAAATAAATAAATACACTTACATGCAAGCTTGCACAACTGCTTACACTCTTGCATACTTAGAACATATTTTGATATTTCATATTATTCTAATATACACTTGACCAAAATATTATCAAATAGATAAAACAAAAATGTACAGTGCTCCCATCAAACTTTTTTTAGAAAAACAATTTATCATTAAACAAAATCAAATAAAGGGCCATTTTCTTGAAAACAGCAATGTTGCTTTAAGGAACCTAAATAAATGAATAAAAGACTTAAGGAGGCAAGAAATGATATAAGTATCTGATTATTGACCTAATGGTATGCTTTCAAAAGTGGCATATATATCCTATTTATGTGAGCATAAACATAATCTAAGCCATTTCTGTTGCTTTGATGTTTCATATATATTTTTTTTTTCAGTAAATTCAGATAGTAAGCTAAAACATACTTCTCATTGGAAAAAAATAATTTTATATTAGAGAAAATCCTATGTGTAAGGGATTTTAAATGCAATGGTTCGTCGCTCTAACTGCAAACTGACCAAAATTCTTATTTCCTTATAAATAAAAGATAAAGTTAAATCTATTTTTCATAGTTTACAATCAGATAAGTAACTAAAATAAAAATATTAAAAAAAGTATGCAATAGAGAATTTAACACATAAAATTGAGGAAAAATTAGGTAAATGGCATTAATTTACTTTTTCAACTTTAAACAGGGTTTCACAATTTTTAAAATGCAAAATCATTATGCTGGTATGATGTAGAAGTTGTTTTATTAATAATTTATCAAAAATTATGAGGTGTGTAAATTAAGTAATGAGACTGATTTTCTAGTGTTTAATCTGGAAACACTAGGGACGCGGCACGTGGAGGGATAGGGAGATAGGGATATACCATAGGGAGATAGAGACAGAGAGTTACCAGTACAAGTTTGAAGTGATAGAGTTATTGCTTTCAGTAGTGAATTTTTTTGTGAGGAAGCTTTTTTTTGTGTGTTCTAAAAATGAGTGACATCAATTTCGAACCACATTGTGCTATCAGGTCTATGGAGACAGTGTTTTGTAGAGAGCCCAGGTTTTTAGGTGGTTTAAAGCATTTCCAGAAGAAAGAGAATCAACTGAAGGTAAGCCTCACAGCAGAAGGTCTTCTTCATCTTCAAGAAGCAATAAAAATGTTGGCAGAATTCACGATCTCGTGCATTCAGATTGTCGTTTGTGACTTTTTTCTGTTCCTAAGATTAAGAAATCACCTCAAGAGACGACATTTTGGGACATTAGAGAATATTCAAACAGCTGTAACTGACCAATTGAAGGCTATTCCAGTATCTGAGTTACAGCGCACTGCTATAAGGAATGGAAGAATTGTCTCAAGCGCTGTGTTGCTTCCCAAAGTAATTAATTTGAAGGAGACAATTTGAATTTTTAATCTTACTTCAATAAAAAAAATCAGTCTCATTACTTAATTTACACACCCTGCAATGAGCTTATAATAAGTTGTTAAGTCTGGACCAAGACAATCACTAACTTTAACCAATAATAAATACATTTGGAGGGATATATACTGAATTTGAGAATATCTATATATACAATACTATTTGTCAATGAAAAACGATGTGGCCTAACTTATTGCATGGTGGCAGTAGAATTGATTTAAAATTTTCTATGCATAGCAATACACAAATACCAGTTAAGAGTTGGGAGAGTTGACAGAAGCAGTAACAATGAAGTTGGATGATGAACCAATAAGAAGAATATTGGAAAACATGGTTAGGAGAGCTGCCAAAAAATGAAATTATTATTAATAACTTGGATAAAAGAGCAAACAGAATAGATAATAAAGAATAAAGAGAGGTCAGGATTTTATTTATTTATTTTGAACAGAAAAAGACCAACAAATGGGCTGAAATGTTGGGATATATTGAAACAGTAATTTTTATACTGCAAACTCAAAGACTGCAACGAACTGTAAAACTATTTAAAAATAGAATGCTCATTGCAATCAATACTAAAAAATATATGATAAGGGACTAGAGATAACTGCAAAATGTATGAGAGTTTTTTTTTATGAGTACTTTTAATTGTTATATAAATCTTACCATTGTTCCTTTCCTCTAAAACTTATATAGGATCAACAGTAGAACATCCCTGAGAATTTCCCAAAAGAAAATTATGTGCACACAATAAACAATAAAATTGGATCAAGAAGTTCTTCCCACGCTGTCTATAAACCTTTTATAGATAACTATGACTTTTCCAGATAATTTTTTATAAAAATCCTAGGTCTTTGAAAAAATTAAAATAAGTGATGTATACACATATATAACTCAATTAATTGTCTAACTTAAAAAAATTATGAGGCAATAAACAGCAAAGACCATTACTTTATAAGTTAGTTTACACACAGTTCAGTTGAACATTCCGCATCATTTTAGACATGATTACTATGTTTGCTAGTATGTTAACTTATTGTGACAAATCTCAAACATTCATAAACAGAAAGTCTCGTTTGTGCATCTCATCTAAAATTCTCCAATTTTTCTGGGTTTAAAAATGTCTTACCATTTCCAGTTAGACACGCTTTTATTGAAAATATCCTATTTTAAGTCATAATTAAAATATATTCATTGGACTCATAAGTTTCAAAGAAATTAAAAAACACTATCTCTAACTTCTCCAGATAATTAGGAATAACAAAAGGAAAAAAGAATTTATAATAATAATATTAATTAAGTTAATTTTGAATTTCACATCCTTCATCTATATACAAATATTCTTCTTGAAGGATCTATAAAGAGATATAAAATTAATTAATGTTATTTTTTAATTATATCCCACAGAAAAACAATGAATAAAATTCATAATTTCATTACTAGACAGTAAGTGGAATTCCTGGTTTTAAAAATTTTCACAATTCAATCAACTATAAAGTTAATAAAAATATTTAAATCCATATGTGCTCGTTTTAGGTGAATTTTTTTAAAAATATTATAAAATAAAACACAGCCTTATTTTATAATATAAAAATATTTAATTTTTTGAAAATTGAAAATTAATTGATAACAATAAATGTTATTATGTTTGTTGCACAATAACAACAATCTAGACAAACATAATAATATCAATGATACTTTTTTTATCTCAAAATATCTCCTGATTTGGGAGTGGAATACAGTAATAGATGAAAATATAAAAATATTAATTTTAAAAGTTTGCAGTAAATTTGATTCAGGAATTATAAATTCCAACACTGCTAGAATGATGGGGCACTGTATAAATACAATAAAACAATAGCAATAATCAAAAAGAATAAAAGCATCACAGGGTAACTGGTAATATTTTATCAACAAGCAAACAATATATAAAAAATATTTTTAAAGTTAAACAGGAACTTTAGATGCAATGGTAAATGGTAATCAAACAATGTTACCATCTTAAAACCATTGATTTCCCAATATTTTATTCACACATACATACACATGTACACATAGCACTGTACAATTCAGTTTCGAAAATATAAACTCATCTTTTATATAATACAAAAACTATGGAAGTTAATATAAAAGAGGTAGAGCATAATGTTTTGGTAGCTGAAGCTTACATGAAAATAATTGTAAGAAGAGCAAAGAGCAATATTACAATTCTGACTAAGAACAAATAAATAAAGAACCTACACCTATCATATACTTCTTGAATTAAAATTGAAAGAAATTTAATAATACATTTAAAAAACTTATAAGAGAAATTAGAAAAAAAGATCTATAAAAACAATTAACATCATTGTAAAAATATATACCTAACATACTTATTAAATGAGAGAATTAATTTTCCTAAAATATTTTTAGAAAAAATTGATGAGTCTTATCAACGTTTTTCAGTATTGGTGTAATTATGTATGAAAATTAGGCTTGTTACTACGTTTTATTACTGTTAGTTTTAAGTTAGGGTACCAATAGCCCTCCCTAGCAGATATGGAATACCTTCCTCTACTTTTCAATTGGGCATCTAGTATAATTTGTCTAACTGATTTTGACTGATAAGTAATCCTGCTTTGTAAGACACCAACAGTAAGTGTCAAAAGGACCTGCTAAGGATTTGTTTACCTCTTGTTGTATTTTTATAGCTCTATACAGATCACAAATAAATGTAATGTACATCAAAATGGTGGAATAAGCAAAGGAGAGCAAAGAAAAATTAATTGACAGACTAATCTACCTGAGTTTGTGTGATGAAGTGGACGAAATAAAGGACATTAATATAAACAATAATATAGAATATACGGACTTACCATAACCTTTTATTTTTTAAATAAATTCTGTCCAAAAAAACTCTACTAGTTGTTCCCAGCAATTTTAATTTAATTTAATTTAATTTAATTTAATTTTAATTTAATTTTAATTTTACATACTCCTAAAATAGGATAATAAATACAGTATTGAGAGAGAAGCTGCACTACCTAAATAAAACCTGTACCCAGATTTCTATTTAAAAAAAAAATAAATTAAATCATTTTACAAAAATAATCACAAACTAAAAATGTTAATATAAAAAACCCACTGACATAGATAGTTGTAAAAAGAAAAAAAAAAAAAAAAAGAAATTAGGATTCCCATTTTATAGCTAACTGGTATAGACATTGCTGTTTCCTAAGCAATTCAATTAAATCTAAAAAAAAAAGAATTTCTTTTTAAGAAAAATATTGATAAGACTTTAATTCAACTTTTTAATGGCTAGTGTAAAACAATGTTGCAATAATAGTAACTGAAACTGTTAATCAACTGATTTATGCTATTCAAAATAAAATATTAAATCATTAATTTTTTCTCTGGTTGGGAAGTAAAGAAATAAGTAGCTATGTATTTTCAAATGATGATTTTTAAATGAACTAAAAATTATTAGAAACAATAGACCAAAAATAAAAAGCCAGCAGGAAAAATATGTTCTTTTTTTAAAAAAAAAGAAAGGAAAGATTATAGGGGTGTTCATGCAACCAGTGCTAAGTATTGTAAACCTCTTAAATGTGTAAAGTCGAGAAAATTATTTATGAAATATGTGTTAAATATGGCTGCTAGCACTCTCAATTTTAAGGCAGCCTAGGGTCCTGTAAATTGTTCCTAACTTCATAAACGTACAGAGAAGGTTATTAGTGTGTTTGATTCTCTCTTCATTTTGCTTTGGCATTATAAAAATAAATCAAAATGTTAGTAAATCAATAAAGAACTCACAAACTTTATTTACAGTACAGACATAACCATACTATAACTGATAACACTTTAGCAGGTTAGCACATTAAGCATTTACAAGTGCATGAATATCCCTATTGTTCCACTCTGGTAGCTGATAATGAATACTTTGAGTTGGTCCAATATAAACAATAAGAATATGTTTATCCCTAAAAACCTCATCCTTATTTTTTGGAAACCTTTCATAAACCTACAAAATGAATGCTGTGAAATTACAAAAATGGATTCGACACATTTTTCCTGAAGGCTCTTCAAATATTATTTAAAAAAAAGAAATGTGAATTAGAAAACAATTAAAAAATTGTATATATATTTCAAGATTTAACAATATTGAAAAAACATATAAATATACATTCAGATTTTTAAATCATATCATAACATAATAAAATGAATGATTGCTCAATGCTCAATGCTCATTCTCACATACTTATATTTCTGTTTCAGTCCTAACTGTTGGCTTGCCTTCATCTGAACTTACGGAAGCAGACCGTGGTGCATGAACAAGTGGATCAGAGGTGCGACTCCTGTATATTACAGGCGCAACACTACCTCCTACAAGAACACTACTTGAACCAGGTTTTACACGAAGGGAACACTGTCTAGGACCAAAGGAAATAAGATCATCTTCAGCGGGAGGCTCGAGATTCACAAGTATTCCTTCAGCAACCCTTCTACTTTCACGAATTCGAAGACCCCCATTGGATGGAGGATTAAAACATGCTTCAGAACAATTTAAGTCAGTCAAAGTTTGAGTTGATTTAGTACACTTCACCTTTCTACAAGTGCAAGTTCCACAGTGTTTTGCCTGGCTTCTTTCTCTTTCTCTTTCTTCAAGAATTTTTGCCATAATTGCTGCTGAAACTATATCAACGGGTTGTGAGTTGTTTTTCTCTTCACTATTTGTATCTTTTTCTGAAAAAAATAATAAAAATAAATATTATATGATATATATTATTAAATATATATATCATATATATATATATATATATGTATATATATATATATATATATATTAAAATTTAATTTTGAATTTTTGTAATGAAGACTGATTTTATTTAATTGATGTCTTGATGTAAACACAACAGCTTCTTAATCAAATAATATTTATTTTACACAATAATTAATTCCCAGGTTGGGTTGAGACAATAAACACATATCCTCAATTATACAATATAAAAGCATACATTAATTATACAGCACATTTTGAACATATCGAGCTCTTTCCCCACCATCTGTCATTCTTTGTCCATTTTTGGCAGTAGTTCATGACGTCACTACCTTTGTGCTACTATTCAAAATCATTATGTAATATTTACATTACAATATATATATATAATTGAAAGGGAAGGTAACCTTACAATACATATAAAGACATCAATAAAATAAAGTCAGTCTTCATTACAATAATTCAAAATTAAACAAAAGTGATATAAAGTTCAGTTGTTTTCAATAGGAACACTATTTTTTTTTTAAAGTAAGAAAGAAAAATGAACCTAAAACGTATCAAAAATTTAAAAATTCTATTGAGGGACAGAGGGATAAAATAAATAAATTAACTTACCAAGAGGACATTTATTAACTGAATAAACCATAGCAGTAGGAGGGTAAGTTGGTATTGGGACTTTGATAGTTTTCATTTCCGGTTTGGATTGTATATTTCCATTACCATCAGATTGTCTCCTCTTATTAGAAAGATATGTACGCACTTTTTGCTGCATTTCAGTAGGCAACTAATGAAAACAATAAAAATAATTTTCAGAAAATATTGCTGAATAAACAAAAAAAGAACATAAATAAACAAATAGGAAGATGATGAAAATTAACAAAAAAAAAAGTCATTGTATTTCACAAAATGATTAACCAAGTTCATATTCAAATGGATTCTACACATGAAAGTAACTTAATTGTAACATATCATATTGTTTAATAATTGATTAATAGTAACCTGATCCCTATTATAAAACTTAAAGAAATATATTTAAAACTAGTTCATTGGATTAAAACAAGGAATTAAAATGATATACAAATGTCTCAAAAATAATATTATAAATAGATATATCAAACATATAAACAAATATGCAGAAAAATTCATATATTAGCTGAATAGTGAAATATTTTTATTACTTTGTGAATGATAGCATCTAGTTACAAAGTAATTTAGTAGCAGGTTTTTAACCCTTTTAGTGCCAAATGACAAAATATATCAGTTACATTTACGAAAAGTGCCAAAAACAATATATCAAGTAGAGTCAGTATCTGGTCCTCCAGATTGGGGGTAGGGTATAGGGCTGATAATCCCCTATCCCATAACAAAACTGGGTGGAGATTGTTGCACAAGATTGCCAATCATCCTTCAGGAAAGTGCCTGATGAAGAGGAAGTGAATTGTGATCACGTCCAGTTAATAAACCACGTGCTCTCTGGATATCTTGAAGAAGAGAATCAAACGATCACTGCTGTCGCTATAACAGCCCCAAAAAGCTGCTAGAAGACTCATGGCAAAAAGTCAGTCAAAAAGCATAAGGAAAAAAAAAGTTTTATATATATACCATGGATTTAACTATAGACAGAGACAGAACAAAATTTGTTCCTTGATATCTAAAATGTAAAAGGTGAGTGAAAATTTTTGATATTCTAATATTCTGATCACAATTAATTTAATCTCCCACACAAACACAGAAGCTTCCCTACCTTCAGCAGTGAGGAAATAAAAGTTAAGTATAAAAGTTAAAGTAAATTAATTTGTTGACCAAAAAGTTATAAGTTTAGAATAAGTGGTTGACTTTTTTTTTTTTTTTTAATAAATCCGTTGTTTTAACATTTCATAGTTAACAAACCTAAACTTAAAATTATAAAATTACTTATGTAATGTTCATAATTGGTAATTGGTTGACTGTCGTGGATAATGAAGAGAAGAATAGTTGGGGTGGTCAGTCAAAAAGGAAGGCAAAAATAAATGATAATATTTATTTTTTACATATGCCGACGTTTCGACCTGAAGTTCAGGCCTTCATCAGGGCTAAGAAAATAACCAGATAACAAGGTATGAGAAACATAAGTAATGATGGTAAAAAAGATAATAAATTAAAAAAAATAAAAAAAGAAAAAAAAATTAGAAAAATAAAATAGATAAATATAAAGTAAAATGAAATTGTTAGAATAATGACTAAGAACTAAGAGATAAATAATAAAAACCGTTACAAAGTGTGGAATGATGAAGTAGGCATAATCAAAAAGGGTGACAAAAGTGTTACAATGGGAATCTTAGAATAAAATGTAAAACATAAAAAAGAAATATGAAGTTATATAAGTAATGAAAATAAATAGTAAAATTAAAACATTGAGAATGGAGTAGTTAGATAGAAAATTGAGATATTGTAAAGTCTATCAAGATGTACAGACAATGTATAATATAATAAAGAGTTGAAAACAGAGAAAAGGAATGAAAGGAAGGAGGGAAGAAAAGTTATCTGGAAGGGAAGTTGTTATCTGGTTATTTTCTTAGCCCTGATGAAGGCCTGAACTTCAGGTCGAAACGTCGGCATATGTAAAAAATAAATATTATCATTTATTTTTGCCTTCCTTTTTGACTGACCACCCCAACTATTCTTCTCTTCATTACTTATGTAATGATTTTTTACGATATGGAAACTATTCAAACATCATGCATCACAACCGTATTTAGCAAGAGCCATCAAGCATGTTAATAAAAACTAACAGATGATGAGTTCCAGAAACATCTAATTAATTAATTCACATTCTTAAAATATAAATTACAGCTCTTCAGGAACTAATAAATTAATCCATAGAAGATCTTATCTAGAGAATAATAATTTATTTGAAGAGTAACAATGATGAGATACTTTTTAAGCTCATTGTTTTTTAGTTAAACTCTGCAACAACCCTATAATACGAAAAGTCACAATTACTTCATAACCATATTTAAGGTCAATTCACATTAAATGGGAAAAGAATTACTTAGGGCCTTCCAATTAGCACCTCTCAATAGACTTAATAATTCCTCCGGAGAACATGTCTGCGGACCAAAATATTTTTCCCTGATCCCACTTATACATAAAAGGACCCTAGGAAGTGCATGGTTTCTTCTTTTTTCACGCAATTACAAACTGGACAATTATCATTACCCTCCTGCACAAATGGTTCAGCACTTAAATTAAGTACTACAATCCTGCATCGGATAATCGACCTTATCGATAAAAGATCAAAATTGTCATTGAGATAGGGTGACAAAATCACAAAACCTGCATACATAGAGAAATTGGACTGCAGAAATTTTTCGAGACAGCGTTGTTTTTCCGATTCCTAGACATCGAAATAGTTTTAATGGGACATGAGATTTTATATGTGTGTATAATGTGAATAATATAAAAAACAAATTGTTCTAGCATTCTTACTGAAACAGAAAATGGTCTAGTTTATTAATAAATAATTTTTGAAAATAGTTTTAAAAATGTAGTTAGAATTAAAATTATTGAATGGAATAATTATATCATGAAGAATTTATGAACACACCATTCATATTTGACATGTCATATGTTCACTAGTGCATATTTCAGTATTATATAAACTTTTAAGTGCGTAATCATGATTCTAAATCATAACAGGAAATTGTCTGCTAGATGACTTTTCCAGGTTAGATAATTTCCCAGAATTTTCAGGTCTATTTAACACCCTCTGTTTAGCTGCATATCTAATATGAATTGGTCATAGCTATATAATCATATAACATAATTTAATAAAATGAATGTGACTCGTTTTATTTTCAGTCTAAATAGAAATAAACAAATCTAAACATTGTTTAATATAATTGATGACATTTAGTAATAATTAAGTTTGCACAATACTCACAGAATCATATTTTTGTGATACAAAGTTTGATGGTTTACATTGTAATAACTGAATAGCAAGGTTCACATCATTTCTATATCGTTCCTGAAAAAAAAAGAAAGAAAGTTAGGGTAATTAAAATAAAAATGAACCTATTATGAATCTATGTATTAAAATGGTTCCATGCATGCGAGTGTATGTTCATAGGTTTCTATAATTATTGTCATGCCTGCTTCATACTCATGAAACAAGGAACACTAGAAATTTTAATTAACATTAATTTGAAATTACAATGTATTCATTTAGCACAGTAATATTTTGATTTACTCTTTTGGATTTAAATTTCATACTTACCAGTTGATAATATTGACACATGACTAACTGATTGGCTTTTGATTTTAGTAATGATTTGATAAAATGTTTTAGAACCATTTTCATATATTGGAGTAAGTTTTCAAATTTTATATCTTTTTGGATTTTCAACTTAATAGGGGAGCAAGAATGGAAAGAAAGAGGTTACCTCCTAACCCTTCCATAGCGACATTTGTATATGAATATTAGGGATAGTTGGGTCCATGTACTTAACAAAAATGTTTATATTAAAATGTTTATTATTTCATTTATATATAGATATATCTGCTATCACAAATACATGAAGCAAATGTGTATCAAGCGTAGATTTATGACTTTTGTAAGATGATGAAGAAGAAATCAAGGTATATTTCTCCTTCTTTTTCTGTTGCCTAGTTTCTTGAGTAATGTTAATGAAGTAGTTTGTGTTCCCAAATCATTGAATTTTTGCCACCTTTCTTTCACAACTATCACAAAAAAAAATCACCTTATTTTACAGAGTGTAGAATAGTGTTTGGAACAATTGAAGATGCTAATAGCATCTTAAAAAGATTGGTATAGAGACAAAGTGATCAACATGCATATGTGTTGTCATAAAACCTTCTGATATATGGAAGAAAATTTACTACACATCATTTTAATAATTGTGAAATTATATGAATACCCATGGCAGAAGAAGGATCATGTCATGATCTTGCCAGTCCATTCAGGAAGCGTTAAAAAATAGAAAAATGGAAAAAGTGTATATTGATGATATAGATAACTTATTTAAATGATACTTTATTATCATGTAGTGAAATTGATTGCCATTTTACCCAGTTCCTTCGGAAGTAATGAGACTGAATAATGTTTTATAAACTATTGTTTTAAAGATTGAATATAACTTCTTTGGAAACAACTACAAAGGACAGAACCTCCATCGACAAAGAAAACAATACACCATGGTAAAAACATTACAGTGGAATTATAACGGTTACTGCCATCATATAGAATATTTTAAAAAAATAATGTCCGAAGAAAACCCAATAAATATGCTGCTGTTTACAAGAAACTCACCTTAACGAAAAACACTCAGTGAAACTCAAAGACTACAAGATCTATAGAAAAGACAGACACTCTGAAAGAGCGTGGGGAGGAGCCGCAACGTTTGTTTCGGAAAACATCCATAGTGAAGAGGTGATACTACAAACCCAGTTCCAAGCATTAGCTGTCAAAATGTATTTTAATCAACATTTGACAGTATGCAATTTATACGTACCACCCTCACAAGCATTTTTCAGTGAAGATATTGAAAACATTGTCAATCAACTTTGTAATTTAGAGGATAATAATTTTTAAAATACTAGTTATTACATCTATATTGTCATTTTAATTAACCAGCTGTGTGGAGTTATCTACATTAAATATATATGTTATACATAATGAATAACTGTATCTGATTAACTGAATGACATCTGGCATTAATGAATATTATAAAAGAAAGATTAACCTCAAATAGGCTTTATTACACATAAATTTGCAATACATTAAACAATTAATTATTAAACACATGTGTGTTTAGTAAATATAAATAATTCAATTTTATAACATTCACCCCTCCTAGGTGGTGAAATCTCTCAAGTAAGGTGGAGGACGTCCATCTCGAGCACTTCGTCTAAGAGGCTGTTTAGGTGGTGAGGCAGGACGATTTGTTACATCAAGGTCTTGAGATGAAGTTCCAACTGAATCGGGACTGATAACTGGATTCCCCAGAACACATGTATTTTGCTCAAGAGTTTCATTTGTTGATAAATTTGGCTGACCTCTAACATCTATCTCTGGAGGTAGCGTTTCAGTTGGTCCTAGATCCTTTGTTCCTGTTTGAGATATTTCCGTCTTTCCTATAGGAGCCAGATATCTATTTGACACCGAAGTCTCTCTTCCATCCGGGAGTCTTACAAAGGAATATTCCGGGTTTCCTTCTAGTAAAAATACTTTATCAACATATGGGTCATATTTCAAATGATGAATAGATGTCTTCATGAGGACTGGACAGGGTTTGGTTAATCATGTCTGTATTCCTACTCCTAAGTTGGAACAGCGATGGAAATTAAACAAGCGTTCATGTGATGTTGTATTGATTGATGTATAAAGGAGAGAACGGATCGAATGTAATGCTTCATGGTAAACATCCTCCCAATTAGAAATATCAATATTTTGATTCCTTGCTGCCAGCCCAATAATCTTCTAAACTATCCCGACGTAATATTCACACTGTCCATTCCCTTGGGGATTGTAAGCTGTATTTTGACTAGTCATGACTAGTCGTAATATTCACACTGTCCATTCCCTTGGGGATTGTAAGCTGTATTTTGACTAGTCGCAACACCAACAGTCGTTAGAAAAGATTTCAGTTCTTGAGAAAAAAATTATGGACCTCTGTCAGTATGCAATAACGCAGGTGTGCCAAAAAATTGAAAAAAATTCCTTAAGTTTTGCGATCACAGTCCTGGATGACATGTCTTGAAATGGAAATGTGAAAAGAAATCTGAAATACTTGTCAATGAGTATCAGTAGATACCGATTTTTCGAAGATGAAGGCAAAGGGCCTTTAAAATCTATTACGATCCTTTCGAAAGGTTGTGTTGCTTTAATAAGTGTGCCTTTAAACTTGCAAAATCTAGGTTTTATTTCAGCACAAATGTGTCATGATGAGATTATTGTTCGTATTTCTTCTAATGAGATGGGGAGATTTTTACTTCGTACTCAGTAGTAAAACTTTGTTTCTCCCAGATGACATAGCATTTCATGTAGACTTCTTAACTTGGGAAGAGAACTCCTTATTGAAGAGTAACTTCGTTAAAGGGTATCAACAGCCTTATTCTCACTCCCTGGCCTGTATATAATTTCATATTTATAATTTGAGAGTTCCAGTCTCCACCTCATTATTTTTTTCGTTTTTGATTTTTCCTTGATTATTACTGCTGAACATAAACGAGACTAATTGTTGATCCATTATCAGACAAAAGTTTCTGCCTATAATGTAGTGTCTCCACTTCCGTAACTCCTTTACAATGGCATACGCTTCTTTTTCAATAGATAAATGACGTTGCTCAGTCTGTGTTAGAGATCTTAAAAAAAAAAAAAAAAAAAAAAAAAAAAAACGTTTCTTATCTTGGGATAACGTGGCTCCGACAGCAAAGTCAGAAGCATCAGTTTCTACAGTTAGTGTTGTATTGATACCACTGCGTTTTGGGTATCCTGGTACTCCAGTCCTAAGGCTGGTACTCCAGTCCTAAGGCTGGTACTCCAGTCCTAAGGCTGGTACTCCAGTCCTAACTCCAAATGGAATACGCATGAACTGATATAGACGTCCGCAGGTTTCAAAGGCTGTGTAAGGTTTGTCCTCAGGCCTGATAGGAATTTGATGGAAAGCACTACGGAGATCGACCGAGCTAAAAACTTTGTAAGAAGGTACTCTATTCACAATGTCATCTATCCTTGGTAGTGGAAACGCATTCAACTCGGTGGATCTATTTATTGTTTGGGAGTAATCGACTACCATCCTACGCTGATGATTAGGAGAATCTACTACCAATACTTGAGCACGCTACAGCGAACTACTCTCTTCAATGACGCCATCTTTTAACAATTTCCTTATCTCATTTTCAATAAATTTTGTATCTGGAACTGTATGTCTACGAGATTTTATTGAAATAGGTTTACAGTTAGGAGGTACATTACAGAAAAGTTTTGCAGGCTCGACATTTGCAAATGCAACACTACAAATATTAAGAGGAGCTTCAGTTCTACCGAATGTGACCTGAATTGAAGAATGTCTTTTTAGGATGTCATGCCCTATTATAATGTCTGAACATAGAGTTTTGAGGATACTAACTTTTATGTTGTCATAATTATGATCCTGTAAGCGAAGATTTATTCTGAATTGACCGTTGATTTGAGAGTTCTAGATGTCATAGTAACATCCTCTACTTTACAGGGGATCACAGGAATATTTAGCTTAGAGACAGTGGACTGGTTTATGAAAGTACCGGTACTCCCAGTATCTATAAAACCATGTGCATTGGAGCCATTTATCTTCACTATAACAACAGCTTTATTTAAATTTGAAGGTAAAGATGCCAAATAATTAGAGGAGTGAGTCGGAGAATGAGACAATGCAGAATATTTATGTTTTTTTTTACATACCTTCTGGTAGTGGCCTTTTATGCCACAGCCTCTACAAGTAGCTTCCCTGGCTGGACAGACAGACCTATTGTGTTTGTAAAGGCCACAGAAGTAACATTTTGAACTGATTGAGATTTGTCCTCGTTAGGACTAGTTTCTGATTCTTTGTTTACAGAGGCAGCATGTATGGTAGATTGAGTCAAATATTGTTGGAACTGATGTTCCACGAGTTCCAGAGATCTTGCTTGATAAATGCTTTTTCTTGAGTTAATGAGCAGTTTTCCAATAATCTCTGACATATACGAGTTGATAATAATCCGTCTATGAATCCATCTCTTACTGATTCGTCTGTGTTGATTTCTGCACTGACAGCTTTAAAATTACAGTCCTTAGACAAACGTTTAAGAGATTCAATGTACCTGTCAATTGTCTCTGCTGGCATCAAGTCTTGAGTTTATGTCAGGCATAGATTTCATTTAAGGGTTTAATACAAAGACTCTTTAAACTAGCGATTGCATCATTTTAAGTTCCACATTCATTCACATACTCATAGACAGAAGGAGAAATAAAGTTAATTAATACTCTAAGTCTATCGCTCTCATGAACATCAACAGCAGCAATAAAGTTTTGAAATGTACAAAACCAATGTTTCCATTCTTATAGAGCTCCTTCTTCATTTGGATTGATACTAAATCTTTCAGGACGTAGAATGCGGTCCATCAATAGAATTTATGTGTAGTAAATTGTTATAAAAGAAAGATAACCTCAACTAGGCTTTATAAATTTATTACACATAAATTTGCAATACATTAAACAAATAATTATTTAAAATATGTGCCTAGTAAATATAAAAAACGTCTGCCAAGTAAGGCCAGTATAGCTTCCTCACCATTTTCACTTGCTAAAAAATATCTACGTTAAAAGGTAAAAAAATTTTCTTATGAGAATAAAATCTCTAAAAGGAGACATTTTCGGAAATTCAGTAATCCCTCAGCTTGATATCCATGAGTTTTGTTAATCAGCATATAAAAAAAATGCGAAAAAGTCCCGCAATTGCAGATTGCATATTTGATAATTTGTAATAAAAAAAAAATTTCAGTGCATACTGAATATGTATCTCGCTACTGTTAGCACAAATGACGTATATAAAAATTGAGTGTTTTACAGGAGAGCAAAAAAATTAATTATTTCGTTATGATTTATTAGTATAATTTTATATTTTATTGCCCTCTGATATTTTTCATAGTAGTAGACTACTTATATCAATTGCAGACTACATAATTTCAAAAATAGAATAAAAATTGAAAACTTTTACATAAGACCTTTGCACTAACAGTAGTGATAAATACTTAATAGTTATGTTTTCACTCGTAAAATGGATGGAACAAAAAATCCATAGGAAAAATTCAACTTTTTGTTTGTTCAGAGTTAATCAGATCAATACTTTTCTTCAGTCAGAACAAAACTAATTAAGCTGGAATATAAAAATATGAGTGAAGTGGACACAATTTTGATGTTTAAGAAGAAAATCGAGACCACGACGAGCTGGTTGAACTTCAATGGAAATAAACACAATCACAAATAAGCCTTTTTTTTTTTTACAAATTCAGAGTAAAAATGACTTTAAATTTACTTAAAATTACACAAAATCTATATAACGGCAATAAATGTCATGCCAGTAACGTTTGGAATTGACCAAACAATACAGTATAAATTAACTTTTTAAATAAAACCTAAAATTTTATAACCCCATAACAATATTGTAACAACCTAACTCCCACTCCATATGATCAGTGCCTTTCACATTTCACAACCATTATATTGTGAACAATTATTTATTTTAATTTTAATTATTAAATGGAATTCAATGAAATTGATACTAAATAATTTCTATACTGTTCTCCAAATTTCCTCCAAGTTTGGGTCTAATCGAATGTGCCGTTTTCAAACTGTAGGCATATCAAATAACAAATTTCCTGATCTGAAAGCGTTTTTTTTTTTTTGGAGTATTAGATAAAATACAATTTGATAAATTGGTCATTTTACGTTGACCAATCCCTAAATTCGTTCCAAGTTTGGGCCAAATCGAACTTGCTTTTAGAAGTTTAGAACATTTAGAGATATAGACGTATCAAGGAAAACATGTTTGCGCATATACAACAGAAAGCAATGGACAGAATTCAATCAAATTGACCCTACATTATTTCTTTACAAATACCTTTTATCCAACTTTCAGCCAAATTGAATGAGCCGTTTCTGAAATATTGGCATATCAACAAAAATTCGTTTGCGTATGCATAAGCGGAAGTGCTGGTTAGAATTTAATAAAATTGATATAAATTTATATATATGCAGAATTTATATACATATATATATATATATATATATATATATATATATATATATATATATACACACACACAAAATTATATTTTCTTTTCATATCATTTATTCCTGTTTTCTTTCTTTTCTTCATCCCTTTCTGCCTTAACACTCCATCCTGTAGTCCAAATACTGAATATTTTTTATTCATCTGATAAAATGATTGTATATAAGAATTCATAAAGGCCTCGATGCCTGATACAATTTTAACATTTCATAAAATTTACAATTTAACGGTTTAGAAAAAAGAAAATTTGTTAGTGAGGTGTAGGATAGGCAAAATATCTACAGGAAGGAGGTATTCTAAACAATTATCCAAATACCAATTTAGTTGTTCTACCTTAATTAATATTCAAATTATATACCCCTTTTTTTTCAAGGCCATATTGCTCTTGAGTCTTCCATATAAGTCTTGAGATACTGATTCTAATACGACCTCATGAATTGAAGTATATTTCGTGGCACTCACGCAATGAATCTCAATCTTCCCACCCAAGTAAGAATATATTTGGTTTATCTATAGAACAACTCCCCTGTTTGCGAGAAATGCCCAGGTATGCAGAAAAGGAAAAAAAAAAAGTTACATAAACTTTATACTCACATTTTCTTCTTGCAACCTAGCAACATTAAATTTTTCATCAACTAATCGCCGAGTGAGGTTAGAAACTTCAGAAGTCAAAGCATTTTTTTCTGTTTCACATTTGTCTACAATCCTCAACAGCTTGTCTTCTAGGTTTTGATTCACTCTCTGAACTCTCTTATGAGCTTCATACAACCTAACATAAATTGAAAAATTATAAGATAAACATTGCTAATAGAAAAATACCAGAGTTTTGCTAAACTCAGATCTCTTAATCTAAAATTTGTGCATATCTAGAAATCAGTTTATCAGTCAAGTATGCTTGGAGAAACAAAAAATAAATAAATAATAAATAACAGAAAGGTTTATATTGCCAAATAGGTAAATTCCTAGCTGAAATGATTTACCTGGAGTATTTATCTTGCCATGTTAACAATTCTTCAGATATAGCAGCCATCTCTCCATTAGGGAATTTATCAGCTTCTTTGAGAAAATTAGTTTCCATGGATAATATATGGTTTTCTCTTTCAAGCAACTGCTGTTTTAAGTTTTCAATTTCTACATGCAAGTGTAACCCTGCCTGATCTTCACAGTCACGACACATACAGCCACATCCCTTAAGAAAACATAGTTTTAATGCTATATGTCAAATGAGTCAAATATATAAACTTTGGCTTGACTATTAATTTACATTAAAATGTAACATACATTGAAATTATAAATAACATACCTCACAAGACTTAAATTTTTGAGACATTATAGAATAAAAGGAAAAAAATAAAACAAAAAAGGCCAGAACTGGTCCTGTTTTCCAGGTTGATAAATTAATGAGACATTTAATGAAAAAACAATAACATCTTAAAACTTCAAAGACTGAGTAATTTCTTTAATTTAAAACATTATAACCTATAGTTTCAACACTCATAAAATTAATATAAAACGGAATAACCGGTGATGAATGAATGACTGGATTTAAAAACCACGAATTTTAATATGACTTGGAACTAACTAAATCAAAAATTAATCTCAACTAGTGGTCAAATCTGACAGATCTCTTGAATGCCATATGGATTTTGTAACAGTACTCTGTATGGAGTCTTGGTCAGCTGATTATTAACCTTCTGGGAGGTTATAGAACCTACTTGTGTTGTGATTCCCATGTGGCTCGAAATTAGTGAGTTTAATCATGAACATTGAACACATGACAGAAGAAAAAGAAGAAGCCCTTAAGATCTTCAAGAATCTTAAAGATGTTGGTTCTCAAGTACTAACTCTTGTCAATACGTTAAAAGATCGAGTAGTTAATGGTGAACTGGTAGTGGAAAATGTAATTTTTGTGTCTTGGTATTCTTATTTTAGCTATAATACTATTTACATTATTATTCAGCAACATTTACTTTTAGGGCATCAGCCTTTTGGATGTAAAAAATCAGCTTATGATACAGTACTTATTAAATTTAGCTCAGCTAATAATTTTAAAAACAACTGGAAAGTCAATTGAAGGAAGTTCAGCCTTAGGTAAGTTATATGAATTGTTTTTATTTATTTATCATTGCTGAAAACAATTAGTTCTGGGTTGTTTACTCTAAAATTTTTGTGCTTTGGCCAGAATAGTTTTGAATGTTAACTAAAAATATTTTAGCACTGTACAGTTTTTCAAAAGCAGTTCTCAGAATATCTGGTACCAGTTAAAACTGTATAATAATTATGTAGTGTTGAGTGGCCTTTAAGTCTTTGGCAATTGGGTATTCAATCATTGGGTATGTTTTGTATTTCATGTAATAGTTCCATTGTATGGAGCAAAGTGTATTGAATTGTTTGGATACTATCATTATTCTTTCCAAGAAACTGTTGAGTCTAATTTTTACTTAGTTCTATTAGTCTAATCTAGTTCTATTAGTCTAATTTTTACTTAGTTCTATTAGTCTAATTTAGTAGTTCTATTGGTACCGGTTTACTTATGTTACTCCACCAACCCATATAGGCGCTGTCAAGTTATCCATAATGTCTACAATAAAGTTACAACAAATAGCGCCCAGGTGCGCTCTTATTTTTATACTTATAATTTAATTATAAATATATCGTGAATGAAGTTGATAATAATTTATTATAAATGTGAAGAAAACGTTAATTGAGGTGTGTAACATGGTTGTACTGATTGTGTTTTCAGTGTGTTAATATGAGTATTATTTTATTTAAAATAAATGTAGATTTTTTTTTATTCTACTAGTGCATTTTAGGTACTAGTTAACAAGAGTTCCGCATGGTTCACAATCACTTCGGTCACACTTGTTCCTGGAATCCCGAATGCGTTTGGGTTTATCCGAAAGAGAACGAAGGCGACCGATCTCTTGGGCCAGTAACTAATATTTACTGGTTACTAACTATTAACTTTCCCGCTATTCAAGTACTTCTATAACCTTAACCATGTTCAGTTATATAGCAGGAGCCGACTTACATTCGAAATTTAGGCTACACATCATGAAATCTGAGTTGAACTTGTACATATATTATAGATCTGTAAAAAAATAATAATAGTAATAGATAAAAATCTTTAATTATTACATCTCTGAATGCTATTTCACTATATTATTTTACTTATTGATGATTTTCATTATTGATTATCTTGGAATTATCAGTATATTCATAAATATATCATAAATCTTTAATCTGACATTTTTTTCATAAAAAGGGTCCTTGACAACTTAATAGTCGACTCTTATATCTAAGAAATCCAAAAATCTACAAAAAATCGACGAACAATTTTAAATCCGACAGTATGTTCATAAAAAGCTCCGATGACTAGAAAATAGTGGATCCATGTATCTAAGAATTCGAGAAAGTTACATAAACTTGATGCTTACTTTCAAATCAGATAGTATATGCATACAAACCGCTCCTTCCCCTCACTAGAAAATAGTGAGAAATTACATAAACTAGATAGATGACATAAACTAAAAAAGGCTTACTAAAATAAATTATAAATGCAATTATTCCAACTTTTACTGAAAAACTCGAATAACAACTAAAAAGATATAGATTACTTCAAATTATTTATTATTCAAATGATAAAAAAATCTTTTATTCACAGTTATAAAAGGTAATATACAGTATATGCGTATTTACAGCCACTACATGTGTGTAGGTGTCAATAAAAATGTTATTTCTAAAAGCATTTTTTTTTTAAGAGCCCTTGAAGAAACGACTCAAACATTGTTTTATATATTTTTTCTTTTTCTTTCACAGTGATAACCGTTATAATAAAAATTGATAATTAACTAATTAGTAAATACACAATTCGTTAATAAATTGTTAATAATGAAGTTCTGTGAAGGGAATACGTTTTTTTTTTCTTTAAAAATGCATGAAAAGGAGTTGTGTAATGAGGCAATAGCTGACGTCATAAAAGACGACAACATTCGGCTGTTTTCGGGATTCCATGAACAAGTGTGATCGAAGTGATTGTGAACCACGCGTAATCCGTGTTGTGAACTAGTACTGCATTTTATATTGATAACCTTGGCTGGTCATGGGCCCAGAGCCACTAAAATATAGTGAAATGACAGTTTATTCCTTTATCATGCGCGATTGAAAAAATGACTGCTGAAACTTCACTGTCATGACCACTGTTACCTTCTCTCGCTGATTGTTTATTTCTGCATCTCCATAATCAAGTATCATTGTAGTGTAACTGCGAAATTCCAAAGTATTACAGGAAGACATTTGATGAGTAATTTAATAATAATAAGTGAAATGTCACAAACTGACTACTACACATATATTCCATCCCTGATGGCTATTATGTATGGAAAATATAGATCATAGAGGTGCTTTTAAAGCATTTAAGAAGAGTCAGATCCCCTTATAAAGACAGTAAAAACCAAAGTATTTTTTTTTACTTCAAGTGTATTTTATTTTTATTCTGTTATCAAAGTCAATGCTTATGCTTATTTGTAAAATTATACTGATTCCTGCTAATTTTTAATTTCTGTGATTTAACTTTTTCTCTTAGATCGATTAATTGAAAACAGAATTATACTTGAAAAATGTAAACCAATTGAGCAAAAATTAAAGTATCAGATCGAAAAATACATCAAGAGATCTATTGTTGGGTCAGTAGATGACAATGACCCTAGCAGTTTCAAAGCAAATCCAGAAGATTTAATGGAGGTAACTACATAAATGTTTATTATAATTGTAATTAGTTTAATTAAGTTTTTTAATTTAATCTTAAATTAGCTAACACTAAAGAACTTCATGAGGTGATCTATATAAAATGCTTACAGATTGTATTTAATCTAGTTGTAAGTTCAGTTAAATTGGGTACTTGTGTGGTGAAAAATAACATAAATTTGAGTTGCTGTTGAATTAAAGTGATAAAGAATGTAAATAAGATTATTCTTTTCAAATAATAAAAGAATATTCATATTTAGGTAAAAACTTAAAATAACTGAGCCTATGGGAGCTGTGTTGGGGATTAGGGGTGTCAAATCTAATCCAAATAACCATGTTTTAAAAAATTGTGTGTGTGTGCGTGTGCATTTGTGCATGTGCCTGTTTATGAAATATATTTATTGTTATTATTACTGATATTTATTTTTTTTAGAAATCTGATGAAGATGAAACAGATGATGAAGTGAGTGAGCAGAAATCTGAGAAAAATAAAGACAAAAGAAAAGCTGGTGTTTATGTTCCTCCTAAACTTACATCTGTCCCATATGGTATATTTTTAATTTTTCTTCATAAATATAAGTCATAAATATAAGTCGTCATAAATATAAGTATATATTTATTCATAAATAAATATATACTACCAATAATTATATCTGTTAACAATAGCTGTATGAAATAATAAAAATTGGGCGAAGTATCTGATGAGGGCAAATTGAGTAGCAGATTATTGCAGTTGTTGCCGTGACCATTGGGTATCAAAAGATACCCTTCCCAATTTTAGTTTCCTTTACTCCTAAGTCAATGTGACGAGCTCCAAAAGATGCATTCCTCTAGTTACAATCATTAATGATATCTTAACTCCTTAGTTGAACATATCCCATGTTTAATCAAGGAGTGAAGTCTGGGTATTGTGGTATCCTTAGTGTTAAGTAAATACTCCTTAACCGAGGCGCATAGCCTCAATGCCTCTTTTCTAGCGGGCAGCTTTTTTATATTAGTTCTTTTTACTTTTACTTATCCATTTATAAAATGTATAGTAATATAAAGTAATGCGATCTTGAAATTTTTTTAATCTGAATTTTCAGCGGAAATACATTTTTTAACAATCTCTGAGTGAGTGTGAACAGCCTAGTTCAAAAACATAAAGTCGTATGAGGTTGAAATTATTTTTTTCAGGTAGATATATGTGTTGCACATTACAGCAACATTTTTGTCAAAATGAACTAACCGGAAGTAGTACTTTTTTTTATTTATTTTTTTTTTTTTTTTTTATTGATAAATATTACAATCTGTCTCAATAAAGGACAAGTACTATAATCAGAAATACACAATTTTACAATTTTCTCGAAAACAGCTCTATTTTGACTGACTCATATCAAAAATGTAAAATCAAGTAGTATTTAATTTCAGGGAGGTATTATGTTCATCGAAATAGTATCACAGGGCTTAAAATGCCAAATTTTCAAATTTTCTTCCTCTAAAAGTACCTTTAATTGTTTTTTTTTTTTTAATTTAACCTTTCCACATTATGTGACTAGTAATAAAAAATGGTTAAATATAAATTGATATAGCATTTTAACAATATTTTTCATCATGATTGTTCCTTTTTTTTTTTTTTTTTCAGTTACAATAACTATTTTACAAAGTTGGTAATTTTGCATTCAATGTATCTAATCACTAATTATGTGCTGCACATTTTATTTTATTATTTCTAATTCTCCAAATTATGTAGCACTGATCAATGAATGCAGTACAAACATCACATTATCATTAAGATTTATATTTTTTTATAGCATTTACAAAAAGAAATTTTATATCTTGTGTAGGTACATTTTTAATATATTATTAACTAATTGTTTATTTTATGCAAGATAGTAAAAAATATAAGCAATACTTTTTATATGTGAAAATTAATCATTTTTAAAAAACCCCTGCAAAAATGGGCATTTGCGATGGCTTTCATTAGCTAGTCGCATCCTTTGGTTGTATGCTGAAATAGAAGATCCTTCAGAAAACCTTAACACAGTACGTTATGAAGGTTTATACCCCTATCTGGTTCCATATTAAGCTTGAATCATCGCGTGCCAGTGGTTCCAAACATTTTTAGAGACATGTAGTTTTCAAGATACCTTAATGAGCAGTATTAAAAATTAATTGATTCATTCAAAGAAATGGTTACTATGATCACCCAGAAAACTTGCTGCTATATATGTTATCTGATGAATGAAAATAAATATAAGAGCTAAAGTCTTTGCCGAATTCTGAGGGCAAGATAAAAAATACAAACTGACATAAAAATTTTTCTGATCCCCAACCTCCTGTTTGAGTGGACATCTATAAAAAACACAATGCCTCCAATCACAAAGACTTGATTTCAGGTCCAAAAACTATCTAAAAAACCACTATAAAAGAAAACTTAGTTGCCAGAAACAATATATAAATGTCCTTCGTTTTCACCGCCACACACAGTTGGTGAAAAGGGTTGTAAAATTTATGAACAGAGTACTCACTAATTGTTTGTGGTCCTCAAGCAAGAGATGGCTTTTGAAAGCAAAAATTGCTTCACAAAAGTTCCTGCATAAATTTGAGACAAAAAAAGATCATCTCAGTTTCAATGCGATATTAAAATTAGATTAATGTAAAAATAATCGAATAAACAAATATTTTTTAATGTTTACATTGTATTTATGGCTGATTAATAATTATATATTGATCATTCTTTAATTATGGGGATTTGGTAACTGTTCTTGACAAAATTTTATTTTTAATACCTTTCTTAAATCTCTTTAAAAGTGAAACACTTAAAACAACAGGTAAGTTCGTTATTGTTATTACTCATTTTTTAAATGTTGTTTTATATGTTATTATTTAAAAAACTGTGATTAAACAACAATTTGAAAGTAAATGATTTGCTATTTTTAAACTTTTTCAAAAAATATAAGTATAGATTTAGAGCACCTAAACTTCATATCGTTGTTGTTTTAGTAAAAACGGATCTATTGTTAAATATTAAAACCTATTTTTCATCGAATAAATGTATTATTAAAGTAGAAAAAAAATTAATGCAAGATTAAATTTTTTTGGGTATAAACCTTATTTTTAAGCCTCTTGCGGAATCCCAAGATATAAGTAGAAAAAAGTGATGTGGTGTTTTTATTGACATAAAAAGGGCAACTTTTGGGTGCTATTAGAAAGTTGTCACTAAAAAAAGTATTTTTATTCCACCCTACTGAACAACGAATTTGGACTACTGTCCTGGTTTCTTGACAGTCGCTTCAAATTATCCTTAACTTACAAACTTATCATCTACAAGTTACTTATAAAAACTTTATGAACATAAGGGTCAAAGCTTTGGGGCACTGTAAACAAATTCAAACATCCTTTTTAAATTCAATGATTCTAGTCAAAAAATTGCTTTTTGTTACAATGCATTGATTTTCTACACAAGGACTTGGACATCCAAACTGTGTCAGATATTGCAACCGAATACTATAAAAACTTCTACTAGATACTGGTTTACATCATGAACCCCCCTTTAGTATGGACAATTAGTTTTACCACAAACTCATACATCTCAGCATGACAACTTTAGTGACTTTTCAAATTAAGTCCCAGCTGAATATGAGCACAGATATGCTTATTGCAAAAAATACTTGGCATATGGTAAAGTCTATTCCTATAAATATTTGTTTATATAAATAATAAGTAAATAACCAGTTGGTCTGTGCGAATAATTCATATAGCAAATTGGTCGGATAACAAGTAATAATTTAACATAGAAATAAGTTCATGCTATGTATGCTGAGATGGAAGAATTAATATTATTTCCCTTGCTCGATTACTATACCGATATGTATACTATATAGCTTTATCAAAATAATAAACCTAAATATATTACAATTGTATCTTTGATAATAATGGTTCAATTTCATTGTTTTGTTTTGTCGGGAATTCAGGAACCTTCCAAATAGTCTGCAATTGATTGATTGTATATTTTTAGAGTTATGCATAAATGAAGCTTCCCCCTTTTACTTTCCCACTTCATGGGGAGAAGAGTTGACAAAGATATAACACAATGACAAAAAAAAAAAAAAAAACCTTTGAAAAATAATATATAAAGATATTATTTGAATATTATGTCAATTGTTCTAACTTGAATTATCAATTAATTTTATGATATGCTATAATTAATATTAGAAAATATCTATTAAGTTGGAGTTAATTTTAAATTATATTATTTTATTTTAGAAGATGAGAGGAGAGTTGACAAACAGAGTAAGCTCATAGAGCGTTCAAGAAACCGTGCTCTTAGATCTTCAGTCATTCAAGAATTAAAGGAGGAATACCTTGATATTCCTGTGGAAGTTAAGGCCACCAATTCAGTGCAGCAAAAAGAAGATAAATATCAGAAAATGAAAAAAGAGTAAGTAATTACACATCACTGATTTAATGATGATTATGAAAATTTATTTGATTTTACTATTATTTTGGAAGTAAATAACGAATCATTAACAAAATGTTCGTACAAATAATAATTGTTTACAAACTTTCATTCATTTTAATGGTGCTTTTGGATATAATATAAGAATAGTAAATATTTATGAAATACTGCCTTTGGTTTAAGGAGGTTGGTATAATATAGATAAAAACTATTCCAAGTTGTTAATATAAGTTCTTAATGTTCTTGAATGCTCAGGGTTTTTTAATTTTACCAATAACTAGAGTTTGTGCATTCCTACAGAATATGTAAATTGAAAAATTGTCAAAGTTTTCAAAGCAAAGTTTTTATTTTTAAGGTCAGCGTGGAGACATGGTTTAATGCATGCACTGATGAACCTCTCTTGAACAGAATTTATTTCATGCTCAATAATAGTTTTTGTTTAGAATCATATTTCGTGACTATTTTATGACTTAGAACAACCTCATGTAGCTAATTTTATTGTAAATAGAAAAATTAGAACATTCATTTATCCATGAAAAGAAGATAATTAACAAAAGGTCTAACTTAAAGTAGATGTGGCACACTTTTCCAATGAAGTAAGACTTGGTTTATGGCACAGTGCCATTCTATGTCTCCTTGCTGACCTAATGGACGATTAGCTTTAAATCTTTAACATGATGGAGATTTTTTTTGGTCTGAATATTTTTTGTAGTGATACATTGTTGCTTTAACCATTTAAAATGCATTACCAAGATCGATAGATTTATTAATTTTTTTAACCTTTAAATAATTATTATCATTTTGTCTTGAATGGATAAAGACGTCATTTTATTTTTAATATTCTGCAAAAAACAAGAAATCACTTTTTGATTTGATTAATCACAAGGATAATGCATACAATACTCCCAATAATAAGCCAATACTCCTATATATGCCATTATTTATGTGTTGAAAGAATCAAACAATATCCAGGAATGTTAAAGAACAATAGGAAACAATCAAATACTCACTAACCCACCTTTTAATTAAAGAAAAGTTTAATTAAAAGTACCTAAGTTCAGAATCTTAATTACACTAAAACAAGGAATAAAAATTGAAAGATTAATAATTTTAGTCATAACAATTAATTTTAATTTTAAAATACTGAATAGTTTTTAAAAAATTTGTTTGCTTTGTACTAATAAATAATTAAAATTAACATTAAGTAGTCATCAAACTGTAACATATTCATTTGGTAAAAATCACACGTAAAATAAAGGCTTTAGTTCTTCAAATTGTGGTTTAATTTTTCAACTTAGTATTTCAATAATAGTCTAAATAATTGATATCTAGATAATAAATGTTCTATTGTAATATCTTTATAATAATACTTGAAGGAGATTAGTTTATTGTTTAATAGTTAAACTTTTTTTAAATACATACCTCATTTACTTGTATAATTATTTATTTTGATATTTAAACCTATTTTTTAAAGTATTTTAGAATATAATTTTTTTAGAATTTCAATGATTGGATTATCATTAAATATTTTTGTATAAACAATTTCTATTTTAACGGTATAACTTGACTTCAGTATCTTCATTCATTTTAAATTTAATCTATCTAACAGTGGTTAATCCTCTTGTAATTAATGAGATAGTAGGTTCTGGAATATAAGGAAATATATCAATGGTGTTAGGTTATGGGTGTAATCCTCAGAATGTAAACTTTAAAAGAAAAAAAAAAATTTTAAACTGTTTCCATGCCATTTTCACAAACTACTTTCAATATCTTCAGAATCATCCAATGATATCTCAGGAAATATTCGATATTTTCTGTCATAGTATCTTCTTGGAAACTTTGATATTAAAAGTTATGTTGATTATGATTTGTGTTAACTTTTTTTTTCTTATTTTTAGTGTTATTTCTTTCAGCTGGTAGTTTTTAGATGATCTTGTATCATTTTCATAGGCTTATAGTTATTTTAATGAATGGTAATGATAAAAAATTATTTATTTTTACAGGTATGAAGAAAATTACTTCACTCGTTTACCTGTAACCAAAGAAGAAAAAAGAAAATCGAAGTTAAAATTTTCAATGGGCCAACTAAGTAATGAAATAACCCATTTTGAAGATACCAGCATACTGCATGGTGACACCACTGTATTGAGTAAAAAAAGGAAAAGCGTGTATAGAAAGGGTACGTAAAATTTAAATTTTTTATTTTCCATATATAATTGAATTATCAGTTTTAGAATGTGCTCATAGCTAATTAAATTTTTTTAGGATAAAAAAATAAAACTTTATTTCTGTTTAACTATTAAGATGTTTTTCTTTTTTAAATTACTGATTGCCATTCATACAGTTAAAGAATCCAAAAAAAATGATTTTGTAAATTACAAGTTGTTACTTGAAACTTGGACTACGTGATCAGATGACAAGATCAACATAAGACAATTGAATAATTCGGGGGCGGGTATATGTTAGGGAAAGTAGAGAGGTCACTAACATTGACATTGGAATAGCTTGTAAATATTATTATGTTATGGTGGGTCAGCATCCGCCTTGTGACATTGACATCAGTGTTTGCAGATCATATTATGACATATTATTCAGGTGTGTTATCGACTCCTTAACTGTAGGTAATTCACAAACCAAACTCTTTAATTCACAATTTTACTAATTTAATGATTAATAATTTGACTCCTTAACTATACAACTTAGTAGCAGAACCAGATTAGCAAGATAGTAGAAATAGCAGATTTTCTAATTCTGAACCCCATGCCTATATAAGAAAATGTAAAGCTTATAAAATTTTACAGCGTAAGTTTTGTATGCTGTAAAGATTGCTTCCCTTAACAATGGAGAATGTTTTTCTTCGACATTACAGCATGTAAATAGTAGTTAGGGAATATGATATGACAAGATGATCCAAGTAATCTAATTTTAATGGAGATTGTAATTTATTTAAAGAAATTGATTTATATATCAATAATATAATCAAGTTTACTCTTATTAAATAGGGTTAAATTTCTTTGTAAAAGTTGTGTTTTATTTTATCATCGTACAAAAACCTAGGCCTAATCGACAGAGTTGGGCAAAAATTAATTGTAACTAATAGATAATAGCTACAACTAACTATATTGTTCGAGTCTGTGTTGTGAGCTTGGAGGTATCTTGTGTGCTCGGTGCTATAAAGCTAAGTTTATTTTTTTTTAGGAAATAATTGAATAAAGTCTGTATTTTTTGTGACAGCTTTCTATTTTATAAAAAGAATATTCCCAAAAGTACAGAATACTGAATAATTAATTAAACTTAGTGCCTAATTCAAGATAACAACATATATTTGTTCTATCTATCTAATAGATTGATGTAACTACAAATTTTGGGACCGTCCCAAGGTCCTTGTAGGACCTTAGCCTCAACGATCCTCCTCCACTCTGACCTGTCTTCGGCTGCCCTTCTCCATCTGCCGACAACCAACATCCAAAGGTCCTCCTCTACATCCTGCAGCCAACGAAGTCTAGGTCTCCCTTCTTCCACCAGGATGTCCCACCATCACCATATTTGGTAGTCTACTTTTCATTCTTTGTACATGCCCCAGCCATCTTATCCTGGCACTCTTAATTGTGGCTACAATATCTGGCGTTTCATATAGATTTCTAAGTTCCTCATTTGTCCTTATCCGCCAGCGATCGCCTTCTTTTGAAGAGCCAAAGATCTTTGAGGATTTCCTTTCCCACATGTTTAACTGCCTTTCATCGTTGTGTGTCCAGGACTCTCTTCCATACAACCAGTGGCTGAAGGACCATACAATACACTCTTATTTTGAGAGCTCTAGATATATCCCGGTTTCGAAATATTTTCATTATAGAGACCAGTAGCATTGATTGTCAGCTGCTATCTTTGCCATAATTTCTTTTCTAATCTTATTATCCTCAGTGATAACATTGCCCAAATACTCAAACTGCGGTACTCTCTCAAAACGATATCCAGCCCCCTCGATATACGTATTCTCTCCTTCTTCCTTGCTGGTCCTCATATATTTAGTTTTTTCCATATTAATTAACAGTCCTGTTCTACTAGCGGCTACTTCGCACTCCTCGAATGCTCCAAGTAATGCACTGACTGTTCTTCCAGAAATCCCACTATCATCTGCAAACACTAGGTGTTGTTTCAGTCTGTGGTAGATACATCCCCTGGTCTTGTCCGGATTGACCTCATGACCGCTTCCAATACCATATTTAATAAAACTGGGGACAGAGAATCTTCCTGTTTAACACCTTTATGGATATTTGTTGTACTTTATACATTATAGGGAGTGGAGTAGCTCAGTGGTAGGGTACTGAGCTTCAAATGCTAAAGGTCCCAGATTCAAACCTCGGCTCATGGCGGAAAATTTATTTATCTGTTTCATTGGTCGTGGGGCGACCCTGGGTCGGGAGACCCTCCTGGGGCACACCCAACCTCTATAAAGTGGGTACTCTTAAGTATTAGATAATTGGTTAAGGGGGAAAACCTGGTGGTTGAGTGTGATCTCGGTCAAATCACCTCCTTGCACAACCGTTGACCTAGAAACAGTGCTTTCCCTAAATAGTACTGAACCCAAGACCCTTCATGGGTTGTAGTGGTACAGGTTTTTTTTATACATTATAATTAATTTAATTTTACAGATTTATCTACCCTGTTTACTTGTTCATTTAACAGTTTGTTTTTAATTGATGAAAGCACCAATCAGTAGCTATCTTTAAATCAGTTAATGGATTCTTTATCAATACGTTATTTGATAAGAAATTACAGACAATGGACAGAAATCTGGAAATATTGGTTACTAGAAATGATATCGCTATATTCTTGGATAAACTTGAGTAATTCTTTTTTTCAATTTATCCAACAATATGATATTATAGCTCTTTAAGAATCATTTTTAGTTAAGTCTGATATTTTAAAATATGAAAAAGGATGAGCTGAGATTGATAGAGGGGCAACATTCATGTATTTGTGAATAACATAAGAATAACATTCATGGCTTGACCAGGCAAGGAGGACAACCCTTAGACCTAACTAGGTAAGGAAACTTTTCACTTCTTGGGCCAACCATCAAACATATAAAGGGGAATTATAGGAAAGAGGGGACATTTAGGTTAGTAGAGGTGGGATGTTTAGTAGCAATCTGTTTAATTTAAACAGTTTCTTTCATTAAACAGATACAGTAAACTGTTTCACTCGAGATTAAACAGTTACAAGAATTATCTTCTGTTAGGAAGGGTCTATTAAAATCAGCGCTTAACTCATTGGCATCGAATAGTTCTCTAAACTGACCAAAATGAAGCCATCGATGAAGTCAGCACTGAGCTTAGGTACTTATCCAAGACAGAACAGGTGGAGACAGCGATACCCACGGGAAATAGCTCTACTGTGCTCCTAAACTGTTTCGATAGATTTTCAATAAAACACCAGCAATCACGCTGTTGCTGCCTATAAAACAGCTTTGCAGTTCTGTTCAATAAATAGTTTTATCTACACATTTTCCTATCTAATTATAATTTTATCATTATTTTCATCAATAAATTTATTTATTGCCTTTAAGATATGTTATGATTCAAAATTTAAATGTTAATGTTAGTTTGACTTTTATGAGCAATTATAAAAACAATTTTTTTTTTTTTTTTTGTCGCATAGTTGATATATTATGAAGGTATAATTAGAATTTAACAATTAAATCAATAATGACTTTGGAGATAAAAATTATATTCTTAGAAATTTTCTTAAAATAGTGTAAAGGTAACAGAAGAGAAGGTTTTTTTTTAAATTGTTTTTTGAAAGTAGCAGAAATTGTTGCAAATGCTACTCATAACAAAAAGTTTGTCCATCACTGTAAGTTAGTCCTCTAAAAGGAGGAAGGAAACAAGAGGACCGAATGAAAACAGCTCAAATAATTGACTAGGAGACATTCAGGTATAGATTCTGATAAGAGAATAATACCAACAACACAATGGTTCCTTATCAATCTGTTAGACAGAAAGAATCCAGGAGCCTTTGCCTGGGAACTGTGAGCCAGACCTCTATTTAGATCATACTCATCTAAAAAGGTTAGCTAGAGGCAATCATAGTAATATTTCTTGTAATGAGGTACTGAAATATCTTACTAAGGGAGGTTATGGATGTGGGGGTCACCGATTTCAATAAAACTTTTTTTGGTGATACTAGGTCGAAAAATATTAGACCCATGTCCAAGGATTCTTGCCAATAAAAATTTTTTTATTTTATTTTAACGAGTTCGGCTCTAGCCGGTGACAAAGATACATCGGCTCCACGGCGGTTTCCCTTTTAATAGGGTTTTATTCGCCCAATCGAGCCAAAAATTGACATGTGACCGAGGACGTACGCTGGAGACCTGCTGCTTGAATTTCGAAAAAATCAAGCAAAGAACTTCGCCAGGACCAGGAGGTAAAAAAAACTCAACGTGCCTGTGGGACCGGAGTCCTTATCACTGTGCAGTACAGGACTTGTCGGCCCCCTCCACCTCACAGCGGCCGCCTCCATCCAGCAAGGTCAGTGGCGTCTTATCAATACCAACAGCTGTCACCGAAAGAGCCCAACCTATTTTGTTAACCTTATCCATTGTTTCATTGATTTTCTATATTCTCTCTCTGCTCTCTTATTCAAGGAAAAAAATTATATATATATACATATCAGCTTTATCAATCGATTTATTTATTAAATTTTATTTATTATTTATTCAGTGGACGTGGGTATGTGTTTTTAATTTTATTTAATTTTTTTTAACAGTATATTTTAAATTGTTTTTATTCATTAACTCATTTATTAATTTATTATTATTTAAATAAGATTTTATTGATTGTATATTTTAACTTGTTCTCAATTGTTAACGTATTTATTAATCTTTTATTTTTTATTCAGATTATATTAACTGAATATTTTAATTTGTTTTTAAAAAAATTGATTTTATAGATTTTAACTTTTTACCATTACTTATTTGATATATTTTAACTTAATTTTAAGCAATTGATTTGTATATTTTAACTTCATTTTATATTTTAGCTTAGTTTTAAGATTAAATTTAACTTTTTATAGTATAACTTGGTTTCTATTGATTTTAAATTTTAGATTATTTTACCATTATTTATTTGATATATTTTAACTTGATTTTGTGCAATAGATTCTATAGATTTTAAC